TTCTAGAAAACCAACTATCAGAGTGAAGCCTCAGAAAAGAGCTACGCAATGAAAAAAAATCATCTCAAAGCACAACCCGCAGCTCGACACATCGCCGAAATAGTAAACATTGCTTGGAAACGCTCAAAATCTGGAGGAGTGCAGTTGCTTGGAACAAAGTGGAGGTCATATCTCTCAGGTCCGAGATTCTTTTTCTCGAAAACTAGACTCAAAACTGAAGCTGCTGAAGAGAGCTTCAAAATAAATTAGAAACTGACTCAAAAGTTATCACGCGCAAGTCTATTTAGCAGGAAAAGAGTTGTGCGTTACTCCTTCCACCATCCAGAATAAAAACACGCAACTATATAAGCTAGGCGTTATCACTTTCTACACATAAAGTGATCACTATAGAGAGCTATGACATGAAGAGATTTGCACGTGATCACTCTCTACAACCATAGTGAACACACGTAAGCCAAATGCTAGAAAAACACCACAGAGCGATTACTTTCTTCATTGATAATAATCACTTCAGCCTGGAAAACACATAGAAAGTCTTCTACGTTGTAATCCGCCAGAAAGGCGAGAAAACTATAAATATAAACTCAGTTCAGAGATATGGGGATTCTTTCTCATTTTTTTATTTTTATTTCATTTTCATCTCTTAGGAGAGTTAGAGAGAGAGAGAGAGAGAGAGAGAGAGAGAGATTGGGGGTAATTTCCAAGTTTCAATTCTTGAGGAATTAGATTGGGGATTGGATTGAAGATGAACTTCTGTTGCTCTTTTTCTTCTCTTTCTTTCTTTCCTTCATCTGTAATGTTGTTCTAAACTTCTTTGTTAGGGATCTATGGATCTGAATTTGAGATGTTAATTTGATTTAGATATTAATCTTGAGTTTCTGGTTAGATTGAGCAATTAATTCTAGTTTTACTACACTTGTTTAAGGATAATTCAATTAGTTAAACTTAGAGAACTTTTATCAATGAAAATTAAACTACTTTCTTAGATCTGAGTTAATTGTCAAGATTAATGATATCTTGAGAATAAGTGTTAATAATCTTGTAATTTATGATTTTGTCTTAATCAAACAAATAGTGATGACTATAGATATTATTTGTGTTTCTTCATTCGAGATACATTGTATGGACAAACTACAATTCTAATTAACTTAAGGAGTTCATATTCAAAATTAATTAATAATATTTATTTGTTTTACTTAAATTCTACCTCATTCTCTATTTAGTTTTGACTTTGTGTATTTTATTATGTGTTTAGTATTTTCTATATTTTCAATATTTTTTTATTATTCATTGTGGTAATTATATTAATTTTCTCCTCTTTTATACTATTTTGTTATTTTGAATATTGAATTATTCTTAATTTGATTTGATTGTTATTTTGGATATTAAATTATTCTTAATTTGATTTGATTATTAATTGTCATGTGTAATATTACGTTACTTTATCAAGTGTATTTGGGATAAGAAAATATTCTTGTTTGTAATTATTTATTAAGATATTACTTGATCTATTAAGTGTAATGAAAATTTTTTAAAATTTAAAGTTAATAAAATATTTAGAAAGCGATTTTTCTTAACCTTTCTAAAAATGCAATTTGGAGACTAATTCTACTCTAAAATATCAACTTTAAAGAATAATTAAAGATTAAATTCTAAACTAAACTTTTTTGTTATATTTCTAAAAGTGATTATTTAATTTTGATGTCGTGGATGGATCCGCTAAGATTGAGAGTGAAAATTCTTTTCAAATGTGGCATTTCATATTCGTCAGCAAAAATTAATTAAATAAATTGTGAATTAGACTAACATGGCCTGATTAAATTTTTTTTATTTTTTGGTCGAGACTTAGATTCAGTTCAACCGCTTGGGGATTATTTATTTAATTTTTGTTTTTAGTGATACGATGTAAGCATAAAAACTACTTTAACTTGGAGAAGACAATGCACCTATGATAATTGTTTATTTCGAGATGTTTGTCCAGTTACTCGGTGTTAAATGCATGCTCTGTTAATTACTGTAAAAAAAAAAAAAATCAGCTAAGAAAAAATATTGTATAAAATAAGTTTCAATGAGCAATATTTTTTTTCATTGCCAGCTAGAAGACAAAATGTAGCACTTCTTTTTCCTTACAAAGCCATAAATCAAAACAGATGAAAATTCATTGCCAGCTAGATTCGGTGGAAAAGCTTTGAAGTTGATGTTGTACCTTCTATTGGACAATGAATAAATTGAAGCAGGAATTTAAAAACCTTTTTTGTAATCGAGTGCTTCTCCCTTTTCACTTAATCATTTTATCCCTCGTCTTCATAAATAATTTTGATGGTTTTTAGTTGCCCAGTGACTCTTAAAATCAGTTGAATCACATAGGTGAGGGATATGAGTGGTTAAAAAGAAACACCTTAAAACTTAAATTGGAAACTGGCAACTAGAAATGGTAATACACTTGTACTATATTGCACAGATGAGGGTCCGGAATATACCTTTTAACATATTTTTTATATTTGTATTTATTAATTAAAATTTATTAAAAATTATAAAACTATAAATTAAAAATAGAATTTAAATTTATTTTATAATTTTAATACTTTTTATTAATAAGAAAGAATGTATTTATGTATTTTATAACATGACAAAGGTAGAAAAGTAAACGGCCAAATGCATGCCACATAGCTGGGAAAGTTGAAAATACTACCAAATAGCCAGTGTTTCCCCATTTACTCGAATCAATTATTAACCTGGAACTTCGAAATACTTGACTATTTTTGTGCTCATCCCGTCCTAGAGAACTCAAACTCACGTTCTCATTCCCACCTTTTTCTCTTTAGCAAACAAAGGGTCCACCCACCATAACGCTTAGCCCTTGACCATCTGAAGTACTTCCCAGAGAACACGGTGTTATTCATTGGCACGTGTGTATTATAGCAATGGGATTCTAAGTTTCTATTTCTAATAATACGAATGAAATCATGCTTCAGAATTTGGCCTTCTTTCTGTGCCTAAATTTATTTCTCCAAAGACTTCAAATTTTGGTGAAAAATGAAAAAAATATATACGTGGAAATGCTAAATATGATATATTTAAATAATCAAATATTAAACCTCCTAAGCTACACGCCAACCACTAGGATCAAATGCCACCAGGGAGCAGTTAGAGACAGACTCATAAGGCTTTGAGAAAAGCGTACCCTTGATTAAACAAAATAAAGAGCAAATCCAAACATTTTGAGATTAATGAACAATATGTATACCAGTTCCAAATTTCCGTTGCAAACTCACAATGAAAAACCGTTACTGGTTAAATAACAAAACAAAAAACGAATGGAAGAATATCAATAAGTTTCCGAGCGACATGACTTTTGTCTGTCTTTTATTTACCAGAAACATGAGGAAGATTGGGTTTTGCGGTTGTTGATGTTTAACAGCTGAGAAAACCTTCTCCTGCGGTAATAGAAAGAGCATTTGAACCTAGAAAAGAAAACCAACCTCCTCAGTCTGCAAGCAGACCTTAGCCTTATCCATACAATTTTCTTCGCTCGCACCAAAGACCCTCTGATCCTCTCTGACACGCTCTTCTTTCGACAGAACTGATAGCTTCTCAGGAATAGTTGTCTCTTCTCCAGCATGCTGTAGTTCTGCTCAGGGTAGTAGTAGCCATACCCAAAAGATTCACTCCTAAACAACGGGTTCACACTCACAGTACCCATGTCTTGATTCTTGATTCTCACTACTCTTCTCAAGCAAAGAGATACGTGGGTGGATGCCTGGAGAAGAAGGAGATAGGGAAAACAAAAACAGAAAAGAAATACACAACCAATAATAGGTAAAAGCAGGGAAATATGTGAAAGAGAAGAAGAAAAAGGGTTTTGAACTCTCAACTACAGAAATTCAACGCCCCTGCTTTTACTTAGCTTGTTTGCAAAGCCACCGTGGTAGCTAAAGTCTAAAAACAAAACTCGTGTTCGGTTTTTCTTTCTTGATTGGTCTCTCTTATGCATTGGGGTGACGTTCTATTAGCATTAATTTAAGCACTTAAACACGTGGACTATGGGATAAGCTCTCCCTCTTTTAGATGGACGGTTTCTGCCTTTAGTGTTCGACCTCACATGTTTGACCTTCTCGTTCTTACTTCCTTCTTTTAACTCTTAACAATGGTTATGGGTGCTTATGTTTTGTATGAGTATGAAGTAAGAACTATACATAATATGAACCAAGATAAACTCCATAACCTCCTGCTTCTCCATTATCCGTATGAGGCCATGCAAGTCCAGATAAAGGTCCTCCAACTCTTGTGGGCTCCATGGATGTTTTGGTAGGGTTGGATCAGAGCCGTCCACGTCAAGGGAGGATTGAGGAGCATCAATTTCCGACCTGGTGGGGCCCAAAGCTTTTTGTTGATGTTTGTCGAGGCCTAAATAAAGACATGAACCTAGGCTTGTGCCAATAAATGAGAAAAGGACTGCAAGTTACTCCCACCACCAAACGTCGTCAGTAGGTGACAACAGCAGACAGCGCCTGGAGAAATCAGCGACTGGCAACAATATAAAACGATTTGGATGATGATCAACACGATGATCGCTACGTGTTCAAGAAAATAATAATTGATTGTGTGAATTGAAAGCATGAGCTATTCAAAAGTTAATGATGACCATGGCGACAAATTGACAAATCTAAAAGTATACGAGGAATCCTCCTGTATAATTACTTTTATGAAGGAATGAATTAGGGAGTCCTGAGGCAGAGGCATGTATGATATGATTTTACATCTTAACAATGATCATGACGGAATAACAAGCGAGCGTTTAAATAAATTAGTATTTTAGAATAACCGTTAGATTTAATTTTTGGTACTGGTTCTTTTTTTTTTTTTTTAGCGTCTGTACTTATTACAGACTGATACTTCATTTTTAGTCATGAATACATTGAAAAGACGATTGAGATGGCAACTATTGTCTTTATATAATTCAATTTTTATGATGTGAAATTATGAAATATTAGTAGTGCAAGGTTTCAGTTAGTTGACGCCTTTGTCACGAAGAGATTAAAGAAAGGCTGATCGTTCTTGTCAAATTAAAGGTTCCACGTCATACAGTAGTTGTTAGCAGAAGCAATACAGTAGATATTGCATCCTTCATGTGGATTTGGAAGCATTAGCAGACATTAGCAGAAAGTTATACTTCAGATTAAAGATCAATGCAGCAAATTGAAAAAGGGTGAAAATGATGGCAATGACATTCTATATAACCCAACAGCAATAGGTAAGTTCAAGGTGTTAAGAAAAATGAATCAATCAAATAGTTAATTTAGTTCTAATTATATTTTATCTGTTATGGTTGAAGTATGCCAACGAGTTCTGTATCTACAATGTGCACACGATACGCAATCAATGGAGACAAAAACAGTATAAGATCTGAAGACCAATTCAAGGATTGGTTTTCTAGGGCGAGATTAGGGCTTTTACATTGACACAAACATTAGCGCCAGACTTGCTTACATGCTTTCCTGGAATCAAACAAACTACACTTCGCTCATAATTCTCTCCTAAAATAGAAAAGAAGTAGGATGGCCCTATTACTCCCCTTCTTTCTTTGGCAATGACCTATTTTCTCACTTAGCTCTGAATGTTCTTCATGGTCACCTAGTACCGGCTTTATCAGCTTCTGGAACTTTTTCAGGGTAATTGGGTGCATCCAAGTCTATAAGTGTGAAATCGTATGGCACAGATACTGAATTTGATATATCAACAAGTAAGGAAGATTTCATTGCACTGGAATGCGAAACATCAGAGATGGGACCAACATTTGAGGGAATGCTACTATTAGAAGAAAAACCTGAGAGTTGTATGTCATCTATCTTGTTTCCAAACATATGCTTATTTCTTCTCACAGTGTCCATCTCTGGGCCAATTGGAACAAAAGTTCGTGACCGGTACTTCCTAGTTCCCTCTTCACCTTCACCGTGGTTGTAGAGAACATAATCATGATACGTTGGTGCAAACTGCCAGAAGTAATATCAATTACCAGGGATCAAACAAGCAAAAGGAGAGTCAGAATCATGATAAATAAAATATATGGAACTAGAATTGCAACATCATGGATGCAATTATGATGGCAAAGCAAAACTGTGGGAAGAATATTGAATGTGGAACTCGCCTGGTGGACTGTATCATGGTAAAAGTCATTTAACATCAAAGCATGAGCAAGGCTAGCTGTCAAACCACGGGATTCACCTATGTTAGCCCCAGCATATTCTTTGTATGGAAATGCATAAAAGTGGCCAACGGCAGCAACAAGCATCTCAACACAAATGATAAAATTTTGAAGAAGAGCAGCTTGATCTGCATCCTTAACGAGTTCTGACTTTGCAGCAAGGAAAACTAAGACACCCTAAGATATCAAAAACAAAAAGTCATCCTGCTTCGAACCTCTAGCAGAAATATGGTAAATGTACTAAACAACCTCAAATTAATGTGAATCGGCCCACACTCTAAATTAGATCCCATAGCACAGCAACCTTTGTGCGTTCAACAACAAAAGTATTAGTGTAATATAACCCAAAAAAAAAAAAAAGTCATGAAACAAACATCTTAAAATACACACACACACACAGGTGTCATTGAGCTTTTAATTTCACTATTACTTTAATCAAGTATGTACTTGCAAATAACTTTTTCATTGGGGGGATTAATGCAAAATAATCTGTGTTTTGAGCAAGAAATAAGAGCAGGAAAGTTCAAATCTATAGGTAACTGATAACTTCCACAAACAACAAATAGAGTTGATAATACAAGGAAAGAATAGACTGTAAATTAAAAAGGAAGAGGTATTAAAATTAGTATTTTTATTCTTTGAATCGAAATGCATAAAATTGGCCAACAGCAGCAACAAACTTCTCAAGACAGATAGTTGATAATACAAGGAGAGAACAGACCATTAATTAAATAGGAAGAAGTATGAAAATTAATACTTCTATTCTTTGTATGCGTCGCAACCAAGGTCACGACGAATGACAGCTGCATAAAAAAACATAAGAGGAGAAGGATTGCAATTAGTTCAAGTAAAATTGATCGCAAGGAGTTACAATCAAAGTTTATCAATAAAATTTTTGGAAAACTTCTAAAAAAATAATCAATAAAATCATATTTAGGTTTGGAAGTCATTTATTAATACTCTATGACATTAAAACAAAAATAGTTACCTTCTAATTAATTATGCAAAATTATTTTAACTTTAAAAATAATTATTTCACTCTAAAAGAAAACAAAATGTTTTATTTTTTGTTGTAATTTTATTTTTTATAATTTCATTTTTACATTTATAATTAAAAAGCAGAGATAATTTACGAGAAACTTTGGTATATATTTTTTTGAAATAAAGAAACATATAACTATAAAAAGAAACCAATATTTTATATTTTAAGTTTGAATTGAAGAAACAAATTATCTATAAGAAATATTAGTATTTTTTTTATTTTTGAGATAAAAGAAATGAATTTAAAAAAAAAACTTATTTTGTTATTCCAAATTAAATTAAGAAAAATTGATTTTTTGATTTTTTATTTTTATTTTTAGCAAAAGGAAAAAATTTAAAATTATTTTTTGAAAATTTTAAATTTAAAAGTAGATAAATAAAATATTTAAAAAAGGTAATCTTGGTTTAGAATTTAAAAAACGGTGCAATAAAAAAAATAAAAGTCACGTAGTTCTTTACAATTAGGTTTGGATAAGTTTTGAATATGTATTCTTTTTTTCTTTTAAAAAAATTAATTTTGATTAAATGAGTTTTGGCTCTTCTGAAAAATAAAATTGCCTACTCAAAAGAAATATGTCGTTTTTATGAAAAAGATTATTTTTAACTCAGAAAGGAAATTATTTTTTAAAATATTGATTTTCTTTAAAAAGAAAATTTTTTAATTCTTAATTTTAAATTTTGAAAAAGAAAGTTTTAAAATATTTATTTTTAACAGTGGAAATAAAACATTTTTATATTTTGAGAAGATTTAATTTAGATTCAAAGAAGAATTATTTAATATTTTTGAAAAAAATTATTTTCAAAAATTTTTAGATTTATAAAAAAAATTATCTTATTTTTCAAAGATTCATTTTTAAATTTGTGAAAAGAACATATTTTTTTTATTTTGAGAAAATATATTTTAAAATGAGGGAGAAATATTTTGGGCTTCTGAAAGGATTCATTCAAATTGAGAATCAAATATATTTTTTCCAACAAATTAATTTTAAAATTTTTTAAAAGAAAAAAATGTTATTCAAATTTGGAGAAAATATTTTTTAATTTAACAATTTATTAAAAATTTTATTTTGAATGTAAAAATAAGATTTTTATTTTTTTGGGTCTATGATACAAGATTGGAGTTGGAATGAAATTCAAGTTTAACACATACTACTTAATAAATCCTTATGATCTAAATAATGTTAAAACTAGATTAATCACTCAATTAACATACTTGACCGTAAATTCAAAACTATTTTGAAAAATATTTTTATATATATTTATTTTTATTGTTATTTTTAAAGGATCATTTTTATTTTTATTTTGCACTTTCATAAAATTTGTAATTTTTCATAGACATTATTCACACAATTTATTTACAAAAAGATGTAAGAACAACAATAATGATGATAAAATATGACAATAATAACAATAAAAAAAACACAAGGATAAATTAACTAGCACAATATATAATCTATTTACACATGTTGTTTTTGTCTTTTGTATTATTATTATTAAAAAATCAAAAGAAAAAAGAGAGAAAAAAATATTCAAACCTAGAATCCTAAAGTAAAGGGAACTTAATATATTTCTTTCAATTTTTATCACAAAATAAATTATAAATTGACATTGGACTTAATTTTTCAAACATCAAAAGTTTGTTATACAATTGACTCAAGCCATTAAGATTCAACTATTATTTTTTTAATTAAAAAAAACAAAGATAAATGAATAAAAAGGGGCATGAAGAAATTTTAGAATGCACTCCTAAAATCAAACATGCAAGGACTTGTGAAACACAAAACATGTAGAAAAAGTTGAAGTTGGGTTTGCAAGACTATTGGTTCAACGATAAGAAAAATTTATTTTATTTTTGTTTCTTGAAAGAATTTTGGAGTTTTTTTTTTTAAGAAAAAAACAAAGGAAAAAACTTTTTATATGATGAAAAGAACCAAACAGAGAATGAGAACAAAGGTGTGAAGGAATGTCAAAACACAATACAAGAAAAATCACACAAATATAAGAATAAAAAGAGCAAAAGGGATAGAAAGAATGTTACTTGATATGCTTAAATTAGGTGCTCTTACATGCTCTCTTAACATTTTCTCTCTGTTTATCTGAGACATATTGAGTACACCTGCTTCCCCGTTATTTTTCTATATTTTTCCTTTTCTATTTATTATTGTTATTTTTTAAATCACCTTCATCTCCCTAATCTCTTATTTTCCGATAACTACTCTGTTAGTTTTCATCCACTACCCTATCCAATCATCTAACCTCCTAAAAACTACCCATTATCTTTGATTTTTTAATTTTCAATTTTTAAAATTTCAAATTTTTTATTGTTCTATTTTTATTATTTGAAATGGGGATCCAAATAAAACTAAGACAAATGATAATTTTTTAAGTAGAGCAAGTTGATCTGCATCCTTTACAAAATCTGACTTTGCAGTAAGGAAAACTCAGACTCCCTAAGATATCAAAAAAGAAAAGCCATCCTGCTTCAAACCTCTAGCAGAAATATGGTAGATGTACCAAGTGCAAATAACTTTTTCATTGGGGATTACTGCAGTAGGTAGATGTTTTAAGTATAAAAATGTGTTCTGAGCAAGAAATAAGAGAAGGAAAGTTCAAATTTATAGGAAACTGATTACTTTCACAAACAACAAATAGAGTTGATAATGCAAGGAAAGAATAGACCATAAATTAAAAAGAAAGTACATTACCTGCCAATAAGTTAGGAATACAACTGATTTTATGATAATAAACTTCGGGACTGGATTGAATGGATTAAGCAGATCCTTGCATGCCACATAGAACAAAGCAAGAGCATATAGAGCCATTGTGTATGAGAATGTATATATGATTGTAAGATACAAGTACGATTGCTTTGGACTGAAATTCCCATCCTTATATTTCCCCTTTGCATAAAGTATAAGTGTAACAACAACTAAAATGGGCTTCAAAATCACAAACTGCAAACACCCTTGCTTGCATTTACGTATAAAACGCCTGCAATAAAATTACAGGAATGAGAGAGGATTGCAACTATGATTAATGATCATCATGTTACAAGTTTGAATCAGATTTCTTGTTACCCTGGGATCCCAAGATTTACATTTTGCAATAAATCTATTCAAAGATGTATTTCATACAGAGGGGAGTTACAAAATAGCACTAACTAAAGTTAGGTAGTATGTTAATTTCATGGAAAATTTTAGGGATTTGTTTTCAAGCTTGTAATGCAAAACAATTTATTGGATTTCTAAAAACTCACCCATCCAGCGCTATAGGAGGTAGGCAACAAGTCATAAGAAACCATGATGGTTTCAGAACCCGTCCACTTAAACTTAGGACAACTGCTCCAGGACCACCAACCCATGAAAGACACAGTGAGAGGAAATTATAAATAACCCAAGCTTCATAGCTGAAAAAGCAGCCAACAGAAAGTTAATAAGTACACTGCTACTAGTTAATAATATAGATCGTAAAGTGCATTTATTTTTAAAACAAAAAACAAGGAACTAAGGAAGATTAGTGAACTTTACAGAGGCAGTAAAAATTGTAAAAGGTGTCAAATTAATAAGGGAGAAAAAAGGAGGTGCCATTCGTTATTATGACTGCATTTGTAAGTATCATTACTACTGCAACAGTCTCCTTCACCACCTTAGTCACATGACAGAATATGATAACAATAATACTACTCTCAAGCACTGTTTTAGTGGCTACCTGCTCAGACATGCTCAAAAGCTAAGCGAATCTTAGAAGGACAAGACATAAATTTTATCCATGGAATTGGATTTCATGTGGAATAAGCTATCAAACCAGTAAGCTATAGAAGCAACTTCAAGCGGTTTCTAGACAGAATGACACCTATAACAACTTCTGCCTGTTCACTAAGTCAAGACTTAGGTAGAATAATTGTATGTGGTTCTTATACAGTTATAGCAGTACAATTAAGCCATGACTGGATACAAATTAATCTCCCAATCATACAAACAAATAACAGAAGTGCACATGTAAGCCATGAAACACAAATGAACAAAAAAACAAATAATAGATTATTCAAAATTAACACTAGCAACAACCAAAATAAATGCAAAAACAGAGAATAACTTACACTTCCCGAATGGAATTGAAATAGATTGAACTATTGGGTAGAACAAGGGACAAGAATGACATTAACGCATAAACCTGTAAGAGAATTAAACTTCAAATTGGATAAATTGAATCCTAGAAACATAATACAGAAGAGAACCAGATACGTATCCCAGTCCCAAAGAAATATCAATAGCTCTATCACATGAAAATAGAGGAGAAAATGAAAGTTTTTCTATATTGAGAAAAAAGGGACTACTAGGAGACACACAAACACAGCGCATGATAGTAATTGTGATGAATGAGACACGTGAAAGGCAGTACCATTTATGCATCAGATGCAACAAGTAAAGGAAAGCAAATAGTGAACCAGTAACCAGTCGAGTTGCTGCAAAGATTTCCAGAACTTTCCACTTTCCTAGACCAATAAAATGGCTAGAAATGGAACAACTCCTTAATTCCTCACTTCTCCATTCACACAAATACCCCATTCAATTAGACATTTCAACTACGATACACATAAATGTTGGGTTTATAAGTTTATTAAGTATTGCATGATCACTTAAGCTACTAAAGAGGAGAAGTTATATCTCCATTTGCCCTTAAAAAATAGATAAAATAAAAGCTGCGTCAAGGAATAATTGGAAAAGTAGAAAGAGGCATTATGAGTGAATGACTCACGGGTACCATAAAAACGATCCGAACAATAAAACGCTGAAAAGTGGGCTCGGTGTAATTGAGAAGGTGTCTATAAATGTGTAGCAAGGCCAATGCAATAGCTCCACAGGTGCAAAAGAAAGCGACCACGTACAAGTAAATTGGAATCAGTGCTCCCATTTCGAACAACCGTTACGAAATCTGGGAGTAGCGCTAACGACGCATTTGCACGTGCGAATTGGATAGAAGGAAGAAAATGTGAACCCTAGGCGGAATAGGAGAAGGGAAAGTGAGTAGATCTGTGAAGTTGTTCGATGAGAATGGTTGGGAGCAATGGCAAACAATGGCGGCTGTTGGCCTCGAAGGAATTGGCAGGGGACACACACAGACACAGTACCGATGACAAACCAATTCTTCTTCCTTTCCTTTTTCTTTCCTTTCCTTTCCTTTCTAAGAGCCCACATGTACAACAGTACAAAAACAATATGAATATCTTTTTATGCTGATTTAATTTTTTTTTCTCTTTTTTATTCATAATTTTTCAAAAGTTTAATTTTAAATTTCATATTTTTTTCTTGTATATTAAAAATTTTAATATTAACTTAAATAAAAAAAAATCTCAAAACAATCTATTTTCTATTTGATTCCTAATTTTAATTTATTTTAAATGAGTTTTTAAAAATTATTTCTTTTTAATATAGTCCATTTATTAGTAATTCATTATTTTTGTTGGACTACCGTAAATAATTAAGGGTAAAAGTAAGTATAAGAAGAGATTGAATAGAAGAATACAACGGATACTAATATTAAGTAAAAAAAAAAAAAACTTAGATACAACTATAGACTAAAGACTAAATACAGTAAAAGGACGTTGTGCATCTGTCAAAAAGGATCGAAGTAAAAGAGAGAAAAGAAAAAGACAAATTTGGATATGTTTGATTTTTGTTTTAAAAACAGAAAACTATTTTCAAAATAAAAATCAAACACACTCAAAGTGCTTGTTAAAGGAATAGAACTATCTATAAAGTTAGCATAATGTGTATTAAAAGCTTTTAAGAACTTGGTATATAAAATAAAATGGAGTCTTTGTCATCAAATGCAGAAGTTGATCCACGAGAGTAATAACAAAACTCTAGACATAATTAATGAGAGACATGTATTATAAAAGGAGGTGCTAGAGAATGTGAGAGATCTTTTTCTGTTCTTCAATTTTGATACTTTAGAGGTCCTATGACCCTCCCTTGAGAATAGAGGAGAAGTGTTAAAGAATTCGAAAACTTTTTCTAAAAAGATATTTTTACTAATATGTCTCTTAAGCTTACAAACAAAAGTGTGAAATAGAGACAAAAGATGAGATTTTATGATTTATAAACTTACCAAATACAAAGAAATCTATTTAGACTAACTTGGTTTTGAGCAAAAAAATGATGCTCAAATTTTTAGAATTAGTCTATTAGACTGTATTACTAAGGAGGTCAAACTATTCAAACTATGACATAAACATCAAACATATAACACAATTCAATCTTCATATATTGTTTACTGGACATCATGTGACGTAAATCAACTCAATTTCAATTATGTTAATCACAAAAAGCTATGAAGCACGAACACCTCTACGTAGTGGAGTGTCTGGGAGTGCGATACGGCTTGAACACGTCAAACACCAGTCTGCAGGTATCTGAATTTAAAAATATTTTTTGACAACTTAGACACATCAACACAACTCACATTACTCCAACACGGTTGGACACGGCTCTAACAGAGGGACACTGCTTTGACACTAAAAATTATATTTTAAAAAAATGGTTAAAAGATTAAAAGACGTTCACGTTTTAGCTCCAAAACTTACACATATTCTTCCATTTTAGAAGAACTAGAATTACAACTGTGTCGTGCATCTAATAGAAAGTATGCTCCAAACAATAAAAATCTAAATATTAGCATGGCAAGAAGCAATACAACTGCAATATAATTATATAATGTCATTCAAATATATTAGTTGTTTTCCAAACTGTTAAACCAAATGATTTGGTATATTTGGTTTAATACTTTTTGTTTGCTCCTCTGTTAATGTTTGGAAAAACTAATCCTTGTTTGATAAGTTTCTAAGTTGAAATTAGTCTACAATAAATATTTACAAGTTTGGTTTTAAAATAATCAGTTGTTATTTATTTTAAAGCTTTTCTATTTCTCTCGTAGTTGATCTTACTGGAAAACTTATCTTTAAGTGATGTTGAGTTTCATATTCGTTTAAATAAAAAAATGATAAAAAGAATTTTATTTTTCTCTCCTCTTTCTAACTCCCTCTTCCCACCCACCAAGCTCTTCCCATCTCTCCCACCCCTCTCCCCTTCCCCCACCTTCACCCACACCCAGCCCTCCACCTCCTTAGACTCAAACTACTACTGGCCCTTGCCCTAAGCATCTTCGACCCCCACTCGTCCCTTCACTCACATGAAAGATTGTGATCATGCAAAATTAGTTTAAATAAATTTAAAATTTTCTTATACGAATTTTGCATGATTTTTTGTTTTTGTTGTTTCTCCATTTTTGTTTAAATAAAAATGGAACTCCAATTCTCGCCGCAGAGAATCCGAATCTGGGATGAATTCTATTGCAGCTGACTAGAGATCCCAATACTTCTACGGGATTCTTTATTTCTGGAAGATCTGTCATTGGTTTCTTTCTGATGTTTATTCTCCTTATGCTGATGAAGTTGGAAAATATATTTAATTGCAGATGTAAGGGTTTGTAACTTTGCATATGAATGCTATTGTATATTTCTGTCCTACAAGTTTCTTGTCAGGAATTTCAGTCATATTTAAGATAATCATCGGAAAGTTCAATTTATTTTGAAGTTGCTAATACTTGTATCAGGTTGAAGGAGCTGTTTTTTTATCTTCCGGTGGATGTTGCTAAAAAGTTACTCAATATGCAACTGCCACTTGGAAACACTATTTCCAAAATCATCAACGTAAATTACAAAGTTTGTTTAATATTTTTGTTTTATAATTTTTTAATAGTTTGTGTCTGTTCCTGTTTTCAACTCCAACCAAAACACCATATTTTGGTATCAGTTTATTGGATTATTAATTTCCCCAATGTCATTTCACATGTTGCTTTGTATCGCTAGTTACCTCTTTTACAAGATGAGGAACCTCCAAGTGATTTTTATGGGAAGTTTTCTGACAGACATCGAAGTAACCAAAGAGATTACATGATAAGTTTGGTGATATATATGGGCGAGGTAATAGAAGTAACGGAGCCAATAACAGGTCTCGAATGGGAAAATGAGACTTCTTCTAGTTAAACACGTCTTTCTTTTCTTGCACCACCTACTTGAGAACTGAACAGCCACCGGTGACGGATCTAGATTCTCTTCAGTTAAAGCACTTGAGGGAATTTTCGCTGTTAGCAGCCACTTTTCTTTTGAATGTTGTCATAGGTAGCGGTCCACTACATGTGAGTGCCTTTGGACATGACAAGTGCGATGATGGGTTCCTTGTAAGTATACAAAATGTCTCACACCATGTGCACGTCCTACTCCCTTTAAATCCACCTTTCTCACTCTGATTATTTACAAAGTGCATGAGTCATTCATGAGGCATGATCGGTCAAAGTCTAACATTGTTTCTTTTTGGTTACATTGAATTTCATCAGATTTAAAGACACTGAGATATCAACCTCACGGTAAAGTGAAACATAGACAGGCCAAAACATGTTCAGCTTTCAGTTTTGGTAGCAAAATTTTGTTCTACTTCTACACTTGAGTGGCTTGACAACAAGATGGAACTCTCTAACTCACTCGGTGTCATGAAGAAGAGTTCTTCTTCATCCCAAAACTTTGGTTCTTTTCCAAGGGAAACCATATTATAAAGATAAAAGCCTTGAAACCAAAAGGGGTGGAGCTCATTACAGTTTCAAAACGTACAAACAACACAAGCATAAGACAAGTTACAATATATATGGTGGGTTTGACACCATTAATCAGCAAAAGCAATATACATGGTGGGTTTGACACCATTAATCAGCAGAAGACATAATATGGCTACTCCTATTCACTACTGTGGTTAGATTCTTTGTCTGTAGATAAATGTATCCACAATAATAATAAAGAATTTTAAAATAAGTTCTTGAATCATAGTTTTACAAAAATTATTTTTAATTACTAAAATTTCTTACTTTAATTGTTTGAATAACGAAATTTATATTAATCATGTTTAAAAATAAATTAATTATATTGAACACATTTCTTTAATTTAATTTTAAATTTAATTTTTTTATGATTACTAATTATTCATATAAATACTATTAATATTCAATAGTCATGTAATATTAATATTTTTTCTCTAAATTAATATACACAATAATCATGTAAGATTTCAATTAAAAAAATAAATTACATAAATTCATTAACAAGAGTTTTCATAGCCTTATTAACGATGTACATAATTATTCATGTTAGAAAAAAAAATTAAAACAATCATAAATAAAATCATAGTCGAAAAGAAATAATAAACTAGATTATTCTCAAAGATTGAGAATGATAAAAATTTATAATCTTTAAGTACGATAGCTTAAAACTTCACATTTTGTTTAGAATGTGCCAAAGATCAAAAAAGTTGTGAAAAAAATATGATAGAAGCGTGAAAAGAATGATATCAAAAAAGATGAAAAGGATAATGAGTTGTTGCCCTTAAGGTTTCTTTTAATATAATTTGAAAATCTTAAAATTTCTTCAAGTCAAGCTTCTCACAAGTGAGCACGACTGCACAAGGTCAAAAGCACAGTTCTGCATATAATCAGAATACTCTCGTGTTAAATGATGAATTTGGGCATATTAATTACTATGAAATCTTGTTTTCTAGTTAATTTAAATCCAAAATATACCTAAAATAATAATCATTAATCAATATATAAAATATAAAAAATATTAAAATACAAACTTACTAATTTTCAATTATTTTACTACTCATACATGATTTTGTTGAGTTCATTTTGTTTCCGAGTTTAATTCCATCATGTCCTCAGCCTCTTCATCCCCACTCCAAGTTATCCTCTCTTTGGTACAACAATTCATTCAAGTTCAGGTCTTGCAAAGATTACTACAAGCTAGCTTCATTGAGTGGCTGCCAACAGCGGAAATTCCTTAAGAAAAAAAATTGGACGCCTTAACGAGAGAGGAACGACCTAGTAATAGGTTCAAGATGCATCCCGGAAAGAATTACAGAATCAACGCTACTTTACCTAACTCTTGTTTTTGGTAATCTCCACAGAGGTCTCCGCTGTCGTCTCAAGTCTTTTTTTCATTTTAATGTATAAATTTATTTATCATTTGCATTGCGGCAGTGATATTCAGCAAGAACTGTGCGATGCTGTTTTGTCTGCTTAACCGCCGTGTTTATTATCCGCTAGAACCTTAACAAGTTTTAAAAAACGACAGGGATGGCTTCATATGAGGCGTATGCTTGTAGCTGCTCATTACACAATTTAGTCGTTCGCTATAATTTTCCTCAAATCAAGCTTCTCGAATTTGAGATTAGTGTTGGTATTAGCAATTTACAACCCACGCTGACCCAAGTGAAATGCGTTACCAACAAATACCATTAGTATAAAACCCAAAGACAAACATGTCAATATTTCATTGCCACCCAAAACATCATCCAAATCAAGTCCAACCACTCTTTACTAGCTACTTGCCAAAGATAATGTTTATGACTGTTCTAAATACAGGGCCCCTTTTATTGTTCAGAACCTCCCGGACAGCCTTCTCGTCGGGAATAAACCCCTTGGCCTTCATTTGCTCCAGCAACCTTGTAGCCTCATCCTGCTTCTCCTCCCTCGCCAACGCCTCAAACACGGAGGTGTAAGTCTGAGCATTGGGTCTCATCCCTTTGTCCATCATTTCCAAAAGGAACTTGTTGGCATCTCTCTGAAACTTGGCATCAGAAGTAAGTCCCTTAATGAGAACGGAGTAGGTGTAAAAATTGGGAGAGACCCCAGAAGCAAGCATGCGCATGTAAACCTTGAGAACCTCCTTTGGCTGACCCGCATTAGCATAAGCCTCAAGTATGGCAGTGTGGGCAACCACGTCGGGCATCTGACCCTTGTCTTTGATCTGCCCGAACAGCTCCAATGCCTCGTGGGTGAGACCCTCTTTGGACAAAGCGTCGAACATCTTAACTGCGTGGTTGAATAACCCGTCGCCGCTCCTCATGTTGTGGAAAATCTCTTGCAAGTCCTTTGGGTCTTTGGGTTCTTCTATTGCTGGCTTTTTACTGAAGGGGTCGTAAGGGGGTGGTAGCTTCGTGTTATTATTCTTGTCAGTTTCTTCCTGGGTATCATCGTCGCTCTCGGAATCTGAATCGGAGAGTGAGAAGTTGACCTTGGTGTCGATGGGTTTCTTGGTGGAGCTGAAATGCCGTTGAGTGGCATCAAAGTTTGAAACTTTGAGAGGAATGGAAGGGTACGCGGAAATGGATGCGAATGAAGGATGTGAAAGTGATGTGGAAAATCTGCTAAGGAGGCAGGTGCGGAATAAGAATGAAGAATTGGTGTTGGAGGTGAAGATTAAAGCGCGAGACATTGCTGTGAATGTGATTGTGCCTATACCACACAAAGCCATTGATCTCATGTCGCGAGTAACTAATCTAATCTCCAACCGAAGAAGAGAGTCACACTCGAAGTCGAATCCTTCCAGAAAAATCGGACGATGGCGCAAGGGATAATCTTTTCGTGTTAATGGGCCGCTTTTGCTTAAATACCCAATTAGCTTACCTATTAATAATTTAAACTTAAATACGTTATTGATTCCTATAAACATGACATATGTAATTAGCTTATCTCTTTCTTCTCCAAAATATTAAACAAAACATATTTTTCCTATACAAATTATCTTGTCTTCATTCTCCACTACTTTTCTCCAACCTATTACTATATTTTAACGTGAGTCGGACATTTCCTCACAGGAGGCTACAGCATAGTACAACTTCCAAACTACGTGGTCTATGTTATGGAGCGTGTGAAGGAGAATTAATATGGCGACCTACTGAACACTGATTGATGGGGACGCTGATTCTTGTTTGTGATTTGTTCTTATCTCTTTACAAAATATTGCTCTCTTTAAGTAAATAATGAAAGTGGTAGAACAATGTTTGAGTTTTATTTTATTTGATCAGCATCGTCCGATCCGAAGAATTTAATGGCCCTAACATTCTGACTTGTGTGTCTTGGTAACGTTTCACAATATATAAGCGAGGCTCTGAATATTTTTTTAAGAAATATAAATTATCAATGATAATTTGTGGCCCAATAATAAATACCGTACTATAGGATATTGTGGAAAAGAAGAGATGGAAAAATGTTTCTGTGTTATTCCAAGGAACCGAGCAAAAGCATATATACACGGGGTCAGCCTCAAAAAATATCCTAACAGCTGTACAGAGTTAATACAAAGAATTTAGGAAAATCAAGAACAAATCAGAGACAAATCTGATGCCTATAGTTACGTTCCTAAACTTGTGTGTAATACAATATTGCTCCTACAATCATGGTACAGGTACATCATATTTCTGCCAATACTCCCCCTCAAGTTGGTGCATGAAGATCCTGAATGCCCAACTTGCCAAGAAGATAAACAAACTGTTGGCGTCCAAGGGCTTTGGTCAGAATGTCAGCTAACTGGTTGGTAATGCGAACATGAGAGGTGGTAATGGTAATGGTACCACGTTGAACTTCATTCCGTACAAAATGACAGTCTACCTCGATGTGTTTAGTTCTCTCGTGGAGGATCGGATTCGCTGCTATGTCAAGAGCAGCCTGGCTGTCACAATATATGTGCATGGGTGTTGGATAATTCACGCCTAAGGATTCAAGATGACCCTTTAGCCATTTCAATTCGCAAGTAGTGGCTGCCATAGAGCAGTATTCCGCTTCTGCAGAGGATAGAGACACAGTGTGTTGCTTCTTTGTCTTCCACGAGATTAGAGAGGAATTCAAGAACACCACATATCCGGTAAGAGATCGTCGTGTAAGAGGACAACTAGCCCAATCTGAGTCGCAATATGCTGTTAAGTGCATGTCACTATCAGCTCGCATAAGAATGCCTTGTCCGGGGTTGCCTTTAAGATAACGTATTACGCGTAAAGCTGCCTCCCAATGGGCTTCTTGCGGGTGCTGCATAAATTGAGCAAGCACATGTACACAATAGCTGAGATCAGGCCTAGTTATAGTAAGATAGATAAGTCATCCTACTAGCCTCCGATATTGCTCAGGATTTTGCATAAGAGCTCTTTTTGCCACAGCTAATCGATGATTCTGTTCCATTGGAGACATTGCTGGCTTTGCCCCAAGCAAACCTGCTTCAGTAACAATGTCCAGTGCATACTTTCGTTGACAGAGAAAAATTCCTTCAGGTCCACGGGCAACCTCAAGACCTAGGAAGTATTTAAGAGTTCCTAGATCCTTCATGTAAAAACACCTGTTCAGATATTTCTTGAACTGAGTCACAGCTTGAGAATCATTGCTGGCGATGACCAAGTCATCAACATATACCAGCACACTTAGCTGCACTCCACTATCTATATGTGTGAACAAAGAGTAATCAGAGTGAGACTGAACAAAACCATATTTCCTTAATGCTGTCGCAAGCTTAGAGAACCAACACTGAGGGGCCTGACGAAGCCCATAAAGGGACCTGTTCAATTTGCATACTTTAGACTTATCGGCTGTTGAAAATCCTGGTGGGAGTTGCATGAACACCTCTTCATTCAAGTCTCCGTGCAAGAATGCATTATGAACATCCATTTGATGCAACTCCCATTGTTTTGCCGCTGCCACTGCAAGTAGGGTCCGCACTGTTGCCATCTTTGCGACTGGAGCAAAGGTCTCATTGTAATCTAATCCTTCTACTTGTCAGTTGCCAAGGATCACCAATCGTGCTTTATAACGTTCTATAGTTCCATCAGAATGGTACTTGATTTTATACACCCATTTGCACCCGATTGCCTTTTTTCCAGGGGGCAAGGTCTCCAAAGTCCATGTTTCATTGCTTTCAAGAGCTTCTATTTCCTTCTTCATTGCTGCTCTCCATCTCTTATCCTTCATAGCAACTGAAAAACTTGTGGGCTCATGTCCCGTTGTTATGGCAGCTAAGAATGCACGATATCTAGGAGAAAACTTAGCACATGTTACATAATTGGCTATGGGATAAGGAGTCTTACCTGAGGACTTTGACTCGGATGGTATTGGAGTGTGAGTGGGATCTTTCGGACACCGTGCAGTGTAAGTCACGTAGTCTCGTAATAGCACCGAGGGCTTATGTTGGCGCTGTCCTCTTCCAAGTTGTTCCTCTTGTTCAGCTACACCCTTTTCTTGTCCACTGCCTTCTCTGTTTGCCTCACTTATGGTCACTTCACTCTCACATCCTTGTTCTTCTCTTTCATGCTCAACTATCCAGTCTCCCCCTTATTGTTATATTTGTAATATCACCCCCTTTGTCCCTTTGATTTTCATTGGGGTCATCAAAGAATGCATATTCTATTAGGTGTGATTCTAGTTCCTTGTTGTTTGTGGGATCCTGACCAGTGGCAAATGGGAAAACATTCTCATGAAATGTCACATCCCTAGAGACCAAGTATTCTTTTTTTCAAGGTCATAGACTCGCCACCCTTTCTTTCCATATGGATAACCCAAGAACACACATTTTCTACTTCTTTCACAAAGTTTGTCCCTTTCTTTTCCATTTTGGTGTACGTAACAGAGGCACCTAAATATTCTCAATTGACTATATGTAGGTGCCCTCCCAAACAAGACCTCATGAGGACTTTTTCCTTGAAGAAGAGAAGAAGGAGTTCGGTTGATAAGATAGCCTGCAGTCAAGATGCATTCCCCCCAAAATTGTATAGGTAAGCTAGCTTGAAATCTTAATGCTCTAGCTACGTTTAGAATGTGCCTATGCTTCCTCTCAACTCTCCCATTCTGCTGAGGTGTTCTTACACAGGATGTTTGGTGTAATATACCATGTTGTTCAAAGTATGGTCTTAAACATGTGAATTCGGTCCCGTTATCACTTCGAATTACTTTAACTTGTTTTTCAAATTGACGCTCAATCATCGCACAAAAATTTTTAACGGTTTGTGCTACCTCACGCTTCTCAAGCAACAGGTAAACCCACACGGCACGAGAAAAATCATCGACAATTGTCAAAAAATAACTTGCACCACAAGATGCGGACACCTTATAGGGTCCCCATAAGCAACAGTGTATCAAGGAAAAACTTTCATCAGCTTTATTTTGACTTTCTTGAAACATATCACGAGTTTGCTTAGCTTTATAACAAATATCACAAAAATCAATTGGATCACCATCATTTGCCTCAGGTAGGTAGGTAAGAATTTGTTTAGATGGGTGTCCTAATCTCTCATGCCACAACTTGCCAACATTCATTATCTTTGCTTTATTTGCCTGCACTGGTATTGTAGTCCGAAACAGAAAAATCCCATCACACTCTTCACCCAGTCCAATCAGAGTCCTCGAAGTTTGGTCCTGCATCACACATAGCTTATTAGTAAAAGTAACAATGCGATTCAAATCTCGCACAAGTTTAGCAACAGATATGAGGGTGCAATTCATATTAGGAACATATAACACATTTCGCAAGTAAATGTTTTCTCCTAGATGCAGTACTCCTTCCTTTACAGCATTGGTTTGTTTTCCATCAAGAAGTCCCACGGGGCGCGGCACAATATTTCGTACTTCACTTAATAGTTCAATCATACCTGTCATGTGATATGAAGCCCCGGAGTCAATCAACCATTCACCATTCTTACCCGATAATTTCTCAATTCCTCCAGCTTTGTGTGTGTTTAATAGGTTGATTAATGTTGTCAACTGTTCTCCACTCAATCCTGGTATTCCTCCTCGTTCTGGGTCTTCAATTGCTGCTGCTTGGTGCCCTTCCATCGCTCCAGCATGTGCTGCATTTGCTCGAACATTCTGACCTCTTCCTCGTTCAGCATATGAATTTCCCCATCCGCGTCCTGCACTCTTTCTTGTTGAGCGGGTCTATCTCCCCACCAATCCGGATAACCAATGACTTGAAAGAAGTCCTTGGCATCGTGTCCAGTCTTCCAGCAGTGGTTACATGTCGTCCCCTTTTCTTTAGTTTGAACAACAGCTGCCTTTACTCCAGTGCCCACCTGCATGACAAAGCCCACTGCATCGCCTCGTTCTTCCTTACTTCTGGCTATATTTCTGTGTCGCTCTTCCTGTATGATTATTGCATATGCTCGACTCAAGTTTGGTAGAGGATCCATACTCAAAATGTTGGAACGTACAGTCCCATATATTGCGTCATCCAGTCCCATCAAGAACTAGTGGACCTTCTCTTCCTCTCTCTTCTTTTCTAATTCTTTCGCAATATCACATTTGCACCCACCACACTTACATGTTGGAGTTGGTTCATAACTTACCAGTTCATCCCACATAACTTTCACCTTTCCATAGCATGCAGCAACTGTTTGTCCCATTTGCTTGCATCCAGCCAGATCTGCCTTGAGCTGATAGACACGTGCCCCATTTCCAATGGAGAACCTTTGCTGAAGGTCCTCCCACAAATTTCTGACACTCTCCATATAAGTAATGGTTGAGCGCAGGCTTGGCTCTATAGTGTTCAGGATCCATGCCACCAGCATGGAGTTCACCATCCACCAATCTTCAATATCAGTTGATTCATTCTTTGGCTTGGTTATAGTCCCATCCACAAATGCAAGTTTCTTCTTTGCTCGCAAGGCGTTTCGTATTGCCCTTGCCCATTCTTCATAGTTGTCTCCTTTTAGCTGTATAGGCGTAATCGACATCCCTGGATTGTCTGATGGATGCATATAGTAAGGGGATACAACTGTTGTATCTTTTCCAGCCCCTTCACCGCTCTTCTTTTTGTCATCCTCTTCACCTGACATAGTAGTCTTGCTTCAGGAACTCAAGATTTGAGTCCTTGCTCTTCCAAAGTTTGGTGAGCCAACGAAGCTCTAGATACCATGTGGAAAAGAAGAGATGGAAAACTGTTTGTGTTATTCCAAGGAACCGAACAAAAGCATATATACACGGGGTCAGCCCCAAAAAATACCCTAACAGCTGTACAGAGTTAATACAAAGAATTAAGGGAAATCAAGAACAAATCAGAGACAAATCTGATGTCTATAGTTACGTTCCTAAACTTGTGCGTAATACAATATTGCTCCTACAATCATGGTACAGGTACATCATATTTCCGCCAATAGATATAAAAAGGTAATAAAATAATCTATATATAATATCAAATTCTCTTTGATTTCTCGAATGATTAAAAACGGCTAGGAATTCCTTATAATTTAGGATCAATTTAGATTTACATGTGATAGGACTTGACCTTACATAAAAAGTTGCACGCTAAATGACAGTCAAAATTGCCCTACAACTTTCTCTTTCGCATGCTTTTCTAAAATTGTTACTGGGTAGCATTTTAGTCCTAGATGACTATAACTTTTTAAATAATGTATGTGTTTTCCTAGCATGTGCTGACGTGTACCTTACTTATATTCAGTTGCAGTGTTTTTTCTATCAATTCCTTTTTGGGTGATTTTTTTTTAATGAAGATCATGTTAAATGATTTATTTCTATAAGCATTATTACTTTTCTTGCGGTAAGTTTTATTCTTTGGGACACAAGCGAGCGGTGTCTGAGGCAGGCAATCCAATCCCCTGTATAGTTAGGTTAGGTAACGGCTATTGACGACTGTTTGGGCATCTTGCATGCAAAGGCATCGTGAAAAAAAAAATTCACATAACTTTTTTTATAAAACAGTTTTTTATTTTAAAAAAAATTATACATAAATTTAATTTTTATTTAAAAAAATAAAATTTATTTTAAATAAAAAATTAAAAGTTAAAAATCAAAACATAAACAAATGTCCTAAGCATTTCTTTTCAGTATTTTTATTATTTCTTTTCATTATATTATTATTTTTTATGCCGAAGTTTATTATATCTTTCTATTCATTAGAGATTTTAAAAAATGATGAAATATACACATGTCTAAAGAAAATAAATAATAATAATGCAAACAGATTAAATTAATAAATTAAAATGAATTAAAATAAAATTTGATTTTAAAATTAGAAGAAAAGGTTAATTTTACCTTAATAAAACAAATAAAGATGCGTATCGTTGATCCAGTGGCGGATCCAAGACCTTAAGGTCTTAAGTCAGGGGATGCAAAAATATAAAGGGTGCAAAAACATAAAATTAGGGGTATAAAATATAAAATATATATATTATTAATAATAATTTATTAAAATTAAAAAGATCTATGAAAGTTGAGGGGTCATTTGCCTCCCCTCAACTGTACGTGGATCCGCCACTGGTTGATCTTGCGTCAAATTGTCTAACATGAAAGAAGTTGAGTGGGTCGGCACTCGTATTTCCTATCGTAACCTAATAAAACAATATAGTTCATGACATAATGTACCTAGTTAAGCAGCCTTCAATTTTTATAAGCAAAAAATTAAGTATAACACCTTAATCATTTTTTTAAATTGCTTTTAAAATTGAATTTAAGCCTTCAAAATTAATATTTTTATTAAAAAATATATTAATTACATTAAATTTATAAATATATATTATCTTTTAAAATAAAATTTTACTACTATTAATATTTAATCTTAACTTTAAAAATTAAATTAGAATTTTTTATTTTATGTATTTTTAACTTAATTAAACATTAAATAAGACTTTAATTTTAACTAAAATAATATAAAAAATAGTCTCACATATTCATATTTATTTATATATATGCGTGTATATATATATATATATATATATATATATATATATATATAAACTTACTTTTATATTTTATATTTTTTAGCTGATAAAACCATCAGTTATGTTTGGACGAAAAAATAATAATAAAAAAGAATATAATGAGAATGAATAAAATGAAAAATAAAATAAATAATATATTATTTGAATGGATAAATTTTTTATTTATTTAAATAAATAAATAAATAGTAAAAAGAATAATTAGTATAAAAATATTTTATAATAAAAATTAAAATTCATAATATAATATTTTTAAATTATATATTTATTATTTTTATATTATTTTTAAAAAAAATTTAATAAAAGTATAAAAAAATATCACAACTTTTTTCATATAAAATTTAATGAGTTTGTTGGAGAAAATTTTATTATGAATTTAAAAAAATATTATTTTTTATTTATATAAAAGAAAACATTTAAATACATAGTTGTTTTTACACTTTTTCATTTATACATAATGTTTTTCACCAAAATAAATAAAAATTAAAGTTCAAAGATATTGTTCTGTTAAAAATATTTAACAATATTTTTTAATTGTGTATTTTTAAATATACGATATCAAATTAATAGATAATATTTTTTATTAAAAATTATAATACTCAATTTTTTAAATAATATTACATTAAAACTATAAATAAAAAATAAATTTAGTAAATTTGTTTTTTAAAAAATTATAGAATTTTCATTATAATTTTTATTTTTAATTTTTCGCTTTAATTTCTCTTTTCATAACAATTATCTAAAAGTAAAATTGAAAAAAAAAATTTGAATGAAAGTTGTAAAGTGATTATGATTTTTAAAAAATTGTTAAAGTGATTATTACATTAAACTAAAAGAAATATCAATATAATGGTAATTTTTATAATACTTTGTAAAATGTATTATATGATTTTTTCGTCTCAATACACATAAAAAAAATGATAATTTTTTAACCTACATAATATTGTCGTATGTACTATTCCACGTATTAAAAAAATTTGTTCCATGTAAAAAGGATAATAAATGCAGTCATTGAAGAACATTTGGCGTATTATATCAAATAATTTTTTAATCAATTATTTAACAATTAAAACTAGAAAAGCATCACACCTCAGGACCTCGTAAGGTATATGTTTTAATTTTGGACGCGAGGAAGAGCCGATGGAAACGAAAATAATAATAGCAGTTTAAGGAAAAGGAATAATCGGAAACTGCAGAGAAAAAGTCGAAAGAAAATTGGTTGCGAAATGGAAAATTGCGGGAGAAGGATAAGAAAACGAAATCGGGCTCGATGAAGGGATTGAATAACGAGTTGATGACAGTTATCTTTGTTTGGGGCAAGAATAAAGTGAGTTAGAGGTAGAGGCGTGGAAGTTGAAGAAGATGTCGATACCGAAAGAGCCAGAGCAGGTGATGAAGTGGAGAGGAGGATCGGTGTTGGGGAAGAAAACTATTCTTAAGAGCGACCATTTCCCTGGTTGCCAGAACAAGCGCTTGCATCCTCACATCGAAGGAGCTCCCAATTACCGTCAGGTCCTTTCTCTCTACTCCGATTCCAATTCTTCTCTTTCTGTTGCTTTTTCCTTTTCAATTCACCATAACACAACTCTTGTTCTTGCTCCCTTCTAGGCCGAATCGTTACACGTTCACGGTGTTGCCATCCCAACCAACGATGGAATCCGTAATGTTCTCAAGCACATTGGTGCTCAAGCTCAAGGAAAGAGACCGCAAGTTCTTTGGATTAACCTTCGCGAAGAACCGGTATTCGTACATACATACATACATACATACATATATGTATATATATATATACTCGCATGTTGCGAATGAATAATGATTCTATATTCTCTATTTCATGTTTGCTCGGCTATTCTTTGGTTTTAATCTTAGCATTTATATGTATGCAATACGAAAAAACAATTGCATGTGCTTTTTGCTTACATTTATGGAGTTCTGAGGAGCGCTGTCTAGGATTAGTTGGTGTTTTTAAAGTTGATTATTAATATATTTGTGGCCAAGGGATTCTTTGGCTGATAGTTGTTGAACTTTTGTTCTTGCTCTGAATGTGATGATTGATGTTTCGGGGAAGTTCTTGAGAACATTTCTCCTTGATTTTCATGTTCTTCCTTTCTTGAAATCAGGTTGTGTACATTAATGGACGCCCCTTTGTTTTGCGTGACGTGGAGAGACCGTTTTCTAACCTCGAATATACGGTATATTATTGTGAAATTCTTATTGCTTCTGTTTCGTGTATTATTTTCTCTTTGTGGTCTATATTCATGAGGGTATTATGTCTTGGTTTGGTTCTAAGCTGCTTGTCAACCTAATTTATCACTTTGGGATTTACTTGTTAGGTTTGAATTGAGCTCAATTCATTAATGTTTAAACTGAAATCCCTTTGGATTTTAATTGTTTTGGCGTTTTGTACTTAATTAGGGAATTAATAGGGAAAGAGTTGAACAAATGGAAGCTCGTTTGAAAGAAGACATTTTGATGGAAGCTGCAAGGTCATTTCAATATTTATCTCTAGTCTGCCCTGCATAATTCATGGCATAAATGTCATAACTATTATCTAATTCTGCATTCTTTGACAACCAATCTTAATTTCAAATTTTGCATAACAGATATGGAAATAAAATCCTTGTGACTGATGAACTGCCAGATGGTCAGATGGTGGACCAATGGGAATCAGTGTCATATAATTCTGTGAAGACACCACTAGAGGTAAGGGTTAAACTTGTGCAGAGTGGGATTTGATGCTGCTCAATCAATTTACTGGACAAATTGTGTCAAAGTTGTTTTTTTGGCTGTAGGTGTACCAAGAATTGCAAATGGAGGGATACCTTGTTGATTATGAGCGTGTTCCTATAACTGATGAAAAATCCCCAAAGGAACTGGATTTTGATATTTTGGTCAGTTCTTGTGTATTAAATATTTCTTTGAATAAAAGCTTCTGAACAAGTTTCGTTTGCCTGACAATTATGCTTGATTCTAGTTTCATCCAACTTGTTATTCTCTACCAATTTTGATGCGATTATCTAATCATATATTCTCTTGTTCCAATCAAGGGGTTGGATGGTGCAGTATCCTTCTTTATTGTCTTGTCAATGACTTTCTGATAAACAATGCTAAAATATTAATATATTTCATTTTGGTACAGTTACAGCAACTGCTAACATAGAACAAAATCTCATATTTAGTTTCCTTTACCCCGTCAATGGCTTCATTTATCTTAGATATCTTCATCTTGGTTTTAGGTTGATAAAATTTCGCAAGCTGATGTAAATACAGAGATAATTTTTAATTGTCAAATGGGGCGTGGACGAACTACGACCGGAATGGTCATTGCAACTTTGGTTTACCTCAACCGAATTGGAGCTTCTGGTACCTTCATGTTCTTTTGAAATTTTCTCATATCATCTTCCTTTATTTTATTGTTCATTTAATTTCTTTTATGTTATTGTTCAATCCACAAATTTGAAGTCAAGCAAATGATTTCTTGCATATTCAGCATCTGATGTTATGTTAAGATTTTTATTTTTATTTAGTGAAAAATGATTTTTTCTTGTTAGATGCAGTGCTTTGCTGCACCACTACTGCAGCATATGAATAAGCATTCTAGTATTTGGTCAAAATAAAATGTCTATAGATTTTTTCGTTTCTGTGGCAATTTTTGGTTGTAAAGGAAACATTAGGGAGCAAGCACATCCTTTCTGTACTTGGTAGTGTCTACCTTGGTTGTGAAATAAGTTATGAGTTTGCTGGAAGAGTCGCTGACTACTTTACTAATTTTTGTAAATAGTCATATTCAGGAAATACAGCTTTTTAGGTCTTTTCTAAAGGTTGAATTTTCATTCATATTCAGGAAATAAGTTATGAGTTTGTTGAAAGAGCAGCCGACTCCTTCACTAATTTTTGTAAAAAGTCATATTCAGGAAATACAGCTTTTTAGGTCTTTTCTAAAAGGTGAATGTTCATTCATATTACCTTTTAAAATAAATATGTCCTTTACGTAAATCAGACCAAACAAAATATAGCTTCTACTTTTCATAAAATCTCTAAATATAAATTACTTTTTTCAAATGGGCCCTAATAGACTAATAATATACATCTAGGGGCAGTGGGAATCAGTGGGTGTTGGAACAACCAAAAACTTTAAGAATGTAGCTGGGTTATATGTGTAATTGAAGAAAGTATAATGTTCACTTCAACAAGTGACAAATACAAAACAGTACACATGTTCCTTGTGTGTTCTATAATTTCCAAACACAATATGTAAGAGATGTCCCATTCCACTTTGTTACATTCGATTCCCTTCTTTTTGTGTGCCAAATGCTACCTGTTTACTTAGAAAGATTATTGAACCTATACTTATGGTTATTGTATTTCTTTGGTAATTTCTATCAACTTATTCTCAATCCTTTGTCATTTAGTTAGATCATAGGATTACCATTCGAATCAATGGCCATTAACAAGATGTTTAATTTTTCTAAATATGTGATAGGGATTCCAAGAAACAATTCAGTTGGTAGAGTTTCTCAATGCTTGACTAATGTTGCTGATCATATGCCTAACTCAGAGGAGGCAATTCGAAGGGGAGAATATACAGTCATAAGAAGCTTGATGCGGGTGTTAGAGGTATTGGCATCAACTACAATATTTCTTTTAGTCAATACAAAATATGTTCTATTTGTCCTAACTAATTTACTTGCTTCTAGGGTGGTGTTGAGGGGAAAAGACAAGTGGACAAAGTCATTGACAAATGTGCCTCAATGCAGGTACCTGTTTCAAGCCCTTGAGGAAGCACTTGTAATGAGGGAAGTCTTAGTACCCTGAGCAAGGATTAATTTCACACCCATAGGGTGTGAGGAAACCTCGTGAGGACAGGGGAAAAAAATTCCTAATTTGGTTGTTTACATTGTTAGATGTTGCAAATTTCTTTTCATTGTACCTGGAGGTTGGCTTTTTGCATATCTTCTCCAATTGCCTCATTTAATCCTTGTTTTGCATTTATTTCAGAACTTGCGTGAAGCAATTGCCACCTATCGTAATAGCATTCTGCGACAACCAGATGAGATGAAAAGGGAGGCTTCACTCTCTTTTTTTGTGGAGTATTTAGAGAGATACTACTTTTTAATATGTTTTGCTGTATACATACATTCAGAAATGGCTGCACTCCGTTCTAGTTCTTCTGGTCATAGTAGTTTTGCTGACTGGATGAGAGCTAGGCCAGAGCTCTACAGCATTATTCGCAGGTTATTTTCTTTTCCCCAATAATTATCTGAATTCTTAGTTTTGTTAATTTCCTTTCATTAGGTCTATGGATTCATATCTATTGAATCAAAGTATCAAACTGATTGTGACTATTTAACTGTTTCAGGCCAAATATACCTAACATTGAAAAATTGAACTGCATTAATGCAACTAAGCTTGTTTCTACTTGAGACATTAAATTTTAATTTATTCAGTCTGAGGTCCTAGTTGTCCCTACACATTGGCACTGGCATTAAAGAAATCCTTTATCTTAATATTGCCTTTTATGCTTGGAAGTATAGTTAATTAATTGAGTAATTTGAGTCTTACCATCAAGGATTATGCATGTGAAAATGTGATTCTTAGTTGCCATTAACTTGTGATAATGAAGGTCTCTATTGAATTGTGATGATGCATGGGTAAGTTGAAAAGCTTCTTTATGTGCGTAAAGATATTCATTAGGGTTTCCAAAGTTGTCTCCAAAGAAACAGGCCATGGGCTGAAATTTTTATCTATTGGGACATTATGCTATGATTCCATAGTACCTTTTATTTTTTACCTAAAAAGGAGTTGGCTATTTGATGTTGAAGTGTAACTATAGAGGTACTTCCTTTGGCAGAGTATTCTCCTAAATAAACTTGCACTCCCGTAGGATGAATATTCTCTGATTCACATAAAATAGGAATAGAAGTTAATTATCATTCAAAAGCTTGTCAACTGTTTACAAAGAGAGCTTATAATAGGTCAAATAAACTCCAATCCCAAGATGGACTCAAAGTAGAAAAGCCCAATCAAATTAAAATCTAAAAATGAAATAAAATCGCTAAATAGTCAGAGTTTCCAAATTAAAAAATAATGACAAAATGAAATCTCTAATTAACAAAGTAATTAAATATCCAATCTATATCACTATCTTTTCTTGTTCTTAGTGTAGCTCAACATTGGTTATCAAGAGAGAAGCGAGAGGGGTTTGACTCCCTATGAGACATCCACTATGCTTAAAGTTTAGAAATTTCCTTGGTTAATATTTATTAGAGTCAAGAATATGCTGGCGTTGACTCAATCCTAAAAGTTAGTTCAAGAGCTGTCTGTTATAATAAAGGGTGTTTTTATCATAACCTTAGCCAATATAGGATCATAACACACCCTTTTATGCCTAGGATTGAACATTTGGAACATGAAGTTTGCAAAATTAAAAATTTGCTAGTGGCTCAGGATTAGGACTTGACAGGTTTGATGCCATATTAGAATTGAGAACAAATTTAACCTAAATAAAAGCTAAAGGAGGAAGGATTGCCCAGTTATTATAGGGTGTATTTTGGTCATGTCCCTAGTTGATGTAATATGTGAACAATATTCACTGAAAACTCCTAGGTATAGTGTTTTTGCAGTACGGTCTTTTGCTAATCTATTGTTCACCCTTGTCATTCCTTTCTTAAATAAGATTTCCCTCCATAAATTTGACAGCTGTTTACCAATTGGGTTTTTTATTGTAATTATAGTTATTAACTTGTTGATCTTATGGTTGTTATTGTTAACGTTTGGCATGCATCATTTACTTCCTATGCCAAATATCTGCATTGCAGGTTGCTGAGGAGAGATCCAATGGGTGCACTTGGATATTCCACTTTGAAACCATCTCTAAAGAAAATAGCTGAATCTACTGATGGCCGTCCTTCTGAGATGGGTGTTGTTGCTGCCTTAAGAAATGGCGAGGTTCTTGGCAGTCAAACTGTTCTGAAAAGTGATCATTGTCCTGGATGTCAACTTCCAGAATTACCTGAGAGAGTGGAGGGGGCACCTAATTTCAGAGAAGTTCCTGGCTTTCCAGTTTATGGGGTGGCAAATCCAACTATTGATGGTATTCGATCTGTCATTCATAGGATTGGAAGCTCCAAGGGTGGACGCCTGGTACTTTGGCATAATATGAGAGAAGAGCCTGTTATTTATATCAATGGCAAACCCTTTGTTCTTCGTGAAGTTGAAAGACCATACAAAAACATGCTGGAATACACGGTAAAAATTACGTTGAATCTTTGGCATACTTCTTCAATAAACTTTTAGGTTAAGATAGGGGTAAAGCAAACTAAATGTTGAGTTTGGAAAAGTGAGCCTTTCATATCCACTAGATCATATACCACAATTGGCTTTCCAAATTTTCTTTTGGTATTTCAAGGATGTCATAATTTTATGCATGGGCCTATACATAATAGGGAGAATACAGTGTGGAGGGTATATTCCAAAAGGAATAAGCAGCAGGGGTAATGGGTTAGTAAGTTACAAGTGAGTTTGTTGGGAGCTGAGGAGGTTAGGTTGTTAAATGGAAGAAATTCTGATTCCATTTGATGCCTCTTTGAATTTCATGGCAGGTTGGAAATTCTGTCCCAAATTGTGTGAATTGGATATTGACATATTGTAATTTGTGCTTTCAGGGAATTGGCCGGGAAAGGGTGGAGAAAATGGAAGGAAGATTAAAAGAAGATATCCTACGGGAAGCTGAACAATATGGCAGTGCAATAATGGTTATTCATGAAACAGATGATGGGCATATATATGATGCTTGGGAGCATGTCACCTCTGACATGATTCAAACCCCACTTGAAGTTTTTAAAAGCTTGGAAGCTGAAGGATTTCCCATTAAGTATGCACGTGTTCCCATCACAGATGGAAAAGCTCCTAAAAGTTCTGACTTTGACATAATGGCTTTTAATATTGCTTCTGCTTCTAAGGACACTGCTTTTGTTTTCAATTGTCAGGTAGTTTCTTAATCCTTTATTTCTTCTGCTGCATTCTTTGTTGACATCTTTATTCTATATTTCTGTCTATCAGTTCTTCTCTTGACTACTATTTTCCCTTTTCATCTCTTACTTCCAATATCCAATTCATATTTCAGATGGGTAGGGGCAGGACAACCACTGGTACTGTCATAGCTTGCCTTGTGAAACTTCGAATTGATTATGGGAGGCCTATTAAAATACTGAGAGATTATGTGACCCGTGCAGAAGTGGATGGTGGTTCCTCAAGTGGAGATGAAGTTGGGGATTATGTTGCTGCATTAACGCACAGTACTTTGCAAGTAAAGACAGATGAGAAACAAAATCATGTTTTTGGTATAAATGACATCCTGTTGTTATGGAAGATAACAGCATTCTTTGACAATGGGGTGGAGTGCCGGGAGGCCTTAGATGCTATTATTGATAGATGTTCTGCACTTCAAAACATTCGCCAAGCTGTTTTGGAGTATAGAAAAGTATTCAATCAACAGCATATTGAGCCTAGGGTAAGGAGGGTGGCATTAAATCGTGGTGCTGAGTACTTAGAACGGTACTTCCGTCTTATTGCTTTTGCAGCATATCTTGGAAGTGAAGCGTTTGATGGGTTTTGTGCACAAGGAGAATCAAAAATGACATTTAAGAATTGGATGCATGAGAAGCCTGAGGTGCAAGCTATGAAATGGAGCATCAGACTGAGACCAGGGCGATTTTTCACTGTCCCTGTAAATATTTTTCTACTTAAAATTATTTTCCCCGTCCCCCTAAGGATTGAAGTAATATTTAGCCTCTAGTCATTTTTAATTGTAGGAAGAGTTGAGAGCACCCGAAGAGTCTCAGCATGGAGATGCAGTAATGGAGGCTTTCGTCAAGGCCCGGAGTGGTTCTGTTCTGGGAAAAGGCTCCATACTGAAAATGTATTTCTTTCCTGGTCAGAGAACTTCCAGCCACATAGAAATACATGGTGCACCCCATGTTTACAAGGTAATCTTATATATGTGAGCACTGCTAAAGAAACTAACTATCATCAAATTTGTGATCCAGAGGGTAAGGCTACACATCCAGTGGAGACCTACAGGATCATCCAATTGTAGGTAGAATTAGCATCTTTAACAGTTTAATGTGTTTTGGTGTAAGTTTATTTATTGAATAGTCGTAGCTGCAACTTAATATTTTATTCTGATGTTTGCTATCATGGATAAGTTCATATTCCACTTTCATTTTCTTATTGGATTTGTTAGAAGCTGTTGTGGTATCGAGTATTCTTTGGGATTATAAAGTACCAAATCTTTTCATCATTTTATTAATTTATTATATTTTAATGTTACTAAATCGATGCGTAGGCTTGTAGATTTTCTCTTCATAGCTCTTTTTTTGACGTGTGCAGTAACTTTACCATTAAGCAACAAAAGAAATTGGATTCAGAAGAGCAATGCATAAGGGTTTCTGTGTACAAAAGCTGATACCATTGTTTTGAAAACTGAAACTTGCCAGATAAACCATCTGTGTTTTGAATTAACTTAATTATCAGTCTTTTGCACATGCTTCTTATTTTTCTTCCTGGCAATATGTGAAAAGTATAATCAATCAGAAATATAATATAGTATGGTGACTTTTTGAAATATGATGTCTAGAACTTTTTTCTCGTTTCAAAGGTTGATGAATACCCTGTGTATAGCATGGCTACTCCAACCATCTCTGGTGCGAAGGAGATGCTAGCATACTTGGGCGCTATGCCTAAACCAAAAGCCTCAGCTGCTCGAAAAGTGATACTGACTGATCTGAGAGAGGAAGCAGTTGTTTATGTAAAAGGCACACCTTTTGTCCTGAGGGAGTTGAACAAACCTGTTGATACACTCAAGCATGTGGGAATCACTGGTCCTGTGGTCAGTGATCTTGTATAATAGTGTCTATTGTATCATATCTCAAAATACAAACTGTTGCACAACTCATGGTAACTGCAATGCAGGTGGAACACATGGAAGCGCGATTGAAAGAAGATATAATCGCTGAGATTAGACAGTCTGGTGGACTGATGCTGTTTCACCGTGAAGAATATAACCCTTCAACAAATCAGTCTGGTGTGATTGGATACTGGGAAAACATTTTGGCAGATGATGTGAAAACACCTGCAGAAGTTTATTCTGCCCTAAAAGATGAGGGATACGATGTTGTCTATCGCAGGATACCATTAACAAAGGAGAGAGATGCTTTGGCCTCTGACATTGATGCAATACAGTATTGTAATGATGAGTAAGTATTCTGTATTCCTACTAGGCATAGTATGTGTTTCATAAAGTTTGCTACTTGCTGACTGTGTGCATTAGATACATTAACCAACCCATGGTTGTTAATAATTTAGGGGCTTTCTTTCTTTCCAAAATGCAATCACTGGATTCTTGTAATGATTTTTATTATCAATAATCTATGATTCTATATGGATGGGTTACAGGCTGTAGAGACAATAGTGGTATTGTTCTTAGTATGCTCTGTGGGCATCTGTCTGCATACTGTTCAGAAACAGTGTACTCAATATGTTAATCTGTTGAAGTAATTCCTAGTTTAGATTTGATAATATACTTCTAAACTCTTGTTTTTTGTAGCTCTGCAGAGAGTTACCTTTTTGTATCACACACAGGTTTTGGTGGAGTTGCATATGCAATGGCCATTATCTGTATTAGACTAGGCGCAGAGGAAAACTTTGTATCCAAAGTACCACAGCCATTGTTTGGCCCTCACCAGTATGCAGCAACTGAAGAGAACCTGCCATCTCGAGCTTCTAATGAAGCTGCACTCAAGATGGGTGACTATCGTGACATTTTGAGCCTTACAAGAGTCCTCATATATGGTCCCCAAAGCAAAGCAGATGTTGACATTGTTATTGAAAGGTTATAACCTAAACTTTGATCACAAGCTTTACTAACTATATGATATGATACCTATTGAAAACATTTTCATTGTCAAAGTGGATACAGCAATTATGTTCTTTCTGACCTAATTTAAATTTACCTCAGCAATTACTTTTAGTTTCAGCATGTCATAAAGATAGTGGATTTTGCATCATTTTACTCAGGGAAATTTGATTCAGAAACATATCTTAAGTTATTTGTTTTTATATGAGCAACTAAATTTTTTGTCTTTGTTCAATAGATGTGCAGGTGCAGGGCATCTACGAGATGATATTCTTTATTATTATAAAAAATTTGAAAAGTTCACGGACGGTGATGACGAGGAACGTGCATATCTTATGGATATGGGTATCAAGGCTTTGAGGTAAACTTATCTACCTCATCCACAGTTCAAATTTACTTCTCTCACTTCACTTTCGACAGACATTATTCAACAATAGTGTTACTTTTGCTGCAGATACACCATTCAATAACTCAACAGAAATGATTTTGGCCAATACATATATAATAAAGTTATTACATAGATCTTGCATGCCAAGTTTTAGAAAGTTTGAACAATAATAAGGATATGATCATATGACTAATACCTTAGTTTCTATAAAAAGTATAATATATATTAATGGCCTAAATATGTTTTTAGTCCTTCACTAATTTTTTATTTTCATCTGTCTAAAATTTTTTTGTAGTTTTGGTCTATATGTTTATGCAACTTAGGTGTTTTTGTTGCTCTCATTGACATGGCTGCCTAAATAATCAATTATGAGGTAACCTTTCTGTTGGTCACGTCATCATTACATAATCATCCATTAGGGACCAAAAATGGTGACTTTGGAGAAATCAAGGACTAAAACCGTAGAAAATTTAGATAAACTAAAACTGAAAATTGGTAAAATTCTAAGTATAAAAAACATTTTTAAGCCTATAAATGTTGTACATTTTAATATAATAGAAAACAATGCTTGATTATGTCGTTTGTTAACTGGTGCATGAAAAACAGTTATTGTTGAGCATGATGTACATGATGTAAAGTTCAATCCAGTAATGGGTTTTGTAAGAAATTAATGTATGAAACTTTTTAAGTTTCATTCAACCCTATGTATATTTTCATTAACCCAAGCTGGTGAATGGTGACTTTTATATTTGTTGGATGTTGATGTAGGTCATATAATTTGTTGTGGTTTATGTTTCCCCCCATCATTTGCAGGCGATACTTTTTCCTTATCACGTTCAGATCTTATCTTTACTCCACCTCTCCAGCCAATATGAAATTTGCTGCATGGATGGGTGCAAGACCGGAGCTTGGTCATCTATGTAACAATCTTAGAATTGATAAATAATATAACAATGCTTATAATTATATGTCGATGTACAGTTAGCGGTTCCTGTTACAGGTTGTTCAGCAATACCCTCTCCGCCCGCTACCCCTTGTCCCTTGCCCGCCCAATGCCCTAAAATGTCGCCGTCATATGCTACTTTGCAAACTTCTGGCTCATGTGCAAACGACGCATCCTTTAGTCATTGTCTTTCTATCCTGTTCGTATGTTACGAGAGGCTGGCTCTGACATGGGACACAAATATGGTACATATCTGCCGAAGGAGCAATATCTGATTGCTAAATCAAGAAGTCCAGAGGACAATAATTTAGTGTTCGCTGGAGTCATCAGGCATTAGTTATACATTATGTATTGTATTGTACTCCTATTTTAGTGAGATTTGATTATAGGATTTATAGGTTTAGTTCATTAGATTAATTACGAGGTCCTCCTTGTCTTTGATTTCTAGTTTCAGATCCATCACACTGTAGAAACATTGAAACTAATTTAGGTTGTAGTTCTGCCCATGAACTTAGATATCGTATGAGAAGAAATGATTGTTGGAACGCTTCTTCCAATTCAAATTCCCTAGTTAAAATGAAATGAAATGAGGATTCTAGATTATTCTAATTATGATGATATGGATGCTATTCACTTAGATATTAATTATTTTTATTAATTCAGATAAAAAAAATTGACAATCTCATTGGATCTTACTTAGAAGTTTACAAATCATAATAAATTTTTTTATTTAATATTAATGGTTAGGCTATCTTGGATCAATTATGATATGAAAAAAATTGAAAACTCATGTCGGTATTTATTAAAAATAAGAAAATTCTTCAATTTAATAATTTTTTGTGTTGATAATTTTGAGAAAAATTATACTCAACTATTACTAGCTAAAATTGAAAATGAATCTAACATTTTTTTGTATATACAAGGTGATATTTGTATACCAATACATCTATTATGTGGACTATTTAGATATTTTATAATTTTAATTGATGTATCAACTAAATGATTATATGTTTATTTGTAGTCAACTTGAACTCCAAGAAAGCTTGCTTGCTCAAATAATTCATTTTTTTATTATCCAATTAAGAAAATATATTTTGATAATATTGACAAATTTACATCTTGAGCTTTTAATTATTATTGTACATATATTAGAATTGATATTGAGCATCATGTAGTATACATACTTAAAATAGACTTGTTGAATTATTAATCAAGCATCTAAAGTTAATTGTAAGATCATTACTAATGAAATCAAAACTTTCAATTAGCTTTTGATCAATAACCTCATATTTTTCATCTAAGAATTTACAAATATGTAGTTTATGTTCCTATTGCTCTATCACAATACACTAAGATGGGTTCTTAAAGAAGATTAGGAATATATGTTAGCTATGAATCTTCATCTATAATAAAATATCTTGAGTCAATGACAATGGATTTATTTACTGCTCGATTTACTTATTACCATTTTAATGAATCAATTTTTCTTACTTTAGGGGGAGGGGGGGAGAGAAAATAAGCATTAGGAAAAGGAGATAAGTTAGAATAAATTATCTTTATCTCATATTGATCCTCCAACAAAACAATGTGAAATAAATATTCAAAAAATAATTTATTTGTAAATATTAGCCAATCAACTACTAAATGTGTTTACGGATCCAAAAGGATGACTAAATTATATGTCTCACTTGTTAATGCCTCCAATCAAAATTAATGTCTTAATTGGGCAATCTATTATTGCAAAAAAGTTTGAAACACATATGAAGCATGGTAAATGTTTTGCTTCCAAAGATAAAAATCTCTAAAAATGAAATAGAGCTAAGAATCAAGGTGACCAAATCAAGAATGTAAAGATTCTAAAAGAGTAATCAGACATAATTAATATTTCAATTTTTAAAGAAACACAAGTATCTGAAAATCATGAAAATAAAAAAATCTCAATAAATCATATCATGAATAAAATATAATGAAATCAAAATGAAGTCAATGTTGATAATTTTTTTTTTTCATTTAACATAGTATTGGATATGATAACTGATATAGAATTGAGACAAAATTAAGTTGAAGTGACTAGCAATAATGAAAAGATTCAATTGAGACAAAATTAAAGTCGCTTACAAAACGTCAAGTTTTTGGACATATTGTTGGTACACCTAAAGATGTAAAGCCAATTGGATCAAATGAGTTTTTGTGTAGAAACAAAATGAGAAAGGTAAAATTGTGAGATATAAAGCACAACTTATTATCCAAGATTTTTTGTGAAGACTTAACATTAATTTTGAATAAACATATTGACCTATAGTGGATGCAAGTTTCGATACTTAGTTAGTTTAGCAGTACATGAATGACTTGATTTGTCTTTAATGGATATTGTTATAACATATTTATATGACTCACTTGATGTAGACTGTACTAGATAGGATATTAGTCGATTTTAAAGATAAAAGAAGAAATCTGAATATCCCTTCGATCTCAGCAAGATAACTACCCCATCAGTCAGATTAAAGAATAATTAAATCAATTAAGATAAATAATTAAATCATTATTTACTTAATTACATGGCTAAAATCAAGGCTGATTCACAAAGCCCATTAGCCCATAATATTGTCTATAAAAAGAAAATAAGAGGTACAAGTAAGGGGTTGACTTTTGAATATTAAATAGTATTTACTACCTAACTTCATCATTGGAGTACCTTTTGCATGTACACCTCCTACGTCAGATAAGGAAAGACTTATAATAAAAAGGAAGACGTCATCTTATCCCGTAGTAGAAGGATATTCTGAAGATTGATGTTTTCTTAACAGGAATATAGACATTTATACGAAACTCCCTAAATATTTTAATTTGTCGAAAGCATAAAATTCAAATTATAAAGAAGGTTATTTAATTAAATTGAATAAATCACTTTATGAATTAAAGCAATTTAGATGCATGTGGTATAATTGCCTTAACGAATATTTGTTAAATGAATGATATAAAAATGGTCTCATTTGTCCATGTATTTTTACCAAAGATTTGACAATAGTTTGTCAAAATTATTGTTTATGTTGATGATTTAAATATCATTGAAACTTCTAAAGAGATTTAAAAAATAATAAGTTGCTTCAAAAAAATTAAGATGAAAGATTTTAGAAGAACAAAGTTTTGTCCAGGATTATAATATGAATATGTAAAAAATGAAATTTTTATGTATTAAGAAGTTTACAAGAAAGGTGTATCATTAAATGTAGACAAAGATCATTTCAAATCTCAAGAAAATGATAAAAAAAAAAATTGCTCTTGAAGTACCTAATCTTAGTGCAATTAGAGCACTAATACTTCTTACTTGTCAGACATAACCTAATATATCATTCACTGTTAACTTATTAACAAGATATAATTCTTAACTTGAAAGAAGAAATTAAAATTGAGTTAAATATATATTTCACTACCCTAAAGTATGATGGATGTGAGTTTATTTTACTTAAATGAATCTAAGTCTGACTTGAATGGTTTAGATAAAAAAAATATGTTGTGATACAACCATTTTATGGAAACCCATGAAATAAATTGTAATGATTACACCATCTAATCATGCATAAATTATTTTAACATTAAGGCAAGTCAAAAATGCATCTAATTGAGCTGTGTAATTTGACATGTGCAAAGAACTTGTAGTTTATCTTTGAAAAAAATTACCCTAAAAATTATATGTGAAAATAATATTGCATGTATTACTCAATTGATTAAAGGAGATACAATAAAGTATATTTCTACAAAATTTTCTTTTACTCATGATCTTCAAAAGAATGACGATACAAATATTTAATAAACTCATTCATGTGAGAATTTAGCAAATATTTTTACAAAGTTATTATTAAGTAAAACTTTTGAACAACTACTTCTTAAGAAAGAGAGAATTAAATATATTTTGTACTCTTTTTTTCTTATCTATTATTTTTTCTTATTGGATTTTCTTGACAATATTTTTAATGAGGCAGTATCTAATAACATATTAAAGGATAATGTATTTTTGTTCTTTCACTAAATTTTTATCATGTAGAATTTTTCTTCTAATAAGATTTTATGAAACTTATTCTCAAATAATAGACATCTAAGGGTATAAATTACCTGTTTGGATATACTTGTGATAAGTCCTTGTATAAAATAATATAAAATAATTAAATTTTTTTCTGTAAGATATAAAGAATTTATCTTTTTAAGTTTTAGATAAGTAAAATGAGAGTAGCTTTTAAAAAATAAAGTATAAGATAAATTTAACTTAAGAAGTTTTATTCATTTTTTTTATTTTTACAAGAATTTATCTATAAGTCTGCCCAAACTGGACCTGTTACTATTTATTTAATTCACTTCTAAAAAAATAAATTTTTTAAATTATAAATTTAAACTTATAAATAAGCTATCTCATTTATTTTAAAAATATCTCTAATTTTATTTTTCTTTTATTTGACTTTTACATTAATTTTATAACATATAATAAATCTTTTTAGTCTCATTTATTTTTGTAAATCCAAATCAAATTAATAACTCATAATCGAAATTCTCAATGTCATTTGGCTAAAAGAAATTATTATTCAAATAACTCAAGTTTCTTCTTTTATTTTATTTATATACATAACATGATATCCTTTTAATTAAAATAAGTTATTATCTAAATTAATAACTTTTTTTCTATAATTTTTAAAAACAATATATTACCTGATCAGGTCGTGATGGTAGAAGGCCCAAACCTATAGTATCTCTGCGTTTACCTTGTAATATGCTTTTTCTTTTAAAAAAAAATAATAAAAATGAAACCCCTACTCCAGTCCGTTACGAGAAAACGCGCGCATTTCAAAATCCGCCACCAGAGATGTTTCCTTTTGAAATCCAAATAAATAATAGGGCATCTGATTCTGATTGCCTCTACGGAATTGCTCTTTTCTGTGCTCCGATCCTTCTTTCCCAGTTTTGACATTCGAACAAACAAGCAACACCAACGGTATAAACATTTTTAAACTTTGTCGTCTTCTTCGATCTTTTTTTTTTTGTTCTTTTTCTTTTCTATGAGTTTCTGGCGATTAATTGTATTCATGCTAGTTGCTACTCAATCAATCACTACACAAACCTACTGCTTCCTAGCGTTTTTTATGTCTTCGATTCGGCTATTGCGTTCTCACTCAGTTCAATATTATGTTATTTGTAGCGGCTCTATACTGAATGATTTTACCTTGCCTTTCTAGTTTGGAACCTTCAGATTCAATCGCTGTGCTAGGGTTTCGCTCAAGTTAATTGCAATTCAGTTTAGTATATGCTGATTCTTTGTTCTTAGATGACTTTTATAAATGTTTTTGGTTATACGCATAAATTCGTTTTTAGATTTAGAACACGAACTTCATATACTTGTACCTGTAGGCGTAACCTATGTCAACTCAAAGGGAAAGCACAGAGAGCAGAGCTACGAGGAAGCGCATGAAACCAGCGGTATTCGTTTTCGTCTTTCAACCTTTTTTCTGTTTCGTTCTTTACAGCATCCTTTACCGTTTCATTTTTTTTTTTTTTTTTTGGTCACAATAAACAGGTGGAAGAAAAGGCAGGAGATGAAGCAGAATCCATAACTGAACAGGAGGAAGAATTTGAGACGAACATTACTGGACTTGAAGAAATGGAACTCAGTATCTCTCTTATTCTTGAGAAGATTGAAAATTATACTCAGAGGGTAGCTCTATATAGTTAAACATCGTGTGAGGCTTGGAAACATACTGTATAAAAAATTCAACTCTTTGATATATGATAAATGATGGATCGCATGCAGGTATCTGAGCTCCTAGAATCAGGGAAAACCATGTTTAAGGAGCTAAGCAATGAATTTGAAGAAAAACTGATTATGTGGGATATGAAATTACCACTTCTTTCTTTACTTTTAATATTGATGTTATTTGTTTTTCTGTGGTATGATCCTGTTAACTTCCTAATGTGCAGGATTCATAAGGAGCAAGTAGAAAAATGGCAGGAAGAAATCAAAGAATTGCGTGCACTTGATGCCTCAAACGAGGAAGCGAATGCTCTCTTGCTTAATGCTCGATATCTTCTTCAGATCACTCGTAATGATTAGTGAGGGTAATCTTCTAATGTCTAAGTGCATTCGTAAACATAATCGATCACCCTGTGTTGAGGCATTAGGAATTTAGGATTGAATTAAATTGACTTGGACTGTGGTCATCATCTGATTAATCTTATTCTGCAAAATATATACTCATCACAATTGATTAATCTGGTCGTGGGAACGGTAGAAATTTTAGTAGTAATACCAACGACACTCAACTCAAGCTAATCGGTAGCATTTCAGTATTTCAGTTTGAGAGATGGCAATTCAAGAACAGGAAAGGTGGTGTTTAAAATTTTCGAAAAGTGCTGCATTGTAGAAAGACGCTTAAGTTCAGTCCTTTTTAAATGCATCTTTGCTTTCAAAGTTATTCTTAATATGTTCTTTTTCTTTACACTAATAACATTTTATCCTTTTTTTTTTCACATAATTTAGAGTGTGAACGATTTCCTGATTTTATGCTCCTATCTCTGTTAATTGTCATACTTATATAATTTACAATAGAACTATTATGGTTCATCTTCTGTTCTTTAGATTATATATTATCTTTCACATCATTAATAATAATGTTATTTTTACCCCCACCGTACAGTATCAATAAAATATTCAAATGATTTTAATAAAGAATATAACAGAATGATAGTTTGGTCTTTATCATTAATTTTAACCTTGACACTCTGAAGATTCAAGATAATTCGATTAAAATTATCAAGATAATATTTTACTAATATATTCTTGTACAACTACAACATATATAGACGTTGCTTTTAAGACAATCAATTAGTTAAATATTTCTTTTGAAATCTTTCTCGTTTTATATTTCCAAAATCATTTTTTTGTCAACTACTTACAAAATTTCATTAGTTAGCTCAATAAAATTATACTATACACCTTTTTTAATATATCTTTATTTACTTTATTTGTCTCAGTTGCACATGATTTTTATTCACTATCTAATGCTATTGTAGTTGTACATCCTTGATATGCCAAAATTGTCTTCATCTTCAATTTTTACAAAGTAAAATCATTCAATCCATTAAATTTCTCAACATTGAATTTGTATAAAAACATTATGATCACCAAATTTGGTCCTTGAAAAAAAAACAAGCTTTTAATACCGGTTGTTACAAGAGAAACAAAAAAGCGTAATATGAAAAATAAAAATACTCTAATTCTTGAAAATTTTCCATTTCTTGTTCCTTAGAAGTGTTTGGAGGGAGAATTTTAGAATTCATTAGAATTTGACATTAATAATTAAGAATGATTAAAATGTGAATCAAATATGAGAAGAATTATGAATGATAATTACAAAAAGTTAAATGTAATAAGTTATTTTAAAAAAAAAAATTTCTAATGGCATGTCATTTAAAATTCTTTATACTTGGCATAAAAATTCTCTAACTAAAATTCTGAAGTATTTTATAATTAATGTGGTTAAGTCAACATAAATTAATCTATAATCAATGGAACTTATGAATAAAAGTGTTTTTTCAACTTTTAAAGTTTATCTACATAATAATTCATAACTAACAATAACAATTCATAACTCTCTCTTACAACCTATTAAAGAGAACATTAAGTAAATGAAGAGAATGCATTCAAGAGAAAGAGCTAACTGTCTTTAATTCCTTTCTTTGTTACTACTGCTACTAAAATAAATTCTCGATATTAGATTCCATCTCAAGAACATACGATGCAGCAATTCAAGGCCTTCAAATATTTTGCACCATTCCTTACTATGCTAATGTAAGCGGTTCTTCTAATTCAGTATTTTCAGAAAAATTGAAGTTTTATTTTTCCGGGAAAAAATATTTTAAATTATATAGGAGGGTAAGTAATTCCCATTCAACAATGACCACCGTGACTCTCGTGTGTGAAGGAGTAGTTTGGTGAACATGGCAAGGGAGGGATGCCATCAGCCATGTGCTGTGAAGTAGCTCCACGAGATAAGGCATAATATATGGCATATATTCTTGGGCATTTTTATAGCTGACTTGTTCATGTTTGTCAAAATTTTGATAGTTGCTAATATAAAAAGTTTCCATTTCCTGATAAACAAGGTAAGACCCTCGCACATAATAAGGCATTGCACGTTACTACTGCCACTGAAGCAAACGTTTGTAATCATATTTTCTTCAACTATTGCGTGCAAGAATGGACTTCGGGTCATACAAAAAGTAGCAATATAATTTTTATTACAACTTTTGTTATTAAATAAATTTATATCATTAAATAAGGCGTTAAACTAAATAAAAAGTGAGATTCACTTCATTTCATGATACTTACCAAATTTTTATCTAATAATTAATAAGGTGTCCAGAATTGTCTCGAAAGGTATGTCATTAACATTTTTCTTTCTAAGATATATGAGTACAAGAGAAATAAAAATGGGTTAAACTTTTAACATTAGTGCTTTCACGATTAAGTGTTGACAAGTTTGATATCTTAAAAGGACTTTTCCTGAAATATTTATTTTAGCTTTGAGCTTTCAAGATTACTGTTTTAAAAACTAAGTCAGGGTTAAGCAAGATTTTGAGGCAAGGGACGAATTGAGGAAAGTACAAGCGTGGGCCAGATTCCTCTATTTTTGCAATTTTTTAATATATAAGTTGATTATGTATTCTAAAATTGTAATTGTATAATTTATAAATATTATTTTATATCAAAATTTGTTCACTTATAATTCTTCCCTCAAAGGTTTTCTCGATCTATCCTTGTATATAACTCTACGTTGCGGTTCAATTGTAGTTTTTAAATACTATTTAAATAGTTGATTTTTTGACAACGAGAATGGAGAAGAATCTTCTATTTGCTAGTTTGTCATTAAAAGAGTATTATTCTGACAAAATTCACACAATTTATGTAATGCATGTTCCTTCAAAAAATCAACTATCAACTATTTTATGCATGTTCTTTTAAACAATACAATTTACTTCGAAGCAATCTGAGCTGCAAATTGAATTTGATTGTACCAATTACGTACCACGGATTCTATGACCGACAAAGCATGTTCCTTCACTGCACAATGAGGCTAATCGAACCATTTGAACAAAGTGTAAGATGTAGAATTGAATATTAATCTAATTACGTTTCAAGCGCGTGTTCAATAGTTAGCATCCATCGTTTCATATAATTTAGATGGGTCGAGTCTCATTCACAGCCACCTATCCAAGCCTAACTCACTCCCCTATTTCTTTAATGCATGTATCACACACTACCTCTTTTTATGATAAAAGACCGATTTTTTATCAACATCACATTTTTTGTTAGAAAATATGATTTGAAGTCAATTATATCTATGGGCTAACTAAACGTCCCTAACCGCTGTTATAAATATCCCCTCACAATCTGTCATCTTAAGCAGCAAATTAAGAAAGTCTTTGTTCAGAAAGAGAGATAGAGGAGATGGAGAAACAAATTTTCAATGCTCTAATATTGCTTGTGGGGTTATTCACCACAGAGCTTAGAGTAGTATCCGCAATTTGGCTGCAAGCTCATGCAACTTTCTATGGTGGAAGTGATGCCTCAGGAACAATGGGTAAAATGCATCTACATTTAGTTTTAAGTAGAAAATAAGAACAATGCAATTTCCACATGATATTAATTATGAAACGAGTAACTTGTTTGTACTTGCTTTAGGAGGAGCTTGTGGGTACGGAAATCTCTACACAGATGGTTATGGAATAAAAACATCTGCATTGAGTACTGCTTTGTTTAATGATGGCAAGTCATGCGGTGGTTGCTATCAGATAGTTTGTGACGCAAAGCAAGTGCCTCAATGGTGCCTCAAGGGTACTTCCATCACAATCACTGCTACAAATTTCTGCCCCCCAAACTATGCACTCCCTAGTGACAATGGTGGTTGGTGTAATCCTCCTAGACCTCACTTTGACATGTCACAACCTGCTTTTGAGATGATCGCCAAATACAAGGCTGGCATTGTTCCGATTTTGTACAGAAAGTATGTTATATTATGTTATATTATTTCCTAACTCAGTGTTCATTTATTTTCTAATAAGTGAAAATTATTTGAACTTATCAAAATGATTAATACAGCTAGCTAGCTAACCAATAATGTTGAAATTTGGGGTGCATCTATGCAGAGTTGGGTGCAAAAGGAGTGGAGGTGTAAGATTTACCATCAATGGGAAAGACTATTTTGAACTAGTGCTTATAAGCAACGTGGGTGGAATGGGAGAGATTTCACGAGTTTGGATCAAAGGGTCTAAAGTGAGTAACTGGGAAACCATGTCAAGGAATTGGGGAGCTAACTGGCAAAGCTTAAGCTATCTCAATGGTCAGAGCTTGTCCTTCAGAGTTCAACTCAGCAATGGAAGGACTCAAACAGCATATAATGTGGCACCTTCCACTTGGACATTTGGCCAGTCTTTCATCAGCAAGGTTCAGTTCTGAATGGAACAATAAATATAAATATTATTCAGCAATAGCATTCTTCTACTTCATCCCTTTATAGTTATGCCCTTGTACTGATTGGATGCTTTTGAAGGGGTTGTGGCTAGATAATTTTAGCATTTTGCGATGGGGTTGTGGCTAGATAATTTTAGCATTTTGCGATGAAGTCCACAGACTTAGGTAATGTGTTTCTTTTTTCTTTTAATGTAAAAAGAAATTGGGCAAATTTGTAAGCTCAAACATGTGAAGCTAGTTACATACTTGAGGATTGCAATGATATACCTTGTAAAATGATCTGCACACCTCGTAGCACTTTTCTTTGTTAGAGAATGAAGGCTACTTATTCAGTTCAATCGCCCCTTAAAAGGCTTTTAGATCGGATAAACTGATAAAAATATACCCGCGAAGCAGAACATCAGCCTGTTCTAATTGTTTTTAATCGCAACATGCCCACTGGGCCTGAATGTTTTTCTGTTTGTAATGTTCCAAACGGAGTTTCCAGGTAGCATGAGAGATACTTGACAAAAAAAAAAAACGGTAGCAAGTGATAATCACCATCATCCAACTTCATTGTCGGTGCATCAGAATTCGTGTAAATTGTTTTCAACGAATAAACAAACAAGCACCTTGCTTGTTTAAAATTCTTGTAGGTTTTTTTATAAGTTATTTTAGATTTAATTGAATTGAAAATGATACTTTAATCCTGATAAAAAATAATATATAATTAATAAAGTAAAATTATATTCACCTTATTAACAATGAATGCAATTATTAAACATTCAAAAAGAGAACTTTATCGTTTATAATAATAGACCTACCGAAACAGAATTACTTCCGGCAGTAAAAAATAGCTATGATATAAACCAAAAAAATATTCACCTTTACAGTAATTCATTTTATCAACATCAATTTTATTCAAATTATTTTTGAGAATCTAAAATATAAACCCAACTCCTTCAATTGGTTACTTTAAAAAGTGATTTTGGTTGGGCAAACATAGCTGTTGACATTATGAACGACTAACACGAAACTTTCCAGTGGGAAAAAAAAAATACTTTTAGGTTTCATTATAATACATGCAGATCGGCCTACAAGGAACCTGATAGCAGCATCACCACTTTGGCCATTGCCAAAATTGTTCATACTTACAGGCTAACAACAAGTTACCGATGTCCAACCAAAAAGATGTGCCAAGTATCACAATTCTCTAGTTGCTTCTTATCATAGGCCACTTAATAGTCAGACTTGATGCTGGCAGTGGCTAAAATAATACATTCTTGTTACTTAACAGTTTTTCTGAAAAAGAAACGACAACCAACAAAAATTAACGCTGGAGCAGCTGTACGATCTTCTGCTGCAATTTTAACACTGAAGAAATTGGTGCAAATCAATGGCATGCCATTCAACAGAAGTTGGGGTTCTACCAATCCTTGATGGTATGTTTGTAAAATATGCCAGAAAGTATAGCCTTCATGTCATCTTCGCATTACACGGTGACGTTCTCGTTTCCTGAAGCGCTCTAACATGAATTCATCTGTTGCAGCCTGCCTCCTTACTGCTCCAGCTGCATCAGTGCTGGAATCATTTTGTTTGGATCCAGAACTGTCATCCTGTACACTTCTATCTTTGTACAACTCTGGATGTTCTGCAAATTAGTTGCTTTTAAGGTCAGTAACTGGAATGCTTTAAAACAATTGAAAGTAATCAACTAAGTGACAGAACTTCATCCATAATGGCAAATGCCACAAGACGAATTAATAGATAACTAAAGCAAAGCTGACTATGGCACGGAAAACAAGCAAAAACACGTAAGTACTCTAAAATGACAGTATCAAGAAAATGAAACCTCTTCTAAGTTTTTCAGCATAATCCCGGCCACGCTGGAAATAGTCAGCACTATAACTTGATGGAATGCTGAAATCCGATTTTGTCCGACCCAAAAGCTTCTTTTCCTGTAGAAGCTTCTTAGCAGCCTCTGTTTCTTCAATATTTTTTAATTTATATCTGCATACATGAAATCAAACCCCAAGAAGACACATCACCCATTTACTTCCTCAATGTATAAGTTCATAAAGCAACATAAGACAAACACCAGCACGTACTAGCAACATATAAGAGAAACTATTTCACTTTAAAACCAATGAACCAAGTACAAGAATAAATCAACTGGAATGTAAATCATTTAAGAATTGAACTTTCAGCCAACAAGTTGTAGTCCTTAAAATCTGGTTGTTTGTTTCCAATTATAGGCACTGAGGTAGTGTTTGGTGTATAAACAGAACAAAATATTCTATTGTGTTCTCCTTGATTCCACTCCTTTCACTGGAACAAAAAATGTAATACAACATTCTGTCCATGTTCTATTTTTAAAATGCACCAAGCATAGAACAAAAGTTATATGCTATGTTCTTGCCCACTTTAACATGCCTACAAACACTACCTGACTACTTGTACAAATCAATTAATTAGTATGAAAAAAAAAAACTGCTTGAGTTTTAAATGCCTCTTCAATAAATATTTCAAACTAAATACACAGCCCATTGCAAGAGAAACGAGAAAGCATACTCGATTGGAAGCTGAACCTCAGCAATACCAGTAGTCCACTGAGTAGAGCTTTCTTCTGAATTTCGCCTTTTTACCTGATAGGACATAATATTTTTAAAACAAGAACGGAAAAATAAAAACAACCATTAGACGAATCCAACAAAAGACAACGCATATAGAGGAGTACGATGAAGCTACACTATCAGACACTAACATCATTCATATCCTTAACAGTTCTGTCAGCTGCTATAAACTAAAATGGGGGGAGGGGGGAAGCCAATAAACTGAAGGTTGCAAAACAAAATGCAGCCACTCACTTTAAGATGCTCAGGGATCTTGTACAGTTCATCCTCAGCACGTTTCAACTCATTTTCAACTTGATCTGCGGCATCAATTGTCCTACCCCTCTTCTTCGCTAACTCGTGCTCAATATACTTGACCCTGTTCAAGTAATAAGTAGCAGTAACATCAATAAACACATCCAAATTCAGAAACCTCAGCACAAACACAATACATATACACACGCACATATTGGGGTCTTCGACCATAACAGCGGTCTCTTGAGCGAAGGTGTCTTGAAGAACGAGCTCGTCCTTGTCACCACCGTCGCCGTCGTTCTTGTCGGAGGCTTTCGCGGCTAAACCACCGGTAATTCCAGTCTGCACTAGCAAACTAGGGTTTGCTGGAATTCCCGATTTCCTTTCCCTCTGCTTCTGGAGAAGCTTAATCTCTTCCAATGCCATTCTGTTGCGTCAATTATCATTGGATCAATAAAAGGAAAGGAAACCCTGACGTGAATTCAGCAATCGGAATTGAGAAAAGGAGAGAGAGAGAGAGAGAGAGAGAGAGAAACCTTCTTTCTCGTTCGTCGTCGGATTCATTGTTTTGCGACTGTGGGAATTGGTGTTCTTCGTTTGAAGCACTTCGCTTTCGGTAGTTCTTCTTTCGCTGCTGCTGCTGCTGTTGTTGTTTCGAATCTTCCATCGTTCCTCTTCTCAGCGGTAACGCATCGATCACATAAGAATGCGACGCGGAGTTTTAAACGCAACGTTTTTAAATTCAATCCCACCACTTCTCACTTCTGGAAAGCCGTGTTTGAAAGATTTTATGAAAAAAATTATGAATTTTTTAAAAATTAGTATTACAATTAAATACATAATATGTACTACAAATTATAGTTATTAATTAAATTAGTGATTGAAACATACACTTGTAAAAGAATTATGTAAATACACGTGCGTGGAGGATGAAATTATATTACTATAACTTAAAATTCAATCTTATAATTTGTATGGATTTACTTGTTGAGCTATAACGGGATGTTATTTAAATTATTTATATTAAATTTTTTCAAAATAATTAATTATAAGAATGTAACTAAATATTTTTATTTTTATATATTTTAAAATATATATTATGTTAATTTTGATATATAAAAATAAAATATTAATAAATTTTAGATTTATTTAAAATTTTAAAACTATGATTAAATTTTTAATTTAAAAAATACTTTTAAAATTAAATTATCTAATAAAAAATTAAATAATATAAAATAAGTTTAAGTTATACTATACAATTTGATCAAATTATACAAATGTAAATTATCCATTCATACACTGCTTAATAATTTTTTTATGAATAATTTAATTATTAAATTAAAATTTTTAATTATATAGATTATGATTGCAAATTTTAAAAAATTCAATATAAAATTATTTAATATTTTATTTGTGTACATCAAATTTACCGAAATATATACATTAAAATAACTTGATTACTTCGGATTCTGAGATGTCTGCATTTTACCATGTTGATTTAACAGGTAACCAACACGGAAGAGAAAAGTGAGGAGCCAACGGTCCAGTCTTTATTCAGTGTTTACAAAACCAATTAATCCCAAAGACAAGAAATAAAACTATACCCACGTAAAAGGTAGCAGGTTCTCCCTTAGAAAATTTGCATTATTCTTGACACATACTAAACAATATCCGCGATATAATTCCACACTCGTTACCACATCGATGAGCAAAATGCTACACAATAAGTGATTCAATGATCATTAAGCTCTACTTAAATTAACTCTTCTTAGGAGCAAGCTTGGTCTTGATATTGTCAACCTCTTTAATATCAATCTGGAAGGCCTGAGCAAGCACATTATCTGGCACAGGTGGTGTTGAGGTAAACAAAGCTGCAGCTATAGACAAGGTTCCAGGAAGTTGGCTGTTGAAGGCAGAAAGCACAGAAGCAGGTTTATCTCCATTGTTCTTCTGATAGTGCACCAAACCTTTTGGGAACACAAAGACTTCACCTTTCTTAATGGACTTTGAGATGAGCTTGTTGCCTGTGGTAATAAAACCCACATCTAATTCACCTTCCAACACAAACACAATCTCAGTTGCACGAGGGTGTGTGTGAGGTGGGTTAAGTCCCCCAGCTTTGTAGTCTATCCTTGAGAAAGACAGCCCCAGTGTGTTAAGACCTGGAATTTTTTCCACATTGGATGCAGTAACCACAGATCCAAGTGTATTGTTGATAACACCAGGTTTAGCTAGACCATCAAAGAAGAAATCAGCTTCTGTGATATTTGCCTCAACCTTGCAAGCAAACCCATTAACCTTAACACATGCAAAAAACATATTGTACTAATTTTCTAAACACAATTTTGGTACTACTATTTGAAGTATATTAAGGAGCGGAGGGAGAAATTAAAATGGTAGCTGATAATGTATATTATTATTGCCTGAAGAAGGAAGTGCTACACAAAGGTCTTGAAGTGTGTCAGGGTCAGAAGAGAATGCAAAAGAAATGGCATAGCAGAAGAAGGCCAAAACTGCCAAAGTGTTTGTTGGCGACATAGTGTGGAAGATAATTGTATTAATTGCAAGAGTGAAGTGTTTGAATGATGAGTCGAATAGCTAGGGATAAGAGAGGAATGTTGTGCTGGATGATGAGGAATGTGGCAAGTTGTGCTCTTTATATATGCATAATTTGTAAACGTGCAACGGTTTTGGGTAGAGTAGATGGAACTTGTGAAGGTTAAGTATTAGTGAATTTATTCCTTCAACTTAAATTCAAAGCAATTGTGAAAAATGGCTTAATGGGAATTATTTGAAGTCTTTACTAGAACAGAAAATTATTCATGTGAATAGAAATCAACGTATAGATTAGTTTGTTTATTGCTGGGAAAATGCCATAATTGACTATCCAATGAAGAGGAGTTTGGTGAGAGATGTAAGGTGAGAAATAGAACCATGCATACTGATTAACTCGAGAGCTCGTCTTCTGTCTTTCTTTCCCCTTTTTTCTTATTTCTTCCACCAAATTTAGTTCGAACGGTAAACCAATCATTTTTTTTTATTTGATTATTTCTTATTATATTATTTAGTTCAACTATGATTAAATTATCCTATTAGTCATCTAAACTAATATGATATATCAATCATGTTTGTGGTTCGATTGTTTCTTTGTTATGCTATTGGGTTTAATTATGACTAAAGTATCAAATGATACTTAAATTAATGAAATTACTACCTAAAGATATTTCAAATTCAATTTTTTATTTGATTATATTTATATATAATATTATATTATCCTTGAGTGGGTATAAAGAGAAATTGACTTTGAAGATTGGCACGAAATACGAAATCTGAACAACCTTGGGAATAGCTAGCCATTGCTTCAGTTCTCCAGTTGCGTTCACTGTTATACTTTTGGACAGATTATGAATGAATTAAGGGATATAAAGGAGTGTTTCATAACATAATTCATACTTAGAAGGGATGGAGTCATTTTTTAAGTCAAATAATTTGGATGTGATATTAGCTATCTTGCAAATGCTTTTTCATTGGAAGTGCTTCACCTGGATTTGCAAATTATGGATAACGAGCTTTTATTGTCTGAAAATAAGGAAGTTCTTAATACATTACTTAATAGTTAAATATTAATTAATTTCGTTATCATGTTAACTAGTAATTACTTCACTATATGGAATGTTCTTGAAATGGCATGAAGTCGTGGAATTTGGGAATTATTATATAAACTTTATTATCAAGGATCCAAGTGAGAACTTCCACCATAGTCTCCTTCAACGTCAGTAAACGGTTTCCATCAGGCATCGACCATGAGAACTTCCAGAACCCCATTTCCGTAACTTTCTTGTTTCTTGTTAATCATTTTTGTTTAATTTATTTATCTATATTAAAAAATAAATGTGATATCAAAATTAATTAAATAATATCACAATACTCTATTAAACGATAATATAACTTCTTTTTTAGTACATTTAGTGCATCAAAATTAGGTTTTAGATAATTATCGGACAAGTGATATTTATACTTCATTTTTACCATTATATAAAAAGGGTTAAAATTTTACAATTTATTGATAATCAAACTTGTAACGTGACACAGTAGTCACATATCAAACAAGACAGTTAATTTAACATTTTCAAAATTTAGTTTGGAGAAAATAAGTTTGACCAAATTAATTGGATACTTCTATTAAATATAATTAACATCTATATTATAAATGAAAATGCAGTGAGACATTGAATAGATTTATTATTTTCACAGTTAATTATGTATATTTTTTAAGTTTAAAATTGACAAAGAATAATTATAAACTATACTTTCTCTTTTTGTAACTGATTTTTAATTTTTACTCTCTTTTCTTAATTCCATTCTAACTTTAGAGTTAAAAATTATTACTTAATTTTTCTTATTACCTTGTATAAATTTCTAAATTTTTTATAAAAATTTATGTTTACATTTATAAAAAAAAACCACTCCATGACTATACAGTAAAATAAAATACACATGCATTGGACAAGCTTCTACTAGTTAAGTTAAATTGATATGATCACTTATCTCATCACGTAATGTTTTTAGAGGAGAAAACAGTAAAAAAAGTGCAAAGTTCACCATAAATACATGATTATCTTGTCTTTTCTTTTTCCAAATTTTACATGATGAAGATTAAAAAAAAACAAACAAAAATCTACTCAGACAAATAAGAGCTCAAATCTATACTTATTTTTTTAACACCAGAGATCTGAATCTTAAAAACTTTTTTAATATATAGATTGCTAACTTTTTTATTTAAATAATACATTTTTAAAAATAAATTCTTAAAATAAGGTTTATGCTAAATTATTTCTGTGTCTGGGGCTTTTTTTTGCCAGGTTGGCAGTAGTATCGGACATACATAGACCATAGTAAATTTTTATTATTATTTTAATAGAGTATCGTTCCAAAATTACCGATACTATATCAGACACAAACACTTGTCAACATCGCACGAGTATCGGACAAAGTGAAACGATAACATATTTTTATAATTATTTTAATATATTATTGTCGTCCAGCATTCGAAACTCATATTTTTTTAATCAATTTTAATACTATCGTTGCAGATTAACCGATACTCAATATTTCAAAAAGAACGAAAAATGCCTTATAAATCAATTTTAGAGAGCGGTTCAATTTGAACCGCTCTCATAAATCTATTTTAGAGAGCGGTTCAACTTGAACCGCTCTCATAAGTCATCTTTAGAGATAATAATCGATTTCAATCTGTAATTTAGGACCCGATATTGGTGAACTGGAATAGTTGTTGTTGCTGCCGGCATTAAAGGTTAGAATTCTATATCAAATGCAGTTTAACTTTTTTTTTGTAAATTTTGTATCAGATTTTAGTAATTATATGTATGAAATGAAAAATGTGAAAGTTTGTATATGTAAAAACTGTGCATTTGACTTAGAACCGAAAAAAAATAATTTTTAAGATTGTAATTTAATTTTCCAAATTTGTTTTTAAAGTGTAATTTATAGATATATATTAATTTGTTGAGTGTAATTGATATATTTATTAATTTGTGATAAATAAATTATATATAAAAATTGATTGATATAAAAAAAATAGATATATAAGTAGTGCTATTTTGTTATTGGTTGATATATGTAATATTATGTTTAGGGAAATCATATATAAAAATCAAAAGTCTCTAAAGATGACTTATGAGAGCGGTTCAAATTGAACCGCTCTCTAAAGGTGACTTAATTTGAACCGCTCTTTAAAGATGAGTTACGAGAGCGGTTCAATTTGAACCGCTCTCTAAAATTTAGTTATAAGTCATTTTTTGTTCCTTTGAAAATATTGAGTATCGGTTAATCTGCAACAATAGTATTAAAATTGATTAAAAAAAATGAGTTTCGAATGCTGGACGACGATAATATATTAAAATAATTATAAAAATATGTTATCGTTTCACTTTGTCCGATACTCGTGCGATGTTCACAAGTATCTGTGTCTAGTATAGTATCGGTAATTTTGGAACGATACTCTATTAAAATAATAATAAAAATTTACTATCGTCTGTTCGATACTACTGCCAACCTGGCAAAAAAAAGCCTCAGACACGGAAATAGTTTAGCATAAACCTTATTTTAAGAATTTGTTTTTAAAAATGTATTATTTAAATAAAAAAGCCTAGATTGCTTGTGTCAATCATTGGAATTGTAATGATTCACATTCGAAATACATTAGATCCATTAATATTTATAAAAATCCAGATGCCACGTCTATCTATATGGTAAAATATTAAAAGCACGTGCTACCATTTTTCATAAACTGGATCTCATATTAAATTCAGTTAGCGACAGGAGAGAAATATAATTTCCATTTCAAAATATATTTCAGAGACTAATTTTTATTTCTAAAATCATTTTACTCTTGGCCCAAAATTGTTCCAGCATCAAGACAACATGCAAATATGAAGGCACTTAACAAAAAATTAAAAAGAAGCATTTAGAGAGGGGGCAAGGAATTATCCTGATGATCTCCAAATCCTTCCCTCCAAAGAAACCACCATAACAGATACATCATCATGATATTTACGTCGATCTCCATGAGGAATATCAAGCAATTCATGAAAGTCCATTCCTGCAAGAAGTATATAAAAAATATATGTTTAAATGGAACCAAAATATATTCCAGTGGACAAGAAATATCAGGTGATAGGATTCAGGACTTGGTCACAGATATGCAAGAATCTGCTCAGAACTAATAATTCAAGAATCAAGAAAAACTGAAAAAAGAAAACCTTTGCACCCGTAAAACAGTACAAACAGATAATATCTTTAAACCAAGCACAATATAGAAAAATTATGGTAGAAGCTACATTAGATCTGTGAAGTTGGAAACATTCAACATCACTGACCCAATATGGCAGCTTAAAAGATGAGTATAACAAATGGCAATTAAAACTTATTGCTTTCAGCATTGTAGAGTCACCTCGGTAAAGTTGGTACTCTACTGAGAAAAATATTTAGTATTGAAGGACTGGATATTAAGAAAATAGAATGGAAGCAAAGTTGAGAATTTAAATGGAAACTTAGATGCAAATATTTACGTTAACTCAAGAATATCCGAGGGGCTGGGAATGGAAAGCAACTGACCATTCTTTTTAGCAGCACAAAGAAGAAGCTCTGCGATAAGGTATTGTGCAGGATCACCTCCCGGGACATTTTCCATGAACCATGTGACATGGGCAACCACCTCTTCATTGCTGAAATATTGGTAAAGCCCATCAGAGGAGAGTACCAAGAACCGATCACTTGAGGAAAGTCGGTGATGAATGACAGAAGGAGTGCAGCTTAGGTAAGGTGTAGTGTCCACATAATCAACTTGAAACACCTCCAGTAGAGCTTCGTTAAAAGATGGCTAAACAAAAATAATAAAGGTTAGAAAAGGTTTGAATGATTCCACATTAGATAGATTAAATAAAACAAACAGTGCAAGTTGTTGTTGGTGTCAACATAAAAAATTAGTATAATGTATGCAAATGATCTGATTTGTCACTATTCCTCTACCATGCCTCAAGTAGCTAGCACTCCAACAATGTACGGGTGGGCCATCTAACTCCCAGCACAAAAATAAATAAATAGATTTTTCTCGCATTTAATTCCCTACTATTCTCAGCCTGAAGCATCAATGAATCTTCACAACTACAAGTAATGGTCAATTGGAAATGTGTCTGATCCAATGTAATAATATAATAACATACCGCACCAGATACTCCTCAAAGCTTAGCCTGCTAAAAAGTAATATTACTACCAAAAATCCAGCCTGTTGATCCAATGTTCCATCCTTCTTTCAACTGTTTCCGTTCAAACTAGACTAGACTTCAGTAATTAAAATGTGATTAATCCACCATGGACTATGTCATCCCTTACTGGCCGCTGACATTTTCTAAGTTAAAAAAAGAAAGATATCATTACTTAAATAAGAGGGTGAGAAAAAGCGAGAGAGAGAAATGAGAACCCTCTAAATGGATCACCATAGATATCCTTTTTGCTAGAGAACCACTACCAAGAGGGGCTTATAAATCTGTTTATACTTTATACAGTTTGGATCCTGAATTGTCAGGACTCAGACTACCTATATTTTAGGCCACTTACCAAATCAAAGTGTTAAGAAATAAATAGCCAAACATTAGTGGGTATACACAATCTTGTGGACCCAGATTCCAAGAGTGTTGACAAAACAAAGTCGTGTCCACTTGTCCACAACCACATGATCACATGATACAGGGAATTTACCATCAGGCCCTTATCTTTGATTACTCACTCCTTCCACCTGATATGGTTTCACTATCACACAGTTGAACCCAGCCCAACAAGGTCTTCAAGATGTACTTTCTACCATTCTTCTCTCTTCTCATCATATATTAAGTATCACTTCTCACAGCCATCTTCAAAATTTCTCCTAAATTTTATTTAGTTTTCCTTGCTTGAAATAGTGAAACCACCAGGACATGTACCATTTACTCTAAAACATACATACTAAATACTCCTCAAATGTGAAAAGCTGCAAATAAATATCTGAGGAAGAGAACAGAATAGATAGATAAATGGGGAAAGATGCAAAGCAAGCATTAATTGCTAAATTATCCTCTATGCTTTGATAGATACATCATTTATAAATTCACTTTCAAGGTGATAAGTGGAATCCACACATTCAAACACACACACACACAAGGAGAGAAGAGATTGAAAAAAGAATGTAAATTGATCAGTTTGGTGGTTGAATTTGTAATGAAGACACTGTTATATATATGAGTATGGAAACAAGTAGATTCCCTACTTATAAACTATAGACAAAAAGGACTGAAGCAAACTAAATTTATATAGGTCCAAGTCAGAAGATCAACTGACCCTCTTCAAGAACCCAGCACCAAATGCTCTGGTGACTTTTAAATGCCCTTTCACACGATCATTGAATATGGCTTGCTTATCATCAGGGTGTTCTGCTTTTATCCTAAAAACTTCCTGCAGGAAATAGGAAATTTTGAAAAAAAATCAGTATAATAATTCACAATAGTGTAGCTGACAAATTTTGAAACTAGACAAGATGACCATAATTTATTAATATTACTAAATAAGCATTACAAAAGCACAACTACTTGATTCACCATTATACAAAAAAAGGTTGGGGAAGGGGGGGGGGGGGACCACACCTCGTCAATACCAGTGCTGTGATCTGTGGAAAGCTGAACAGCCCTCATTTTTAATCTGCAAATGGATATCTCTCGATTTTTATTGATCTGGTTAACATGATTATTATGATTATGAATAGGGGACTCCTCCGATATCCTATCCAACTCCATGCGTACTAATGACTCCCTAGATTGATTTCTATGCCTCACATCATCCTTGACAAAACTTGGATTAGGATGACGATCATTTGGTCTTTCCTGTGCCAAAATCACACGACTATCTCCAAGGTTCATGATATAAACATCTTGATCCTTCATCAGCATCACTAAAACACATGATCCCATTAAAGCAAGCTCAGGATTTTTGTCTAGACTATGCTCCACCATTTCCATGTATGCCTCTTCTGCTTTTTCAAGAGCACGAGTCATTGCTCTTAAAACTACGTTATGATCTACTCCAGACTTACACTTTCTAATTGGTCCTGAGGCTTCCAACATTCTCTCATCAACAAAACTTTCCCCCCTATGCCAGTCATAACTCCAAGGAAAAAGTTTCTTATACAAGGACTTTGGCTTCTTGTACATTTTTCTAATTTTTGTACTGATAACTGACTTTCTTGAATTCTGCCTTTGTCCTGAAACAGAAAAAGCAGCTTTTGGCTCATGGTTAGTTGAATCAAACCTAGAGCCTCCATGTTCTCCTGATGTAGTGGGACCTTCATGTTGATGTCTACAGCTATGTTCTTTTACACTAGACGAGCAGGGTCTCATTCGGCCATCTAGTGTTGATTCCCAAGAAATAGAAGAATTTTTACAATGTTCTGAGACTGACAAAAAACCATGTTCATCCCAGGATTCCATCTGAAGTAGCTCATAAAGCCGCACACTTTTTCTACCTTTTCCAGTCAATTGTCCAAGTTGAACAGATGCTGGAACAGTACATGTGATACCAGGTAACTGTTGCTCAACATTCACCTTAACTACAGCATTTTCTTCAACTATCTCACTGTTAGCGGATTGATCCTTGATCATTATTGGACTGGAAGACGCTTCTAAACTTTCTTGATTTGAATTAGTTAGAGTATCAAACATTTCATGTTTACTGGATTCTGGAGGAACCATAGGTTTTACAGTTTCAGGGGCTATAGGTTTATGTTGACCTACAGGAATATCTTCATACTCCCAAAGTAAACCTTCCAATTCCTTGTTTATAAATCTATATAGATGGCTCATCAGAAAATCAGGCGCATCAGGTCCACTGAAACCATCATATATCCCAATAAACAACCACCCTTGTTCTTCAGAAAGCACCACATGAACTCTATCTTCGCCAGCCTTGCCATGAGCCCACTGCAAATTGTGCATATGTTTATACTCCCCTTCAGGTGGTTCAACTTCAACACAGCTCCTAGAGACTTCTGGTCGAAACTTTGGATCTTTGGAATGCCAGGCTAGTTGAGTCACTGGATGAAAGAATAACCTTTGCATCCAACTGCCACCCGCGGAATGCTTAGAGAAGGTCCGAGAAAGAGTGTTCTTCATTGGTCCACTTACACTTCTCATGAGATGTTGCAGTCGTGGCCTTTGACGACCACGTGCAAGTGGTGCCGAAAAGTTGGATTTGTCAGTGGCATCAAGAGGACCTGACATAACTCCCTTCTCTATTGGCCCAGACATGAAACCGCCACCCCTATCCAATGGACCTGAGCCAAAACCTCTCTCCAGAGGTCCAGACATGAAACCATTCAAGGGTCCAGAACCACGGGGTACAGGCTGCAAAGGGATTGCAGCAAATGAAGCAGTCCCCTCAAATGATGCAGCAGGTTCCAGGACGTCACTGGCAAACAATGCGCTCTGGTTACCAGTCCTCGCAGTTGAAACATTAGCACTAACAGAAGCCCCCGAAATCGTTTTGAATGTGGTTTCCGGAAAATTCTTACCCGACTTATGCATGCCAGAAGAATCTTCTATGCTATCATGCCTAAAGGATCCACTCAAGGTTTCAGAATCAAGGGTACTGGAATCAACCGTAAACCTACCAGAGTTTGATGGACTAATGGCAGGGGATTCAAAAATGGATGGCCTCACATAACAGAAGGAATGGCCTAAACCTTCATCTAATGGCTCTAGAAACTCCAAATCAACCCCACTTTTTCCATTGAATGGCACCAAACAGCCAACAACACGAGAAGTGCCGTTACCCATTATCACATACAAAACAACCTCAAACACCTAAGATGCTGATATATGATTCCTGTACTTCAGCACCCTCAGCAAATACAGATACAAACGAGAAACCCAACTCCTTGAAAACCCAATAAACCCCACAACCACCCCATCATCACTCAGCTGACCATGCATCATCATCAAATTCCCAACCCCAAAGCTATGCAAGCCATATGTTGTTTCCAGCAAACCCAACATAAAATGAAGTCAAAAAACACTCTTTCGCCCAAAGGGTACGAATCAACGAAATCCTCCACCGAGCAAATGTGTCAAACAGTGCCAAAGGGGTAAAAGCACAAAAAAACGAAAACCGCAATTTTACGAACACGTGATGATCTAACCTTGTGGCGTATCTATACGGGGGGTGGATCGAATGCACTCGCAAACAGATCTAAGAGCACCAGAAACAAAGTCAGAAATCCATTTCACAATTTATATGTAATATTTCTTCTTCTTCTCATGAAATAAATAGGAGAGAACCATACCCAAATGGATTCGACCCATTCATTCGGGCATAGCCACTGCTACAACCTTGACTTGAGTGTGAAATTGAGAAGTGAGGAGTGTGCTGTGTTGTGTTGGATTGGAATAAGAGGAAGAGTGAAGCTTGAAGACAAAGGCAAAATGTGGGTTTTTGGTTGCAATATTTAAAATTGAAATCCCAAAATAAAAATATTTAAAAATAATTGGAGATTTGGTTTGATGACGAGGAATCAATGTTGAGTTCATCAAGGACGGTCTCTTTCTAGGGGTTTTCAAATGGTTTAGGAGGGTAAAAAATAAAAGTATTTTAAAACAAAAAAAAAAGAGAAGAAAATACAAAATGAAAATTGATTAAATAATGGTAGTGAGTTGAAAAGTAGAAACTGTTGAATATGGGTTTGGTCATTTTCTCCTTTGTTTATGTGAATTTCCCTGCGAATGATTGGTGTGTTTTTTGGTGCTGTTGAAGTCAATAAATAAACCCTACCCCATCATCATTCTCATCAATGAAATTGAATGGTGGGATGCAGTGGGCCACCACCGTTCCCTAATTTATTTACCTCATTTTTACCAGTTTTGAAGCATAAAGATTATCTATATATCCACTTTGACATAATACGAGAATAGCTTCCAAACTCTGGTCATCAAGAAAGAAATCAAAAGGCACAAATGAAAATAAATCATCATTATATTCCTTTCTCCCTTTTTTCACCTATCTTCTAGCTTTACACGATTAGTCTTCCAAAATTTATGTGTAATTGTATTAATATTTTAAAAATTAACTATCAAATTATTTGTTTAAAAATGAAAAAAATTGCAATATTAATGCTTTATTTTATAATTTTGTTAATATTATTCCTTAAAATTGACTTTAAATAATCAAAAGTATAAGTATTATATTAAATTTTTATTATAATTTTACATTTTTAATAAAGAAAATATACAAATTACTTAAAATTAGTCATAAAAAATATATTAATAAGATAATTTAATTTATCATTTAAAAAATTGTCCATTATAACTTATGTTTTTTATTTATTTCAATTATAGTTTTCAACTTTCATTATTAACACAAAAAAGTATCGATGTAAAATAAATAGATGGTTAAATTATTAGTTTTATTTTATTTTAGTTTCTTAATTTATAATTTTTAAATACACTTTTTTAGTAAAAGAATATTAATTTTATTAAAAAATTATTATTCATCTTTTTTTTTTTTAACTCTAACCAAGATATAGTATATTTTGAAAAAAATTGTCGTTTTTTGTTCTTTTCTTATTTCTTGTCTACATGCTCATAAAAATTATATTAAAGGTTAAATATAAATAATATAAAGGAGAAAGAAGATGAATAATTATTTTTCAACAAAGTTAATAAAAAATGATTTATTTAAAAAAAATTAAGTTAAAGGTTTGAACTAAGAAGAAAAACAAGTTAAAAAATTAAACTAAAATAAAATTAAGAAATAAGGAAATAATTTATTAATTTAGCTTGGATAGATTAATAATATTTTAAAAATGTTTTTTTTAAATAGTTATTTATTGTCCATTATTTTAATCTTCAGTAAAATTGAACTTGGTAATATTTTTTTTTAATAATTTAATTAGCTTTCTGTTATAAAAAATTTGTAAAAAAAAAAAAACAGATATAACTTGGAAACTATAGTTGAAGGATTAATTTTAAAGAAAAGGCCCACAATCTCAGATGAATTGGTTTCCTTTCTTAATCCCTAATTTTGTTAACTTTTGTTTGTGTATTTGGCTTATTACTCCGTAGGGTTTTCGGATTTCCTTTTTACCTCTTTGGCTCTTTGTCAATAATACCTTGGCCCCAAATGTCGAGCATGCACTTTGTCTACATATGGAGACGTAGATATAGATGTACGTGTATATTACTATTAGGGGTAAAGACCAAAAGTCAACTCGATTCTCTTTTCTGATTTGATAAAATTAACTTCAATGTTATGATGAGAGAGAGAGGGATACGCAAGTGTTTATCTTTGTTTCGTTTGACTTTTAGACGCCTTATTGGAAGAAGGTTGAATTTTTCGCCATCACCATAAAAATTTTAAAATGTAGTGAACTATGCGGAAAATTAATTGCATGTAATTTCGAATATTTAACAATAAAAGGCCAAGTCGTCTCTTATTAATGATGTCTCTCCTTGTAATAATTCACTAATTTGCTTCCCTATTAAACACGAATGTAGTCCATTGATATAGTAATGTATAATAATGAAAAACATTATTCAATATAATAATAATAGTATTGAACACTTGAACTTTGATTTCATACTCAAATATAAGAGGGTATATATCATCAACATGTAAATCAAAGTTATTTTAACTTGATTAATAGTTTCACGTTTTTATAAATAAATTTGAGTTTAATATTTTAAAAATATTATTTATAACAGTCTTATTTAATTTAAAAAAATTGTGTCATATAAAAAATATATATAATGTAAAAAAAAAAGATACAATTGATAATTACAATATCATTATCGTTAAAAAAAAAAATCAGAATTATTTTCTTTAATAACTGTATATCTTTTTCTATTTAGTGTGATAAATTCATTTGGTAAGTATCGTAGAATTTCCTAAGCACCATGAGAATGTGACCTTTTGAAGACTTATGCTTGGCAAGACTTTCAACCTAATTTTTTATTTATTTAAATATTCAAAGGTTCTTATATTAAATTAGATTTGTTTAGTAAATAAAATTATTACAGTAATTTGTAACGTATTTTGGTAGTATTTTTTACAAATACTATTTTCATGTAATATTTATAAGCCCTTAAATTTTGTTTTCTTATCTTTTTATTTTCTTATAATTTTTAAATATTATTTTACAGTTTCAACTAATTTAATAATTAATTAAATTAATCAAAAAAAATTAATTTAATTAATTAGCTTATCCATTTTTAACTTTTAATTAATTTTTAGTTAATTTAGAAACTATTTTGTCAAGCCATATGTTTGCATTTCCTATATTTTTTTACACTTATATTAATAAAAGGCAGAGGGAGATGTAGAATTAATAAGTAAGGGAGAAAAAAAATACAAAGTTGAAAAAAAAAAAAACAGTATATATGACAAAAAAAATAAAATATTTTAAAAGTTTTAAATTTTTTAGTAAAGAGTATTTATTTAAAACGTTTTAATAGTTGAAAATTTGAATTAAAAATTTTAAAAATTAAGGGATTAAAAACGTACAAATTAAATGAAAAAAATAATTTGTTTCCTATCTTTCAATGCGAATCCTAAAAGCTAGGATTATAATTTCAAGCAGTCAATTGATGCTTTTTAGATAAATATGAGATTCTATTTTGGTAAAGTATTTAAATATTATCGTTCATTTACATACCGTCTAGAACCTTGAGGTTGCCTGCTTAAAATTCCATTTTATGTTAATATTAAAAGTGATTATTTTTGTCGCTTAAAAATTTTATTTGCATCAAATAAAAAGTGGATGAGCATCACAAAACCAAAAACAACTAGAGGGGCATCACTAACATTTTAACCGAGGTTTAAAGAAAAAAAAATTGATTTTATATTTTTACAATTTTTCAATCTTAATCCTTCTAATTTTTTTTCTCTGTTTTCATTTTTTCCCCCTTTAACTCCTCCTACTTTGTTACACTAAAAAAATTGAAACATAAGAGTCTTTCATTTAATCATGTCAACGGAAAGAACTTCAAAATATAAAAGTCAAAACTAACAAAAATATAGAGAGATTAAAGTATGAAAATATAAAAACTAAAAACATATTAAAAAAAAAAAAAGTAATGTTGCTCCCTGAGTTTGACGTATAACTTTGAAGGAGTAGAGTATAATGTCCATGGGTCATTACCATTTGCCAGAGTAATCAATGATGATGAAACTTAGTTAACTTAATTGACATTAATGTATATCTGCCTCCAAACTTTGCCCTAGCTTTAAATGCTACCTTGTCCGTTTCGTTCCTGTTAAGGAATGCTTCAAGAGTATGTAGATTAACATTTTCTACGTTATTAAATACTTAGACTTTTTTAAATGGCCCTTTTTTAATGAGTCTATTGACGTATATTGTTAAGATATATTGAACATTATATGTTACTTATTATTAAAGTTTTTATTTTGTATTTTTAAATTATATTTATTTATACTTGTTTTAAATATTTTGATCACTTATTATGAACAAGAGAGTATAAACAAAAGAGAAAACATAATGGAAGTAATATAAATAAGTTTTTTAAAAATTTAACATAAATACAAATATTAATTATATATTTTAATATAGATAGATAAAAAATAAGGAAAATAATAAAAAATTAAACATTAAATGATTTTCTAGATGAGAAGTGACTTGTAAAACAATTCTTCTAGACTATGCGACCTATAAAACAGATGAGGATAGAAATAAATATTTTTTAAAAATATTTTTTTTCTTAAAATATATTTATGAGTACAAATTAAACAAACATTACTTTAAAAAAAAGTGTTAAATAGCTTGTGTACCTAGTTTCTGACCCAAACATGGGTGATACAATTTTTTTCCTGTTTAATTTAAAGTCAAATAAATTAAATAATTAAGTAAATTAATTTAAATCCTAAGTTTTTATTAAAATAAAATATGTATTTTTTATTAAAAATATAAAATCGTTTTTGAACTATATATAAAAAACACTTGTGTCATTTAGAGGTTAAATTGTTGGCGTGGGCATGGCGTTTGATCTGATCTTGTTAGCCATGAGTCACTAATGAGAAGTGGAAAAACAAATAAAGGTGAAATTATGAAATATCGATATTTTCTTTTCCTATTTTTCACGTAAGGATTTGCCACTACTCTAATAAAAAACGCTGCGTGGTTATTGGATTTTAGTGAATCATTATAGAAAGTAGTAGATACAAAATATAAAGAGAATTAAATGAAATAGAAATAAAAAAAAGTCCAGAAAAACAAAAACAAAAGCAATTCCGTAAGCACCAACTCCTTCAAAATGTTGACTAACGAAACATGCACTAGAATATGAATATGAAGATGAGGCAAACTATAGATGTGGTCCCTACTGTCTTCTTTTCAACGCTGCAATGAAAAATAAAATAAAAAAGAAAGGCACGACTTTAGGTACGTATAATATTATGCAATTAAGATATGCGGAGGGAATAATAAATAGCATAGAGAGTACATATTATATATCTGAAGTGGGCATCTTCCACCATAGTCTTGGCCCAAAAGAAATGTTAATTAACATGGGAATAAGAGGCAAGACAAACAGATATGCAATGAAGCCCTCCACGTGAAACCAGCACCATATGCTAATTGTTGTATATAAAAGAGAAAAAGGTCAAAGGTTTCAAAATGGAGCAGCTAAAGGAATATAGCTGATGATATATCATATCCAAACCCACTCACCAATTAATTAAGAACCCGCTTGTCCTCTCTTCACAACTGACCTATGGGGCGTAGGTGAAGCAGTTTTAAGACTTGTAGAGTTCAAATATGTGCCCTTCTTTTGGGATTCAAGTTTTGATACTCCCTATCCCTATCCCTATCCCTATCCCTCTCTCTGTTCTAATTTCCTCAATAAAATAGAATACTGTCACATTTGTATTCAATGCCTGTGCCTGTGGTACACTCTCTCTCTCTCTCTCTCTCTCTCTCTCTCTATATATATATATATATATATATATATATATATACCCACAACTTTAATTATTGCAATTCTCAATTTTGACGCTTGTTTGGAATTGCACGCGCATACTCATCAACTAGCCCTTTTTTTCCGGATTTGTTTAAGTTATAGAGTTTAGGGTATCATTTTAAAATTTTAATAATATAGGAAATAAAAATGAAAATAAATAAACAAATATAAGATAAGAACGTTTCTGTTCTTAATAATTAATAAAAATTAATTTTGAAAGAATAAAATAAAGAGGTTAGACTTTTAAACCGATAAGAAAATTATGAAAATAATTTGTTTGAACTAAGAAGCATGTCACAATTTCAAATTAAGATTGATTGAATTAAAATATATCTTAAAAAATCGGTCATTTTAAATGATATGGTATATCAATCTCTAAATTTTAACTGAAAGTAAAGTTAAAGTTAATTAAATTTCAGTGATCATGTTTAAAGTAATAAAAAATATAAAAATAAAAAAAATTACTTAATGAAAGAGAAGTTATATAATTTAATAAATGAAATATTCTTGCTTTAGAAAAGAAAATCTCAAGTATATTAATGTAGATTTTTTTTCATCAGAAAATGAGGAAGGTACAAGTCCACTTTGTTAGTTGATGGTTACATGCCTACGAATGATAGGTATGACAAAGTAGGTGCCTCAGTCTGTTTATGATTAACTCTAAATATTTCTAAAGCCACTCCTTTATTGAGTTGATATGTTTGTCGCATTCAATGACTTCCCATTCTTACGCTTCCGCTTCCTGTCATCAAGAGTAAACAAGACCCATTTGTATTAGAAAAAAAACTTACAAAATCTCCATAGATTTGTTATATAATTATATTTGTAGAGTGATCCGATATGATCTGCGTGAGTATCAGCAAACTTACAATCCCATGCAAAACCTAACAAGGATTACAATTTTATTCTATCACACGTGTGGAGATTTATTCACTTTGTGTAATTTATTCGAAACAGGTATGTTAATTCATCTTTATATAACATCTCATTTTGATAAATCTACTTGTTTACTTTTAAGTAATTATTGTATTTAGCATTTCAAATTTTAAATAATTATTTTAAATTAATAGAAAAAATGGTAAAAGTGAGAAAGAAACTAAAATAAAAATCTTAAGCTTGTTTTTAGGTAAATGTTTATTTAGTACTTAAAATTAAAATTAAAATTTTAAAAAAATAAATTACACGGTAAAAATTACACCCACTCTTATATTATTAAATAACTTTTTTATTAGATAATCTATTTTTAAACCTAATAGTTAAATAAAAAATTTTAATCACAATGATTATATTTATAAAATTTAAGATCCATTCAAAATTTCATTTGATACCTTATTCATATTCATCAAATTTATCATTGTATACCTTTGAAATATGAGAAATAAGAATATTTTGATTCCAATATTATATTTGTTCAATTTTAATAAAATTTAATACAAATAATTTAGGTAATATATAAATATAATTTAATAGTTGGATTTATGAAACTTATTTTTTATATTAAGTTATTGATAGTATAAGAGTAAACGTAACTTCTACCCTTCTAATTTAATCTCTCTGTAATTTTATCCCAATTTTGATAGAATTTTAGTTGGCTCAAATTATAATTCACGTGTTTAGCTTGTGTAAAGAACTAGATTTATTAAATTTCATCTTCAAATCAAAGAAACTAATCTTATATTCAGATAGTGCAAAACTGCCTTGAGGCAAGTCTGACTATTCTTTACCAAGTTTTACAAAAAAATCAATCAATTATAACGTAGGTACGAAAAGAGTGTTAGATGATATTGAAAGCAGCTTGATTTAAAATTTGTTTTTTATTTTTACTTTTGATTACAAAAATGCCACCTTGTTTTTTATGTTAAAAAGTTCATATAAGAAATAATGAAAAAAAATCCTTACAATTATTCTTACACAAATCTTTGAAAACAAGAAACATTAAAAGATAAGGCCAAGCATGCAGCTCTACAAAGTGAACTATGGTTACTTGTATTCATTTTTTCTATGATCCACAATATATCATTAATTACATAACTCAATCGAATTGATGTGTATGCACACTACTATTAGTGCCCTTTTGAGCTTCGTCCCTGATGGATGCAAGGTTCATTTTTATCTCATTGCAAAGTCTACCCTCTATGAGACGCACTGGCAACCACAGCTTTGGTTTAACATCAACAATGTACGAGAGAGTAGTACTAACTTCTCCTACTTGAGACTCCTCACAACTTCCACTGTTGAATTGCTGCAAAACCATCATTGTCTATGTTAGCATTGTATTTGCATGTCAAACCCCTTGAAAATAAGGTTTTAAAATCTTGTAAATTTCGGTATCTTTCAAAATAAAATCAATGAACATATTGAAAACTGAAGGCTGTGTGAGCTGTCTATGTGGAAAAAGTCAAGCCAAAAGCAAAGGAGAACCTTTTTTTTCAATAATAAAGCTGTCAAGTTTCACACAAATCATATTTTCAACTGGGTCAATAGCATAAATAATTACAAAATTATATACTCTACTTCTAGTAGGCTAGCCATGATCCATTTCATAATGTCAATTTTAGAAACAAAAAGTTCAGCATTTGGGAAAAAAATACTTATGATACAGAAAAGTGCCTCAAATTCTAATTAATGCCAGGTAGAGTCTTTTTATTTTTTGCCACAATTCCTGTATTCTTGTATTCCAATGCACCGCCAACAAAAAGTGAAAATTTTAGCTTCAAGTAAAACTGCCTAAGGAAATGGTATTGCAGTCGGGTGAATTTAAAACAAACAGACTGGTATATGATATATTATGCTGGATCCAGAAGAATTCTAAAATCAAGAGAACAAATTAAAATCCTACCTGCAAAATAGACCATTTTCCTTCAAAGAGTTGAAAATCTCCTTCAATCATCTTGAATTCAATTTCACGCTTCATACCAGAAGGAAGAGTCTCCAATTCCTTCTCAAAACAATCTACAATTCCTTTAGCATTAAATTTTATCCCAAATGCCAAGTTCTGCTGGCCAATCTGCTCAGATCATGTAACAACAATAAATATAATTCAAGCCAAATGCATGGACATGGAGAGAACCTCCAAAAGATATAAATTTAAAGTTCAGGTCAGAGGAGAATATAAAATACAGTAGCATTGAAATGGTAAAGGTAGCAATGCAGAAAAAGTAAATTAGGTAAAACCACATTTGGCCTTACTATAATGTAATCGCATATGAAGCTTGATTTTAACAAGGCATCATTCAAAATCATTTACTGTCACCAAAAGTAATACAGTAATAATATAAGCATAGCATCACACTGACTCTCTTCAAAGTAAAATCTGCAATAACTCGTGTGGAATTTGTATAATTCATTGACATCGGTACTCCCATACTTTGAACGAGTAATTAAACATGCATCATGGCATCATCATCATCCACAATTGCTTCTTAAAGGTGCATTTTGACTTGCTAAAGAAATGAAGCTTGGGCCAACACAAAAACAATTGTTCTATCTTTGATTATCATGGAACTACATAAAAGAAAGGATGAAGTACAGGACAAGAGTATCAAAGTTTGTTACTCAGTAAATCAAGGCCAAGGGACAACTTTTTGTTCCATACACAACATTACCAAAGAGTCATAAACACCCGACCCAGCCCTTTCTTCCTCCCTCGCCAATCCCCTTCTCTTCCTCGCCAAATTACTGTGCAACACCGCAACTAAATATTCACTCACAAATTAACTAAAAAAACAAATAGGAGAAAGTGCTGTGAAAGAGAATTGATCAGAAAATGGGGGAGAGCACTGTTTGACGTCTGTGGAAGAGAAGGAAAATCAGAGGGTTAAAAGCACACTATTTTCTCACTGAATCCCAAGTCTGGCATTTCAGATAGCTACTTCGTTTTCTTTGACCTCCTTGTTTTCGCATATTGTAATTTTCAATTGCTTTCTTTTTTTATTTTCTCCTTTTCTCTTTACTTTCCTGAACTCTGAATTTCGTACAAGTTATTGTGTGGAATTGTATTCTAAATCTATGTCATGTTTTTTCAATTTTTTTTTTTTGGATTGAAAATTTACTATTTTGTGTCCGTCGATGCAGAACATGGTCAAGAACACATTCCACTCTGGATTTCTTTCCACAAAGGCTATTATAGTGAAATTTGCATTACTTTGCCCATAACTTATGCAAATCAAATAATGTAGAGCACAAAACTCATTGCCCTGTGCACTAACCATCAAACGAGCAGCAAATAGAAGGAAAAAGTGTGGTTTGACTCAGGTAATTGTATTGTGCTATTGGGCTTGTGAAGTCCCTCAACTTATATCAAACACACCCTAAATGATTTCCATCCAAGTCATCTGGGAACGTCAAACAGCTCTAATCAAACATACAGCACGGTCATATATCATAAAGCTGGATGCTCCACATTTTAAAACCAAAAGTCACTTTTGAATATAATTGCATTAAAAATTCTCGAGTTTCGAAAGCCTCTCAATTAAGTGTCATTTCTTTGCATTGCAATTTTCAGCAGCTAGGCGATAAGGACCATAAGTTTCATCAGAGAGAAGCAAAATCAACTATCAAGTAAAGGAATATCCCTATAAAGCATTAGCAACACAAAATGTAATTAAACTTCTACATACAAGTCCTCATGAGGATTGTCCTATACAAATAATCTCTAATATTCTTACTTTACGTCGCCCAATTAATAAAGAATAATGGAATTAAGCCCAAAACAAGCCTAACACATTATTTAAGACTTGCCAAATCAATAAAAGGCACCGTGAAACATATTGCCAAAAACATACAACAAACATCATAAAAAAGCAAACTTTAAGATGCCCATTCAGAGCATAGGATGAGCGATGAAAAGGAACCTGCAAAAGACGAGCAAAGTTGTCACCCTTTTGGAGCAATTGGCTGACAGCAAGTCCAGGAATGAAATCAGCCAACCTTTCATAATCGGTCAAGATGGTCCAAATGGAAGCAAGAGGAGCTTCAATGGAAATCCTTGATTGAATTCTGCATGAGTTCTTCTCCAGCTTCATCACTTCTATGTACACCCCATCTTCAGCTAAGGATTCTCCTGACCCATCATCCTCTGCCACCAACAAATTCCCATCATCATCATCATCATCATCATCCAAAGAGGTAGGATGGGATTTGGAAGCACTGCAGAAGAAGGGTGTGACCTTCAATGAGCATGGTTTGGGAGAAGGTGGAGTGGAAAGGGTCTTGAAATGAAAAGGGTGGAAGAATGAGAGGGAGGAGTTGGTTATGGCAATGGAATTAGAACATGAAGGTGTTGATTGAGGGAATAGGTAAGCCGAGTGTGACTCTGAGGAAGCTGCAAAGCCGCGCATTGTGTCGTTGTCTTCTTTTCTGTAGTGTTCGTTTCTCTTAACATTTTTTGCAACTACACACAACACCAAAGGTTCAAGTTGTAACCAACACAACAAAGTAACCTTACAGTTTGACCCCGGCCTAGTTTCCTAATTTTTATTTGGGTAATCCCAAATTAGTGTTCGATAATAGATGAGCGATGTATGTATTTAGTTTTTGAATTGTTTTTAAAAATTATTAGTTTTTACTTTATAAAATGTTTTTTAATTTTAACATAAAATAACACTCAAAATAAAAATAAAATTTAGCAGAAGTTTTTAAAGTATTTATTTTAAATTTTAACGATCATCATTTTTAGTATTCTAAGTGAGAGCACTAATAATACAATTTTTTTTTATAAATATTAAGTTCAATAAACTCGACTATTAAATTGAATTTTATTATTAAATAAATTAAGTTCATAAAAAATAATATAATAAAAAATTAATTAATTATTAGATAATTTATTTAAACAGTTAATATATATTTTAAATATAAACAAATATAAAATAAATTTTTTTATATTTATAAATATTTTATTTTATTTATCTAAAATTATGTTAATATTCTAATATTTAATGATTAAATTGATAAAATTTAATATTTATAAAAAAATATTAAATGAAATAACTTAACTTAATTCCATTTGGATACCACAATTTGTTAATAGTATATTTTTGAATACCAAACAAAACCTTTGAAAATAATAAAATTTTGTATAGATTTTATAAAAAAGAAAATTATTAATTAGTGTCTAAAAAATATTATTATAATTTTTAATTACAATTTTATTTCGAATTTTTAAATAATATTATCTTAAGATACTAATTAGTAAGATGTTACAAAAAATAAGAAACTTTTGAATCGAAAAGGAAAAAAAAAATTGGAGTAAACACATAACAGTTAGTTATCCTTTTAGCCTTTAGGTAGCCCTGTGACTGTGTGGCCACGAGTCTGCAGCTGAAGCAAAGAAGCTAAAGTGGAGTGTGTGGGTGTGTGAGAGAGAGATTAGCGTAGCGTTGGTGGGTGATAGACTCAGAAAGTGTTGGCCATTAAACTTGTTGCTCATGGCATCGTCATTCTCAACGCAATTGCTGCAAAGTCAGAACCTACTCCCTCGTTTTCATCATCATATTCAGGTAGCTCTGTACAGTCTGCTCTGCTTTTAACATCACCCAAAAGTAGATATTGCTTCTACGTTAAAAATGGAATTTTTCTTGTTTTTTATGTCAGGGGAATTTCGGCCAAGATGTGTCAAAAGTTCAGAGGCCACGTGTGGTCTTCAGCGGTACCAAATCACAGCTTGGTTACAGCAAAACATTGGCGTCAACATCTCATTATGCTGCCAAATTTTCTGTTTCACCACAATCTGATGCTAAATCAATCACATATAGAAGAATGTCATGTATTAATTCTATGGAAAATGTAAGTGTGTTATTGGAAATTTGTGGTTTGGAATTGAAACTTCGTTTGCAAAAATTTCTGGGCATGTGGGACAGGGGAAGAGTAGAGGGATAGAGCTTTGAGATCTCTAACTTTTACTTTGGGCTTATTTCTACCCATTTGGGATAGTAGGATAAGTTTAAGCAACAAGGCCTGAAATATGACGCATTTGTTGATCATAGAATCATTTAGAATGAATAGTGTTTCGATTGCCCATGTTTATATTGTGTTGCTTTTACTGGAAAAGTTCGTGGCAATCCTGGATAGTCATTCCTGCTGTGATTTATGTTATTTGTTTATTATCTTACATGGTTTTGCTACTTCTAGGCTCTAGAGGTGCAAGCCAAAGTGACAAACAAGTGTTTCTTTGATGTACAAGTTGGGGGTGAACCTATTGGCAGGATTGTTTTTGGTCTATTTGGAGAGGTTGTTCCCAAAACAGTTGAGAATTTCCGTGCTTTATGCACAGGCAAGCTGTCAATTTTTTCTACAGAATGGTTTTTGTTGTGCTTGTGAGTTTTGATTATTGCTGTGAAATGGGTTGCGACACGGCATTTTATTTATCAAGTTGAATAATCTCTGTACAGGAGAGAAAGGATATGGCTACAAAGGATGCTACTTCCATCGTATAATCAAAGATTTCATGATTCAGGGAGGGGACTTCACTGAAGGAGATGTGAGCTCTGTTATATTTTGTTGGTAACTTGGTATGCTTGCATATATGTGCTAATATATGCATGCCATTGCAGACTGCTATGTATATGCATCGTGCTTAGGGTGAGATTTTTTTTTCTCTCTTCAAATATGCTTTAATTGGCTGCAGGGAACTGGCGGGATCAGTATCTATGGTGCTAAATTTGAAGATGAAAATTTCGCCTGTATGTCTCTGCCGTTGCTTGATCAGTAATATTGAGTTTTAAATATTTTAATAGTAATTGGTATTCAAAATTTTGCCTTGGCTGATAGTCCAGTTTATGATTGTTTATAGGCTTTGGACTTCTAATGGACAACTGATTTATAAAAAAATTTGTTGCAGTGAAGCATGTTGGTCCTGGAGTTTTGAGCATGGCAAATGCCGGTCCTAATACCAATGGTAGTCAATTTTTTATTTGCACTGTACAGGTGAGACACGCATTGTCCTCTTTTAATATTTATCTATTGGTCCTTTTTTAATCCTTGAAGAAGTTTCAATAAACTGGTGTCGCTTTTTTTCTCCAATCTGTTTTCAGATCTAAAAATATTTTTATATGTTCTACACACTTTAGATTTCATTTGTCTGCTTATATTCCACCTATAAGAATAGACTGAAGCATATTACCGGCAATGTTGATACGCATATTTTAATGGACAACTGTTTAACTAAACTATTACACATATTTTAATGTGCATATTTTTTATTTCAAGCTTTACATATATTCTTTGAAGTTTGTTTAGATTTTGGCTTTAACAAGTAAATGGTTTGATTTTATGATGTAGACTCCATGGTTAGACAATCGTCATGTTGTGTTTGGACATGTAATTGATGGAATGGATGTTGTAAGGACACTTGAATCACAGGAGACTAGCAAGTTTGATAATAGCCCGCGAAAGCCATGCAAAATTGCAAATTCTGGAGAACTGCCTATAGATAATTGATCTTTACACTGAAGTGCATTTTTCTGACTGTCAAAAACAATTTTCAGTTGAGGAGGGGGTATGGATACCTGCAATGATTCTGTGTTTGAATAATCATTGACCTCTGCCGAAGGAAAATTTGACTGTCGTTACACGTGCATTTAGTGAATTATAATTATTAGAGATGTAAGATCCATATTTTCTATTACCAGACTGTATGAAAAATCCTCATATAGTAGATGCTTTTTTCTCTTATAAATTTCTAGTTCTGCCATTTACATTTACAAGTTTTCCATCCATTTCATGATGCCAATTGCAAGATTCATATATTTAAGCATCCCCATACTGTGGAGACAATTCCCAAATTATTGTAAATTCAGATCGAGGCAAGCTCTGCTGAGGTAGAAACTCTTGCTTTGCTTGATAAGTGTGTTAAAATATTTTATCCAAGCAAAATCCTATGCAAGGACCATAGTTTCAACTGCTGGGGTTTGGATCATTTGCTCTTGCGTGCCTTCCTCAGCCTCCCATATTTCAGGCAATGCTTCTTTGATATTATGAATGCTATTCAGGGCATGATCAGCGCCAGGCACCAGATCTGAACGGCCCACCTGCCATCAGTGTGTTATTACTTGTCATTGTCAGCTTGCATTGGATTGCATTACATGTGAACACAGATTGTGGAGTTATTTAATTTCTTAGATCGACTTATACGAGGCATAGATAGCAAATTATAGCTTACGATAACAGTGTGAAGTCCTGCTACTTTTCCACTTGCAACATTTCTAGCGCTGTCATCAAAGAAAACCTGCAGAAGATAGAAAGACTATGAATTGATTCCAAGAAGTTATCTTTCATATCACTTTCTAGGTGAGTAATGAGTCTTACCGTTTTCTCAGGATCCACGTTAGCAGTCCGAATAGCAGCTTCGAAAGCTTCCACAGATGGTTTGCAAAGGATTTGAGAGTGGGAGTTGAAACATCCTTTCTCTGTTGAATCACAGGCATTATTTAATGGTGTAATATCTGGGAACGCATAATTATCATCCATGCAACTACTTTGTTTGGGAGGATTAAGCGTTTCAAAGCATATGATGCCCTCAAAACAATCTTCCAAGCCCAATCTGTTGAGAACTTTAACTGCATGTGCGTGATCTGCATTGGTGAATATCTGCAAACGATATTTTCGAGTTTATGAATATTATGAAATGCTCTTTGCTGAACAAACTAGTACCGAAGTTGACCTTTATTCCTAACATACTATTTTACGCTGGGGCATGGAAAGCAGAAGGTTCCTTAATACTGGATCAGGCTTCAGTTTCTCGTATGGTAATCTTCCATGTATATAAGCATGAAACTCGTCATTGTCAAACTCATAACCAAGGACCTGAGAGAAAATTAAAACTTACATAAACTCATTGATATTACATCATTGACAGTGAATCAACATTTCAGAAGAAAGTGTGATGACGAGAAAATTGAGGGCAATACCACAACCTCATCATACCTTCAATCCTGCCATAGTTGTACCATATTCCCCATATAAATCTAGGCACATCTTTGGTACTTCACTCTGTTCAATATGCAAGTGTTCTAACATATACTCTGTAAACAAGATTTAAATACAGTAGTACTTCTATCACGTATGAGATTATCTGAACACAAGATTTAAATACAGTAGTACTTCTATCACGTATGAGATTATCTGAACACTAGAACACACGTTTTTATTATTGTGGTGTTTTATGTTTGTACCTTGTATGTTCTTGCAACATGACAAATTGAGACCTGAGCTCAATGGGTAGAGTGTGTCATCCACATCTGTGACCAACATTCAGAATCAGAACTTAATATCATTCCCCCTTTTCCTCTTTATAATTATAGTAATAAACATGAGTGTGTTTGCTTAAAACTTAAAAGAAATGAGAGAAAGATGAATGTATCCTCTCCCGTGTTTAGCACAACACATTCCAAACCACTTCTCCAAGTTCCTACTGTCTGAAAATTTAAGAAGGAAACGCATCATCGTTAACCTTGTTTTTTTCCTTCTAATTTGAAACTCTTCCTTTACTCTTCTTACTTTATTTCGAACATCTAAACAGTGAAGGAGAAAATAACAAATTGAGTTCCTTATTCCTTAACATATAAAACTGAGCCAAGATTTCAATGACGCAGCAGAAGGAAGTTAAACCAAGAGGCAGAAAGGTCATTGAATTGCACTAATCATACCAAAAAGCAAGCACTCGTACTTGACTCCAACGATCCTTTGAGCGGTATCCATCTTAGAAAAATTGCAAATCTGCAACAAATTTAAATAGTAGCTTAATGGGCATTATATTTGTAGCAAATTGATGATCATAGGAATATGGTCACCTGAAAAGTTTGGGGCATTATAACATGCATAACAAACTTGTTTGAAATAAAAAATGCAAAAGTTTAATGCATGCATTAACACAAGAAAAAACATACCTGGTGATCGCCTAATACACCACCGATCAAGTAGATCGGAGGAGTATTGACACCCAAACCCAAATCTTGAATTTTTAATTCGATACTCTCCACCCGAATCTGCCTGATTTAAAACCACTAGATTTAGTATTAGTCATTTCATGGGTTCTGATAAATTCAATGCATGAAACAAGCCAATCAATGTGGACCACATAAACTTACTTAAAATAAAATAACATCGAGACTTATGCACACTAACAGGTCATTAGTGAACGGTGAAAAGAAACAAGGATAAGTGAGACAAAACTAAATGAAACAATATCTGGACCCAAAACTATAGTATTTGATTGCAAAAACATGCTCGTGGCTCACAAAACCTATTTATACTTGCTTATGAATTTGAAGGAGGACCCACCAGTAGGCAAAATGTGCGAAGTGACGAGAAAATTTTCTGAGGTGGTGAGCATTGTTATTTTTCAATTGTTAGAATTCGCCACGTATCTTTAGTTTTTGGGTCACTTTCTGTGCCATATTGCTCCATATTTCATACAGCATTATGTCGATTCCTATAGTTAGGAGTTGATATTTTTATTTAATTATAACTTTATGCTCCAATGCATGTTGACAATGGGTTATGTTATCTCTACGGGCACCACTTGAAGAAAAGTAATTAAAGGAATGGGAGCAGTTTACGCTGGCCTTGGACCTTCATGCCAAGGGAAAACGGGAGACATATTCTAGAGATTGGGTTGTGGAGATGAGGTTTATTCTTTAAGCTATGATGGAATAAAGCTATATAATAAACATCGTTGGTTCTATCTAGGATTATAAATAAAGCATATGGGACCATTGAAAAGCTTATTATTTAATGCCCTTTGCGTCCAAATCAGATGCCACCGTCCCTGTTATGCTGCATCTAGTAGAAACCCAATCATCATCGCTAACCATGCTGGTTTATATTGCCACAGCAACATGGAATAAGCCGGTTGCTTATCACCTCACAAATTTTACTTGATCCTCCTCTCGTCGATCGTAAGACTGTTTATCTTTTAAACTTTGAATACTTAGACTCTCTGGAACATGATCACGTGTTTCGATATCTCTAAATTTATGTTAATTTTAAACGTTACAAATTATAATTTTTGCGTTAAATTTATGTTTATAGGTAATTTAACATGAATCCAAACGCACCAGACAAGTTGCAATGGAACGAAATCATCACTTGTCTCTTTTCGTTTTCCATATTGTTTGTTCAATTAAAAAGCAGGTTATATTGTAGTGGTTTAACTCAAAAACACTTTATTCTTGTGGTATAGAATTTCGCTTTTTACCTCGTGTTTTGCTTCATTTCAATATTGTCTCAACCTTGATACTGTTTCAATCATTTTTTGTTTCTAGATAACACTCAGTATTGCGTATTTGTGTTCATGTTATCTTTTTAAGTTCATTTGTATTGTAAAATATATTTTAACTTTTAGTTTAATATTATGATTTAGTTATACATGATGTTGAGACTAATATATCATGCTAACAAATCAAGTTGGTTCAGTCCTATTTCATATATTATTGAATCTTAACAAGATGGATTTTAAATTTAAACAAACGATATCGTATCAAAATTTCAAGATAAATAAAGACGAAAATAAATACATGTCAATTAATCTTAACAACACCCTTAATTAATGGAGGTAATGGTTGAACACCAGACCCCAACAAAGGTGGCCGAAAGAGGATGTGAATGATAGTAACGGGTGGTATTAGTTGAAAAATGCTAGTAGGAGCAGAAATGATGGATTAGTGGTTACGGGTTGGCGGTGGAAATGTGATCAACGACAATAACCATTAATTGATTAACCATGATGATTGTTCACGATAGTAGTAATTGTCAAAGTATATGTAAATACACACACACACACACAACAAAAGCAATAAATAACAAAATATAAAAACTTAAAAACCTGATCAAATGTTTTTCTTTTGTTTTTCTGTTTGGTCGAAAGGACCAAGTGTATGGACAAAATATATTTCGTAGACTTTGAATTTTGTTGGGCTTCAAATTTAATGATAATGGGCCAAACTTGCTCCATTTTTTATATTTTATTAAAATATAAAAATTACGATAAAATAATAAAACTTACCCAAATTTATATTTAAATATCATAAATTCTGGATTTTGTTGGGATTGAAATTTATAAGTATTACGGGGGCAAACTTGGATTTTGTTGGGCTTGAATTTTGATATTTCTTTTAAATGACAATTTCTGTCAAAGAAAACAAACCTACTAGGTCTAATTCTATCTTTAAATATAATAATTTTGAAATTCGTGGGCTTGATATTTTAGAGGTAATGGCTCAAATTTGGGCAATTTATGGCTCAAATTAAATTTACCCAATAATTGTCTCCTGTTACTGTATGATAAATATTTTTTTTATCCCAAAATGACAAAATTGATTTTTTTTCTTTTTTACAAATACAATGTATGGTATTCTCAATTGAAAAGCACTCGGGTTTAATTGAATCCAAACATATGCAAAAGAACCAACAGTTCTTGTCTTCTATATATGAATTTGATTTCGATCATGATCATTTCAAAAAAATTAATAGAAGGAATAAAATACAATTAAATGACACTTTATACCTAAGAAATTAATCTTCAACAGTTGTTTAACATACCTTAAGCAACTGAAAACTGAATAATTAATTGGAAGTTTAAAAGTTGTTTGATTGAATTAAAAATATTTAATAAAAATAGTCATTGAACTAAATAATAAATAAAAATAGTCATTGAACTAAATAATAAGTATAAAATGAAAAAATAATATGTTTAATTATTTAGACTTTAACTTAAAATTTCATAACTATATTCATTTCTAAATTTTCTTAAAATTTAAAAACATATTTTAAAATTTTCTTCATTTTAAATTATATTTATTAAATAAATGAGATTATATATATATATATATATACACACACACGCACACACTTTTATATTATACTTTTGATAAATCTATATTATAAAAAATTTAAAAAACATGATAAAGAATGTCTGTCTAAAAATTTGTAAAATAAAAAAGATAAAAATTATAAAAAGATAATAAAAATAAAAATACTAAAATAAGTTTAAGGAATTAAAATTTCAAGCTTTACGAGTTTTTATAAAACATTGCAAAAAAATTAAACTCTCTAAAATAAAAACCTATTTCATTAGGTAGGTTTAATTTGATCAAACGGTTTTTCAAATTAGTTAAAATTAGCTTATAATAATGATAACAGAGAACTTGAATAGCCCCTCTCCTTCCTTTCCTATTTTGATGGAGGAGACAAAGCCCACGTCCCCAGTGCTGACTTTCAGACACACCAACTCAAAACGAATCACCAATTTTCATTTTGCATTGCGTTCGGTCCTTCGTATGCAATACAACAAAATGTGAATAAGTGATTCTGAAAATAATGGCTTCTTTAAAGGACCTCGCAAGGCTCTTCAACGGCCTCTCCTTAATCGCAAACGAATTCGTAAAACACTCGTCACCCCAAACCCTAATCAAGACAGCACTCCTCTCCGCCACCGACCTCTCCGGCATCACCAAAGGAAAGCTTCACCAATTCTCCAACCCTAAAACGACGCGCCACGATGCTACTGCTTCCCATTCCCTTATTTTTCTCACCGATAATCCTTCTCCTCAATCTCATTCAACATCGCCACCGACAACCACAGCGGTAACAAACAATCACGATGCTGCCCCTATTTCCTCTGAATCAAATCACCGACAACATTCTGATGTAATTGATTGCGCCGCGGCGGCGGAGAGAGTCGATGAGATTCCGAGCTCTGCTGAAACGGTTAATGAATGTGTGAGCGAGGAAGTGGCACCCGCGCCGCCGTTGAAGAAACGGCGGCCCAGGGAGAGGAAGGTTCCGGCAACTCCGTTTTCTAGGGCTCTTGGGTTAGTTTTGTTTTCTTTGATTTATTTTCATAACTGTCATATGATGCAATGCATTGCATTTAGTTGTTGTGCTGTGAATTGAGATCTATAACTATACGCATGCCATTTACTATCCCTAAACAAAGCGTTTCTTGTCATTACCGAAATGTAGGTTTGCTGGGCTAGGAGCTGGTCTTGCGTGGGGAACACTTCAGGAAGGTGCTAAGAGGCTTGCCTTTGGCACACCAAATTTGCAAGGCAATCAATCTGCACTTTCACCCTTTTTGTCTGAAAAAAATGCCGAACGATTAGCTCTTGCACTTTGTAGAATGCGTGGGGCAGCGCTCAAGATTGGGCAGATGTTGAGCATACAGGATGAATCTCTTGTTCCTCCTCCGGTAACGTGACTTGTCTTTTATGGTTGCAGCTAAATTGCTATGAAAGCAGCTCCTCTAAAGTGTTATGCAAGGGTGTCTTCACCCTTGTAATTTAGAAGGTTAAGGTTACAATCGCTTTAAATTAAATTTAGGTTTCACACAGTACTCACCATTACTTGCTTGTGTTATTGACAACTACAAGCACATTTCAGAGGAGCCTTATCCAATTGGTATTATGCAGACACATTTATCATGAATTTGTATCTTGTTTATGTAGAGGCATGTTGATGAATAGGTAGGAATAGTAGGATTGCTAGCTGACATCATGCAATTTTAGCGAAAGATGACACACTAAGGGTGCGTTTAATTGAATTGAAAAAAGATTAGAACTGAATTTCTTGTGACAAAAAAATTGAACGATGAATTTCTTTTGGGGTGGGGGGTAGAAACAACACCACCACCCAAGCCTTTCCCACTAGATGAATCAAATGATGCTATAGTATTTTATTGCAAATGATGATGTAGATGGACAAATTGTTGATCTCTAAATTCTTCTTAATGGGTTCACCAATACTTTTTCTTAGTCTGTTTCTACCTCTAGCAGTAGAGCTACCTCGATCCGATCTATTCTCTAAATTGAAGCTTCTACTGCTCTTCTCCACATATCACATCAGGTAGAAAAAACTGAATTTAAATGCTGAAAATGTACTAAAGGAAACTATTGCTGATTATATAATCAAGGCTATTGTAAAGGATACTTATTTCTTTCAGTTATTTAAGTAAGGAAAGTGTTGCTGCTGAATACATTAAGTGATGTCTCACGAGCTTAGTGTTTTTACTTTGTTCCCCTTAACCTAATTTTTGGTTTCATTGCTGAATTGAGTTGCTAAATAGGCTCTGCCTCTAAGTCTTTGTTTCAGTACATGAACATAGATTAGATGTCATCCGCTGTCAGAGCATCCTGCTTTCAAATGGTGAAGGTTAGACAGAAAGTGAAAGTTCAGATCTTGAAAGCAAATAACTAAAGGATGCTTAGTGGATATATTCCTCTTACTGGATTGTTTTCCATGATTATATGTTCCATGGTTGGTGGGTCTTGACATGCTAATTAGGTTGTGAATCTATTATTATTTCTGCATTTTCTTTATTTTATTTATGCAGTCTCTTGAGAATAGTGGTTATAATTGTCATATTAGCTAATGATATCTCTTGAATTCATACAATTTCTGGGAAGAAAAAATAGTATTATATTCTACCCAATCAGATATTCATTTGTTACTATTCAATGGTCATCAGTTCATTTCCATTGAGGAATCAGTAAATCGCATTTGTTTATAATTTTTATGGCATTTTAAAGCTAATTTCTCAATCCTTTATCTGTAGATCCTGGCTGCATTAGAAATTGTCCGTCAAGGTGCAGATGTGATGCCAAAGAGCCAGCTTACCCAAGTTTTAAATGATGAATTAGGTCCTGGTTGGTCATCAAAATTAATTAATTTTGATTATGAACCTATAGCTGCTGCAAGCATTGGCCAGGTATGTATGCTTCTTTAGGTGTTGCTTTAGATCTATCATTTTCTCGTTTTGAGTGCTAAAGTTCTGTAGTTGTCATTTTCCATCATTTCATCTTTCTGTTTGAATTTAGTTATTTCTCAAGTAATTTTGAATAATTAAAAGTTCAGAACTGCCATTTCTTTTCCCCCTTTGGCCATCTGTTAGTTACTTTACTTTAGATGTTAAGGAGTTGTTTTTTTCCTTCCTTTTTTTATAGTTAATTTATTTTTTAAATTCCTCAAGCTTCGTGCCTTTGGTGCATATTTTTTCCCTGTGAAAAAAACTGTAAATGTTTTACATCATTGAAATTATATTTGGTTTTTACTTGTTAAAGATATGTATAAAAACCATTCACGAGTCTTCATCTAACAACTTAAGCTTTATGAGAGTTGGTCTTTGATATGGTATTAGTTTCTATGACAAAGTGGTCATAAGTTTGATCATTACTGCCTGATTTGTCTTATAAGTATGACAATTAACAAGTTGTGTTTCAGCGCTAAGTGAATCTATTTATTATTTATACTTCAAATCTGGAATATTGTGCATGTGTGTTAGAGATGTATAAAGACCATTCTTTAGTCTTCACCTTACCATTTAGGCTTTTAGGAGAATTGGTCTTAGATATTGCAATTTATTTTATATCTTAAATATATAATCATATATAGTTCTTCATTCTGTAATATTCATGTTTAATTGTTATATCAGTCATAGATAAACATATGCTAATGTAATGAGCTTTGAAAACTCAAATTCTTGCTTTCCATAAAACTAAATAGAGGTGATTTTAAACTATCTGATTCACTTTCACTTTGAATTCATTCTAGCATAAGACTCATCCTTATAAGAATGCCAAGCTTTGCTATAGTTCTGTTCCTTATATATATGTTCCATATAATTCTAACCATGACAATTTATATATGTCTTAATAACAGTATCATGAAACTTTATATCGTGACACTTCTGCTTAGTATAATAGTATTGCCTAATGAGGTCCCACATATGTAATTTAGGTGCACCGAGCTGTCATGAAGGATGGCATGCAAGTTGCAATGAAAATTCAGTACCCTGGTGTTGCAGATAGCATTGAAAGTGACATTGAGAATGTGAAGCTCCTTTTAAACTACACAAATCTAATTCCTAAAGGACTTTATCTTGACAGGGCTATAAAGGTGCATATTTTATTAATAGAATTCAATTCAATTTATGTATGCTTTCAGTTATGCATTTATATCAACATTCTAAATTCATAGTTCTTAAACCCACAAATTTTCTATATTGTCTGTAGGGGTTTGGATCCCTTAGCCCCTCCCTCCCTCCCTTTCACTGAATGCTATGCCTTCAAATTTATCAGTGAGATCCTAAACCATATTCAATATTTAATCATTTGATTTGTATATAGACTTGTGAAACTCTTTTATCATTACCTCTCTCTTTTTGCCTCTTCACCTATCAACCCATCCATCTAATGTTCCATTCGGATTATGCAGTATGATAATTATCTGTGGTCGATATTGATCAGGGGTCTCTTACCTATCATATAGAAAGGCATTGGCTCCATAATTTGGCATATATATCTGTCTATATGATAGACTTTGCATTTTTGCCTAGGTGGCAAAAGAAGAATTGTCTCGCGAGTGTGATTACAAGTTGGAGGCAGCAAATCAGAAACGGTTCCGAGATCTTCTTGCTGGCACAAATGGATTTTATGTTCCAATGGTTTTGGATGATATTTCAAGCAAAAGAGTATTAACAACTGAGCTTGTTCACGGTAAATATAACAAATTTCAGCAGTTCTTGTGATACATTCTGTTGATACATCCTTAAGTGGAGCTTTCTGGGATCACAACTTGCATAGCTTATACACTTAATTCAAAACAATAAAAAAGCCACATGGTGTTTCTGCAGCTGCAGCTGCAGCTGCATCTGAGATTAATTGCCTGTAAGATTCTAGTGTACCAAATTGGATGGAAGATTTGTTCTGTAAAGTTTTATGCTTCTCATTTATTGGCCATTTATTCAATTATTTCATTTTGCATGTTTTTAATTTATTAAAAATGGAAAGAAGGATGTGCTGACTATAAGAAACATTATCAAATTCATTGTATAAATGTTTTGAAAAATTCTGTCTCCTTTAATCAGATAGTTTTATGAAGAAACAAAGGTTGTACATGATGTTTTTATTCATTGTTGGCTCAAGTAATTCTTATTTTTCAATGAGAACGGTGCTATTTGTCCTGTTTATTAGAATGAGGGATGCCTAGTTTTTTTTATCATTCTGTTGGAGAAAAGAGTATTCAGTTTAATGATGAATTTGTTTACATTATTTATATTAAATAAATAGAATGATATTCTACTGGAATTCAATGTTTTGCTTGTTTTTGAACATGGGGTGGCTTTCTCTTGTTACAGGAATTCCAATTGACAAAGTGGCATTACTGGACCAGGAAACTCGTAATTATATTGGGAAAAAGTTATTAGAACTCACATTGATGGAGTTATTTGTATTTCGATTTATGCAGGCATGTTATTCTATCCCATGTTTATATTACACTTGTAAAAATTATTAAATCCGTTGTTGACAGACTGGGTGTAGCATCAGTATTCAGAGAACTCTGGTCCAAACATATGAATTTTGAAATGCACCTGACAAATTTTAGTTTAGTAATCTAGTTCAGGTGTTGTTTAAGTCAAGTAAGCACGTTCATTCTATTTCTTGTATAATTTACATCCTATATCCTATAATTGACTAGGGCTGCTATAGAACCAATGCCCTATAATATGATAGTATAGGTTATACCATTTTACAAGGACTGGTTGAATCAGTTGCCTTGCCAATGCATTATGGTAGGGTCCACTTCCATTGTTGATACACTTTTAGGCTACTAGGGCCTAGTTCGTGTATTATCATTTTTTATTTTCAAAATACCAAGTATCTAAAAAGATAAATACAATGTGATCATAGTTGTTATAGCAGCTTACATACTTTTTTTGTTCATGAATTTCACTTTCTATTGTTTTGTTGCTGCATCCCTTTCAATGCTAAGTGTTAGCATGAAGTTTTCCTTTAAATCACTAGCCTTCAACTCTGATTTTCTGGTCTTTCCTAATCTTGGAGGATGTTCTTTATTGCAGACTGATCCTAATTGGGGTAATTTCCTATTTGATGAAGCTACAAAGACAATCAATCTGATTGATTTTGGTGCAGCAAGGGATTATCCTAAAAGATTTGTGGATGATTATTTAAGAATGGTTGGTTCTCTTCCTTTCTAATTTATATTTTTATATCAATAACTAAGATGAGGTTTGAAATCTTAATTTGGTTTGTTGTTTTCTCTGTTTAATTTTTGTTGGGATATGGATATTCAAACTAGATAGATATATATGTCAGTTCTTGACTGCTGCTATTTGTTTTTCAATATTAAAATAAAAACTTATGACATTAAGCTGACTGAATTTTGAATGGAAGTAATCAGATTCTCTTTTGAAAATTATGTAAGGTAAATTATTGCTTTAACTGAAGTTAATAAATAAATATAGGGAAGTAGAACATGGTGTATATAATAAGGTTATGTTTGTCTCTGTATGGAATGATCTAAATTTTAATGAATATACGGAAAATAGAATTAAAATGCCATTAGTCATGTGGTTGCAATATTTTAAAACACCAATTGATAAATTAGTGAATTTTATTACTGAATCACAATTCACACAATACAGAAAAGGGTTGCTGTCCCAGAGTCTTATGACTCCTACAGAGATTATTCTGTCCAAACTAACAGAATCACAATACTCAGAACTCCCAGCCCACACAGTTATACACATTTAATAATACATTACTGCCCCTAACCTGTACCTACATTACAGTTATTATTACACTTATGTCTAATAATACACAGGCACAAAGCTGTTCATGACAGTTATTATTGGTTCCGTCATGATAACTAAGGTTATAAATCATTCAGTTGTAGCATTTATTATGGTAAACAGACTTAACTGCCAGTACCCCCTTTTTAAAATTCAAGTTTTTCCTATATGTTCTCATGTTATAACTTATTACTATTAGCACTTGATCGTTTGAACTTTCCACTTCAACTTGGTAGGAGGCATTAAAGTTACTTGACTATTTTACCCTTTTCTTAAACTCAGCAGAAAAGTCCTCCGAATTCTTATTGTTGTTATTTTTGTTTATGACGCATAATTGATTAGGTTCTAGCATGTGCAAATAGTGATAGCAATGGGGTCATTGAGATGTCCAGGAGACTTGGGTTCCTCACTGGAATGGAATCAGATGTGATGCTAGATGCTCATGTCCAAGCTGGTTTTATTGTCGGTCTGCCATTCTCAAGACCAGGAGGATTTGATTTCCGATCAACCAACATTACTCAAAGCATTTCACATCTTGGGGCAACAATGCTGAAGCACAGGCTCACTCCTCCACCTGATGAAGCCTACAGTCTGCATAGAAAGCTTTCCGGTGCTTTTTTGGCATGCATTAAGATTGGGGCCGTTGTCCCTTGTCGGGAATTATTGCTTGAAATATACAAGCATCATAAGTTCAGTGAGGTAGATGAGATATTATCCAGTGGTTCAGTCCCTGCGTAGATTAATTATTTTTGTCCAATTAAATTTTGCCAATTATAATAATTGTGGGGGCTAGTTTTCATCCAAGCTTCTTAACAAGAATATTTCAATTTGATCCACCAGTAGAGTTTTGGGGGACAATTTCCCCTCTTCCCATGTATAATTTAGCTTCCTGTAGAATTTTTTCCAGATGGATTCTTTGAAAGGTGATTGATTCCTTAAAACAATGTTTTTGGATATGTTTATTTTCCCGTCATCCTGAACTGAACTTGAAATACGAATATTCATCATCAATCATATCGGCATGCAAGTGCCGGGTGGGCTGTGAAGAATTTCTGAAATAATATTTGTTTAACCTGTCCTTGTGCGACCAATCTTTATGACTTTATTATTATTATTATTAGAGTTACTTGAGTTAAAAAATTTATTTTTAAATAACATTAGCTCTATACAGTAGTAATTTTAAGTTTTTGTAATCTGATAACTGGTTATGCATCACCGTCGTGAATTAATCTGTCGTCACTATGCTAGTTCGATCATCTATCTACTCATAATTTGCGAATTGAGCTTTGTGTTGCGTCTGATTTGTACATTTTTCATCCTTGTGAATTTTGGCAGTGTCGCCAATAACAACTAGTTAGCACCAACTTACTAATACATGGTTCATCAAAATTTTTGAAGATGGTGCCTTTAAAAATGTCATAATGTCTTTGATTGGATAGCGACTCATTCATTATAAGCACAAAAGATAAATATGGTAAAATGGGTGGAAAACTTGAATGATAAAAGTTATTAGATATAAATAATATCTAATGTATATTTGTAAACCATAAATTAATAGTTTATGCTAAGCCAACGCAAAATATTTTAAGCCTGTGTTTAGTTTGCAATTCGGCCAATGGAGCGAGATTTTTCACATACATGAATTATTTCAATATTTAACGTGATTTTATTATATTTTCAGACATCTTTCAGTTTATAAACTACGAGACACTTTTTAGAAGTGAGAATTTTTCACTTTGACTAATACCGTGTTAAAAATGTTGGTAGATGTGCCTTATTGTAGAAGTAGGATTTCATCCTACTTTTGCGAAGAATCTATTCCCGCGATAAGTGGACAAGGCAACCTTGCCCACTAGACTGCTTTTACCCCGGCTCCACCTACCACTCACAGAAAAGGTTAAGCTAATTAATTAATACTTTACTTGGGCTTGTAACTATTCTATATTCCCTTAAAATTATGTCAGTTAATTCTATATATTAATCTGAGTTCTTTTTTCTATTATAAGGGAAAATATTTTTAAAATTTATTTTAAATAAAAGTACTTTTTTAGACTTAATTCTTTTATTCATTATATTATGTGACTTTTTTTTATTAAGAATTAATTTTTTAATTTAATTTTAATTTTTAGGTTCAAAATTTCATAATTTATTTCTCAATTTTAGAATTTTGTTATTTTAAGTAAGTTTTATTAATATCATATCTTGTTTACCGTCGATAATATAAATATTTATTTTTTAATTTATCAATTTTAAAATAATGATGTATATTTTTTTTAAAAATTTGATTTAATAATATTCATACAGTATAAAAAATCACAAATAACAATTAAATTTAAGTGACACCTTTTTGAATTTTAAAATAAAATTATTTTACCGAATTAAAGCTTAAAGGTTTTTTTTTTTCCAAAGAATTTATATAGATAATCAAGATATTTGAAAAGAAAAACAGTATTTATCTATATGTTTTGGGAGAAGAACATAACGATTAAGAAGAGATATTATGATCTCTCCTTTGGCAAACTGGAAACAGGAGGGGAGGGGGTGACAAAGGAGTTATTTTTAATTTTTAATATAATGAATCATATTTTGTAAAATAGAAGGGAACTGAAAATTTATGATAGGCTATAGATACAATTTAACGTGATTGGCTCCGTCAGTGTCTTCAATTAGGCATGACAATCATTGTATTGTAGCCCTTCAAAAAGAGAAGTTCAACTTGATGGATGGTAACAAGAAGCTAAGGAGATTTGATTTTGATAGCCCATCAACTACATAGAGAAATGGGGCAGAAAAGAAATTGATTTATATGATGGGGTACGTGGCCATGGGTAGCACTAGGAATCACTTCATAACGAACATCTTTGCGTAATTTCTACGACATCATAGATTAATGTCGTAAATCGTGATTATTTGTTAAAAAACATGATAACAAAGAAAAAAACACTACAACAAAATATGACAAGGGTCTATCTGTGTCCTTTCTAGGAGCAAAGAAAGAAGAAAGAAAAGCATTGCTTCGTCCACGAGAGAAGAAAAACGAACAACGGTTTTATTTAAAGCATATTAATACCGAAAAAGAAGAGTACACATAAATTGAGTTAGTGTGGAGAGTAAACATTGTCAGCTTCATAAACATGAAAACGAAGCTGCTTTTGGTAGCCATTCAATTTGCATGCTTCGTTTCTGCAATTTTCTCCTTTGGATCTGAGACACTGTCCGTACTTTCTTTCATAGAAAAAGATGCCGTCACAGCAAAACCTTTCTCCTCACCTCAACCTCTTATGGTGGATCTCACTCTTGTTGAAGGAGCCGATTCTAAAGGAGCTGGTCACTCTCTCTCTTTCAATCCTCTCTGAAAACTACATTTTTGTGATTATTACTGTTTAAATATGCCTCATATTTGAATGGAGCTATGTTTGCACTTTAAGTAACATAATATGATTGAAGGATTGAAGTCACTATTTGTGAGCTTGTTTGAATTGGTTGAGCTTTTCCATAACTGATGGCACAACCTATTTTGTTAGTTTATTTGAAACCTGGCAAATAAGTTTTGTATTTCTGTCCTATAATGTCAGTGTGTTTGGATGGAACATTGCCTGGTTACCATTTAGATCGTGGATTTGGATCTGGTGCAAATAGTTGGCTTATTCATTTGGAGGTAAACAATGTTTTCACGGTTTAATAACAATACTTTCAAGGTTTAATAGCTATATAAAGAAGCTGTACTTTAATTTTTTGAAGTCTTTATTAAACCATACTAACTTTTGGTCATGCTATTAGCCTATTACTGATAATACTTTTCTAATACCTGCAGGGAGGAGGATGGTGCAACACCATCAGAAACTGTGTCTATCGAAAAAATACTCGTCGTGGCTCCTCTAAATACATGGAAAATCAGATACCATTCACTGGAATATTGAGCAATAAACCAGAAGAAAACCCTGGTTTTTCCCTTTACCCTAAACATGCATGACCTTTTTTTTTTTTTTAATGTAACCTTTTGTTCAATAAAATTCTGCCCTGCTGGAGGCTGCAGCTTATGTCACTCAAGTCTTTGTTCTGTCATTTTTCTGGATGTAATCTTCTATGCACAGATTTCTTTAATTGGAACAGAGTGAAATTACGGTACTGTGATGGGGCATCTTTCAGTGGAGATAGTGAAAATGAGGTCAGTGAGAGTAATATACTGCAATTTATTTTTTTTCAATTTTATCTAATAAATTGCAATTAACAGCCCTTCATATTTCCATGGAAAGCTGAGTTGTTGTTGCATATACATCCAATCAATGTAGCCACATAATAAGATCACTAATTTCTGATAGAAAAGCTAGTACTACAAACTTGTGGCCATTAAAATAACACAACTCTCTGTTCTGTCATTGATTTGACATACTGTTTCACAATTTTATTTTTCTTTTTAATCTAGCATTACTACATCTCTAAGGTGATAGCTAGGAGATTCTTTAAGTCATATATGTCATGGTTGCAACTTGTGCAGGAACCTATTGCAATATAATTTCTCATGGTAGCAGCATCTTAAACTCTTCAAAATGAAAAATTTGTGATGCTTTGCTGGCATGGACAACATATCTTTTCTAACGAACAAGTTTCTCTGATATATTGGTGCTGTTTGAGTTAGTTGTTACTTGTTATGGAAAGATCCTTTTTTTGGGAATTTGTTGTTGCATTGATATGTGCATTCGGTTCTTTTTTCAGTCTGCACAGCTTCAATTTCGAGGACAAAAAATATGGTTTGCTGCAATGGAGGATCTGATGTCCAAGGGAATGCAGAAAGCTGACCAGGTTTCCCACGTCTCTTTATATTGTCTTTCATTCTTTAATATGCATGGATGCTAATCAACAAATGAAAATCAGGCCCTTCTCTCCGGATGCTCTGCGGGTGGGCTGGCATCCATAATACATTGTGATGAGTTCCGTAGCTTGTTCCCAAACTCTTCCAAAGTGAAATGTTTGAGTGATGCAGGTTTTTTCCTTGATGCGTAAGTTTTATATTTTTCTTTAAATTACTCCCTCTGCCCTGTTCCCTTGTCTAGAAACTTAGATATAATTGATGATCTGTTCAATCATGTTAGAATTGATGTATCTGGGGGACGCAGCCTGAGGAATCTGTTTGGAGGGGTGGTTCAGTTACAGGTAACATTTAATTTGGCTATGTCGCACAAAAAACTTTTGAATAGAATGTAGCATTATTAGATTTATGCAGTTATGCTTATCGTTTGATAAAATGCAATTTAATTATCAATGATGGGATTAGCAAGGACCAAACTATTGTCAACTTAGTTATAGGCTTTGATAGTTTCAAAAAAGGCCTTTTAATTGTTTAGATAAAGACACATGAATAATTTTATATTACACAACCTAAGCAGTATACTTTTCACTAGTTGTTTTACTTCTTTGATGTAAGGTTATGAAAGCCTGTAAAATTATGCCATGTCAGTGATGTTTTGAAATTGTAGGAAGTACAAAAAAATCTTCCACAAAGTTGTCTCAACCAACTGGACCCAACTTCGGTAATTCTTATTCTGGATGTCATGCTATTCATAACTTGACCTTACTTTAGACAATCAAATTTTGATCATGCGGAGTCTCTTTCTGCAGTGCTTCTTTCCTCAGAATATGGTCAAACATATTGAGACGCCATTGTTTCTACTCAACGCAGCTTATGATGTGTGGCAGGTAAAATGAATCAGTACACTCTTTCTCCTGTATTATGGTAATGATATGCCTGATTATATGCTAATTATATGGAACACGTCTTCATTTGTCCTCATTCTGCTACATAGACACCAAGTATCTAGCTTCACTAATTTATTGTCTGAGATTGCCCTTTGCCTAATGACTCCGGTAGTCTTTTTTTCTTGTTCTCTTTTTACAATAAGGTAAAATATTTTGGATTTAACATTTCACAAACCATGGCCTTAGATTTTTATCAACCCCCAATTAAAAACGCGGGCCCAACAGTCAAACCAGGAATAATGGATACTATGATAATTGGTTTTGACACCTTTATGTTATTTCTTATAGGTGCTTCAACCTAAGATTACCACTATTTTTTTTTTTTTAAAGATGTGAGCTATGTTTTCATCAGGTCCAAGCCAGTTTAGCCCCACCTTCAGCTGACCCCCTAGGCTCTTGGAATGACTGCAAATCAAACCATGCAAACTGTAGCTCCTCTCAGCTTCAGTTCCTCCAAGGTGTTTTCAATCTCCACTATTGTAAATTATGCTCAGAAATTTATGTACCCTAATGCAAGTTATTCACAGCAAATGATGTACATCTACATCTGATTTCCTTGTAACGTATTATATCTCTTCTTTGAGGCAGACTTCAGAAATCAAATGCTAAATGACGTGAAAGACTTCTCAAGCTCATCTCAAACTGGACTATTCATAAATTCTTGTTTTGCTCATTGTCAGTCTGAGAGACAAGAGACATGGTTTGCTGATGACTCTCCCCTTCTTGAGGACAAGGTATGCTCAATTTATATTCTCGTTGTCTCTAGACCATTTGGATTTAAGAAATTATAGGAGGATTAGAGGCTTATGTTCCATTATATCTGTCCATACTCGTAGCTCTTTTTTTTTTTAATTGGTTGTGACGAATATAATTTGAAATACAATGGATATAGACTATAGAGGCTTCAAAAACATTATGCAATGCCTCGTTGCTATCACACAAGGTATGAAGTAGAACACGGCATGACAACAGTTCTACACGGTCCTTCAATGAAGCATCAAGATGTAGTGAACAATATAGACCTATTTCATTTATACTATAGCAGTTTAATTAAGAAAGGAAAGTTGGAAGCTTGTCCAACCCTTCATCAGGAGAAGGGAAAGAACCATTTTTGTTTTCTTTTGACTGCAAACTAAAGTCTGAATGTGTGATAGTACAACACGAATGACCTTTTGTGCCTTGAATTCAGTATTCACTACTCAAGCCTGATGCCCTTCCCCATTTTCTGTTAAAAATAATAATCTTTTATGATGCAGCCAATAGCAGTTGCTGTTGGAGATTGGTATTTCGATCGGGAAGTTGTCAAAGCTATTGACTGTGCTTACCCGTGTGACAACAGCTGCCATAATCTGGTGTTTAAGTGAGCAAAATTTGTTGTGTGTTACACTTTCATCCTTGTAATTGCAACATTCATTAATTATTATGGAAAGACCATTCTTGGCTGAGGATGCAATTGATTATCATCACTTTCACTGATAATATATAATTCATGTCAGTAAGATTCATTAGTAGTCACTCATCTGCTTTTGGTTAGAATATCCAAAGACGGGAAATTAATTCGTGCATCTTGTGCCACCTTTTTCTCATTGACAACATTATATTTTTCTCCCCTAATCTATGGCATTTTTTAATAGATCATACATCTCATTTTATCAAGAAATATGATAGATCAGTATAAAAAAGACAACGAAAAATTGAAACCTGATTCAACAAACGACTATATGGAACTTCCACCATGAAGTACACCGCTTGAAGCGTTCCTTAATTCTGAGTTGTCATTAGCTCTTGCCATTGGGATTGTTGATCTTGTACTTGACTCATTTGTCAGCCTCAATTGTGAGTTATTGTCATCAAGGCAAAATTAATATATCAAAATATTTTTTTTCAATAAAAAGTCATGAAGCTACACTATGGTTGCTCTCGTTATTTACGGTGAATTTTGACATCAGCTACATTATTTGAACATGAAGGTATTACAACTGTGCGAAATTACATATAATTATTTTATATTTCACTTTTTTTGTATACATGCATATGAAAATATATATTCTAAAATTAAGTAACAACTCTTTTTCCCCAAAATTTGCGTTAAAAAAATGTTTTCTGGAATTAGTCATGGGATGATAAATTAACATATCTAGATCAGTATTCTAATATTTAAAAATGCACTTAAGATAAAAAATCACGATGGACATGTAAAATCTCCCCCCCCCCCCTCCTCTCTCTCTCTCTCTCTCTCTTTCAGCTAATTGTAATTTACTTTGGATGATTCTAACGTTATTGTCATAGAAGTGACATTGCAAACCACGAAATAGAATAATATGCATTGCGAAGTGCTGATATCCGAATATGAGGACATATCTAATTTTCTATTCTACACGTCAAGAAGTGGAGGCGAGAGAGTGAGGTGAGGATCGAAATATCGATCAATTAGCAAGTATTGACAACTATTTGACTTAATATGCACCCAAATTTCCCACCTACCTACTTCTACTACTTTGTACACATCACACATTCATTTTCAAACACTAATGTACAAAGAAAATGTGACGATTCATCAAAATATTGTACTTAAACATGAAAACCCAACACTTCCGAGAGGTTGGGGAATTGACCAAAAGAAAATTTTATAACTCTTCCTAGTGAGTTATATATGTATTTACTGCCTCCATTGACAAAAGGGGTTGGGTTTAGCTAAGAGAAAATTGGCAATCAAGTGCCGTATTTGGATGCAGATGCTACTACCGCCTGTACCCACATCTTAAGCCGAGCCTTCAAATCTCTTGGATCGTCACCTTGATTGCGAAGTTTGAAGGAAACAAAAATATTAATAGAGAATTTGATTAGAGCGATCAATTCATTCTTATTGCTTATTCGTATAAATCATAATTCAGTCACTATACAATAATTAAATTGTAAAATTTGGCTTTCGTCCCATGCAGAAAAGACTAATGTATTGTACATATTCTCGTAAGACTAGACTACTGAAAGGACCATGTTAGTTTATTCCAGTCTAGTGTGTAAATAATAATAAAGAATTAGTTAAAGTGAGAATGCGGCACAGGATGTAATATGAAAGGAAAAATGATTTGTCTAAATTGGATAAATAACTTTATTTTAAGTGGACTAATGAAATTAGGATATTATTTAATATGATAATTATCAAAAAAATTATTAAAAAAAATGTATTAGTCCATTTAAGATGAAAATTATTTAGATAACTTAAAAAAATTACACCAGTAACAGAAAAAATAAGGGTGAAGAGTACGTAGTAAAAGTAGCTACGATCTTATTAATATTGTTGATGCACAAAACATACTAGGACTAGAGATGCGCCAATTGGTGATGGGTGAAGTAACACTACTCCTAGTTTCAAGTGTAGAATTGGAAAGAGAGATCGAAAGTGGAGAGGGTGTCTCTAACTCAAACCCAAGATTTCTACAAGCCTTAACTTGCTCCAAGTCCATGCACAGTGACCTCCTCCCATCTTTAAGCCTTGTTATCGTAGCCTTCAACCAACCCCCTTTGATCACTCTCCCCAATTATCAAACGTTCCTCATCTTTCTTCTAACACTTGTTCCTAGTTTTCTCTGAACCCTCCCACACCCTTGTCTCCTTTCTCATTCTTCTACACCTTTTCCTCCACGTCTCCTTCTCCTTTGTTTTGTGTTTCATGGACACATGAGCCTCACTGTCATTGGCATTGTACTTCATCCTATTCCTTCCCCGTGGGAGTGTTGCTAACAAGGGACAAAAACTACTCAAGTTCTCCTTTTTAGAGTTAGAAGAGAACCCTGTTAGGAATTGAGATTTTTCTAGAATACTTTAAGATTAGAATATATTTTTGTTTTGTTTTATCTACTACTGTTTGTTAGGTAAAAGTATGGGTTTATGCTTAATTTGAGGAAGAGTAGTTGACATAGTCAAATTTAGGTAGAAAGAAGTGTTGCTCCTTATTTTATGTTGTCTTATTAAACAATTTTTGTTAAAATCTATTGCAATATATATTCAACAAATGTAATGAAATGACATTACGCATTCTTCCTCCATTTATCTAGTTTCATAACATGGTATCGAGAGCTCAGTAGTTCTTGAAGGGCCTGTGAGGGAGTAAAAATACATGTTCAAACTAGAAACAAAAACCTACCAGCAACAAAATGGCTTCTTCTTTACCTCCACCTCCAATATTTGCAGGAGAAAACTATGACTTGTGGGTTGCAAAAATGAAAACTTATTTGAGAGCTCAAAATATGTGGGAATTGGTGAAAAATGGAAGCAACCCAGCCCCTTTACCAGACAACCCAACAATGGCTCAAATAAGGCTTCACGATGAAAATGTGGTAAAGGAAGGCAGAGCACTTGCTATCTTACATGCAACAGTACATGATGATGTTTTTATCTAGATCTTGAATCTTGAGAAAGCAAAAGAGGCTTGGGAAAAGCTCAAGGAGGAGTTCCAAGGCAATAAAAGAACTAGGAGGATGAAGGTGCTAAATCTGAGAAGAGAATTTGAAGCCATAAAAATGAAGGATTCAAAAACAGTGAAAGAGTTTTCAGATAGACTCTCTAAGGTGGTTACACAAATCAGATTGCTAGGTGAAGAGTTTAGTGATCAAAGAGCTGTGGAGAAAGTCTTAGTTTGTCTTCCTGAGAGGTTTGAGTCAAAAATCTCTTCTCTTGAAGAAAATAAGGATTTTTCTCAAATATCACTTGCAGAGCTTGTGAATGTTTTGCAAGCTACTGAACAGAGAAGGTCGTTGAGAGTGGAAAAAAATGTTGAAGGTGCTTTTGTGGTTAACACCAAAGGCAAAGCTCAAGGCAACAACAACTTTGGAAAAAAAAACCTTTTGGTGGAAAGAAAGGCAAAGGGAAAAAGAAAGAAGATAGCAACAAAGGAGGAACTTGGAAGGAAAAGTATCCATCATGCCCTCACTGTAGGAAGAAAAATCATACAGAAGATTTTTGTTGGTTCAGACCTGGAGTCAAATGTAGGGCTTGCAACCAACTTGGTCATGTGGAGAAGGTTTGCAAAAATAAAGCAAAGCTGCAAGGAGAGCAAACTCAAGTTGTTAAGCATCAAGAACAGATTGAGGAGCAGTTATTTGTTGCTTCTTGTTATTTGGCAAGTAGTAGCAAAAAACTTGGCTCATAGATAGTGGATGTACAAACCATATGACTCATGATGCTAGCATTTTCAAGGAACTTGATAACTCTTACTTCTCCAAAGTCACCATTGGCAATGGAGAATGTGTTGATGTCAAAGGAAAATGAGTGGTGACTGTTGAAACTCCTTCAGGTACTAAATTTATTTCAGATGTTTTATTTGTACCTGAGATAAATCAAAATCTCTTGAGTGTGAGACAAATGCTTGAAAGACATTATAGCTTGCATTTTGAAGATATAAGATGTACAATATATGATCTTGCTGGTTGTGAATTAATGTGTGTTAGAATGAGGGATAAAAGTTTTTCCTTAGAGTTGAAACAAACAGCTATGCATGCTTTTCCAAGTGCAGTAGATGATTCTATTTTATGGCATAAAAGGCTTGGTCATTTTAGTTACTCCACCTTGAAGCAAATGAAATCAAATGATTTGGTGCAAAATCTTCCTGCCATTCATGAAAATGTTGATGTGTGTGATGTATGTCAATATGGTAAGCAAAGCAAAATGTCATTTCCTACTAAAGTAAGTTGGAAAGCTACTGAAAAATTGCAACTTATACACACTGATGTGTGTGGCCCTATGAGTACAACATCTTTAAATAGCAGCAAATACTTTCTGCTAATTATTGATGACTTTAAAAGAATGAGTTAGGTGTTTTTTCTAAAGCAAAAGTCAGAAGTGTTTGTTGTTTTTCAGAAGTTCAAGCTAATGGTTGAAAATGAGGTTGAATGCAAAATTAAAAAGCTCAAATCTGATAATGAAACTGAGTATACAGCAAGGGAGTTTCAGAATTTCTGTGAAGATGCTCGAATTCAGCATCAATTGACTGTTCCTTACACTCCTCAACAAAATGGAGTGAGTGAAAGGAAGAACAGGACAATTATGGAGATGTCAAGGTATTTGTTGTTTGAAAAAGGTCTTTCTAAAACCTTTTGGGCTAAGGCTGTTAACACCTCAGTATACTTGTTAAATATGTTATCTACCAAAGTCTTGAAAGGTAAAACACCTTTTAAAGCATGGTATGGAAGGAAGCCTTCGGTGGAGCATCTGAAAGTATTTGGCTGTGTATGTTATGCTTTTGTTCTAGAGGCTAAAAGAGATAAGTTGGATCACAAGTCAAAAGTTGGTGTTTTCTTGGAGTATAGCAGTAACTCCAAAGGTTATAGAATATATAATCCAGCAACAAAGAAAATTCTTGTCTGCAGAAATGTTAAGTTTGATGAGTTATCTAGATGGAACTGGGAGAAAAGCAAAGCAGAAGCCTCAAGCAAAAGGCAACTTGGAGTAGAC